GCCCAGAAAATTAACCGTTGGTGACTGGAGGCGGTTTGGTATTCTTGTTTCTAAAAAACAAACGAAGGAGTTTAGAAAACTTAAGGCTGGATGTGACTGATAGAGGAACTGTGGCTGTCTGTAAGGGGAGACAATTAGAACTGAGCTGCATGCAATGGGTTTGCAGAAAAGTCGAGGAATTCCATCACCGATCATGAGAAGCCTGAACAAAGGAGGCAGAGAAGGTTGAGACTGGTGCTTACAGCATAGGAAATTTTAACTGGGACAATGTGATTTTCTCAGATGAAAGTTCTGTGTGGCTGTTTCCCTAATACCACTGAAATTCTGGGACTAAACAAGACTGAAAAGGCCTTTGTATCAGCACTTAAAAGTACAGTCAGAAATTTAACGTGTGCAGGGTTGCATATCTGTGTTAGGGGCAACGCCCCTGTGTATTTGAAGGGAATATGAACAGTGAGCGGTACACAGATATTCTCGAGGGACATTTACTTCCATCTGCTCACGTGTCCTATGGAAATGTTTGGATTTTCCAGCGGGATAACGACCCAGAACATCGTTCAAAGCATTCACAGGCCTGGTTTCGGACCCAAAATATGATATTATTAGATTGGCCAAGCTACAGCCCTGACCTAAATCCCATAGAAAATGTTTGGGGACTGTTCACCTGTCTTTGAATCTGGAGTTATGTTCTGCTAATATTCACATTTAATACGTGAGTAATGAGTGAAAAAAAAATATTTTACAATCTTTAAATTCTCAATAATTTCTGGTTGTACTGTACCTGCTGTGGATATATGCTAGAAATGAAGTTAAACTTTAGGGATACTATTCCAAACCTTTCATTTACAGAAGGGACGTTGTCATTTGCAGTATGATTAGACACATCCTTTGTCTAGAAGAAGCTTAATACCCAAAGGAATAGTGCCATTTTACCCATTAGCCACTTGGGCCACTCTCCATCACAGGATAGTTACCCAGTAAGCTATGATGTCTTCACCCAGGATAGTTACCCGAAGTAGCCATGACGTGCTCTCCATCACAGGATAGTTAGATTGCAGCACGACATATCTCAGCAATGCTTATAGTAGATTTACCCAATAAGCACGACATGCCTCCACCACAGGATAGTTACCCAGTGGCCGACATATCTCAGCAATATGATAGTTGTGCCCCGTAGGCATGACATATCTCCATCCCTGGGATAAATTACTCAGTAAGCTACCAGACATGTCTTCATCACAGGATAGATTTTGATATCCAGGGTGGAAATATTATGTTAATGTAGCTGCTGGCGCTTGGGATATGATATAGTAGTATACAGTGGTGAGTAGCGGTGTGAACATGCCCCATATATAGTATTTAAAACCTTGGGGAAGGTTGTGTCTTTATGCTGCCAATAGTCGGCGGATCCATAAACAAGAAATAAAATTGGTCTGTCCTAAAATATACCCAGTTACTAGATAGAAAAAGACACCCTTGATAGCGCTTGGCATAGATTAGATGAGAAAAGATTTTTATGTAACAACTTTGTAAAGACCCGAGCAGAGTTTATTATCCGAGTTGAAAAATCTATTGTATGCGTGTTAATTCTGTTAGTCGGAGTTCATATTAGAGGTATGGTATTATGGATTCTTGATATTTTATTAATTTAACACTTGCTGTGACAATGATTCACATCTATACATAGTAGAAACTCCATCTTGGTATGGAACTTGGCTCGTTGGCTTACGATGAGAAACAAGATGTCTTTATCGCAATATATGAGACCAAATTATTCCCAGAATTTTAGAATATGTTTAATTGATTTCTTGGTATAACTGCAAACCTGCAGACCAGCCTATCAAGTGCTTGGTTTCATTCATGAGAGACAAGCTCCGTTAATCCTGTTTTATTAGTTTGGTGAAGAAAGTTATCCCCTTGTTTACTTGCAGCTAGCAGACGACATTTTCAGTGATCCTCAGTAGGGATGATCTAGAGAAGAGGAAGTTGATTTTATGAGTATTATAACAAGGACATCAGATCAGTTAAAGTGATGTGAAGTAGAACAGGCATCCCTTTGTCCACTGTTTATCGTGTTTTGAAAAATATTGCAAATGGATATCCGATATAGCACTGAGCACCAGGGAGGCGCAGGTAGGCCAGAAAATTGACTGTTGGTGACTGGAGGCGAAACCCCAGTATTCTTGTTTTCTAAAAACAAACAGAAGGGTTTAGAAAACTTAAGGCTGGATGTGACTGATATAGAGGAACTGTAGCTGTCTGTGAAGGAACAATTAGAACTGCGCTTTGCATGCAAATGGGTTTTGCAGAAAAGTCGAGGAATTCATTACCCAGTAGCCATGACATGTCTCCATCACAGGATAGTTACCCAGTAGCTATGACATGTCTCCACCACAGGATAGTTACCCAGTAGCCATGACATGTCTCCATCACAGGATAGTTACCCAGTAGCCATATGAGGATAGTTACCCAGTAGCCATGACATGTCTCCATCACAGGATAGTTACCCAGTAGCCATGACATGTCTCCATCACAGGATAGTTACCCAGTAGCTATGACATGTCTCCATCACAGGATAGTTACCCAGTAGCTATGACATGTCTCCATCACAGGATAGTTACCCAGTAGCTATGACATGTCTCCATCACAGGATAGTTACCCAGTAGCCATGACATGTCTCACCCCAGGATAGTTACCCAGTAGCCATGACATGTCTCCATCACAGGATAGTTACCCAGTAGCTATGACATGTCTCCATCACAGGATAGTTACCCAGTAGCCATGGCGTGTCTCCATCACAGTAGCTATGACATGTCTCTACCACAGGAAAGTTACCCAGTAGCTATGACATGTCTCTACAACAGGAAAGTTACCCAGTAGCCATGACATGTCTCCATCAGGATAGTCAGTGGAACATGTCTCCATCACATGTCAGAATTTATATGATACTGACACTGTTGCATTGTACATCCATTGGTTCCCAATTGCGTAGATCGATGCTCATGCTGTTGATCACTGGACTGTCTGGTCAAGACTCGATTATTTACAGACCGCAGCCATATAGCTGGAATATTGCTGAGTGTGGCGTAAAACTAAACTCACTCACTCACATTGTACATCCCCTCAAGCTGTGCAATTTGGTCGCTCATTTATTACTTTTATATATATCTAGAACATAATCTTTATCAGGTGGAGACCCGTGAAGATCTGGGTTAGAATTAGCCTTCAGTAACCCATCCTTATTGTTAGAGGCGACTAACGGGATCGGGTGGTCAGGCTCGCTGAGTTGGTTGACACGTCATCATATCCCAATAGTGTAGATCGGTGCTCATGCTGTTGGTCACTGGATTGTCTGTCCAGATTTGATTATTTACAGACTGCCGCCATGTAGCTGGAACATTGCTGAGTGTGGCGTTAAGCAACAAACCAACCAACCAACCTTATCAGGTGGCCTTGGATACAGGAACCTAAACTGAAATAATTTTGATGAGCTTCACGTGTCTGTCGCACCTGTTTTATGTGATTACGTGGCATAACCATGTGTAATATTGTGTTTTCCTGAATGTGCTCTCGGGCTTGACTGTATGTTAAATTCCCCAAGTAAACATGAGTATTCTGAGCATGTGTACACTGTGTGCGTGGACCGTTGAATGGTAATGTGTTCTCAGGTGGACATTTATATGCCATGAAAAGTAACAATTCATGTGTGCATGTTTCAGTCACCAGATTGCATTGTCATGGACCAGAATTATATATTGCCATGAAAAGCAGGGGACAAGTAATTCATGTGTGCATGTTTCAACTTTGGCAACCAAACATGGAAAAATAGATTCCATGTGACAAACACGTCGCAAGGAATATTAGTTGATGATCTGTATTAGTTGATGATTAGTTAAAGAAACAGGCTGACAAACTCTTTCCAAAATCATGATAAATCTTTGCTAAAAACAGGTCTCCATTGTACCACTTGGCATGGGCATGTTTATGAATTACTAGTGATGATAAGTGAGTGAGTGAGTGAGTATGGTTTTATGCCGTTTTTAGCAATATTCCAGCAAAATCACAGCAGGAGACACCAGAAATGGGCTTCACACATTGTACCCATCGCAGATAAGTGAAAAGGAGTGACTCTCCTGCCCCACTGCTGGCACAGATCACTAACACATGCAAAGGCTGGACAACTGTTCCGTAAATATCATTGTAGCAAATATCCCTTTGGAAACTGAAATTCTGCTCAACAAATGAGAAAGCATACAATAGTAAGTCACCTTGTGTCACAAGAAGGAATTGCTGATGTCACTGAAGTTGAACCCAAATACCAAAATCAAACAAATGTTATATTTGGGATTACACTTTCTTAACTTTCTTGACACTTTCTGGAATTAGCAGGACCTCCTGTATCAGACGAAGACACTCTGACAGAACAGAAACTGTTCAGCAGCCAAACGTGACATCAGATCCACATTCTTCAAGTTTTATCCTTGTTCAGTTTCCCTGAAGAAGTCTTTGAAGAGAACTTTGGCCCAGGAGTAGGACTCAATATGGCATCCATCCAAGGCACATGTCGGCACTTTTTGTGCTCAATGTGCCGTGTAGTAGTAGGACACAAAGTATGGAAATTGTGGAAGCTCTGGATCTGAAGGTTTGAGCTCAGCACATTATGGGAGACACATACTCAGAAACATGGTGACAAATACAGTCAAAGACTTCAATCTAATATGGCTGACAAACGGTGCCATTTAGCCATGTGGGTCCTACACTTGAAATTGAAAGGAATGTGATTCCTGTACTAGAAATTTGGAAATCATTGGACCAGTAGTTTGGGAGAATATTGGACTTATTTTAATTAAGTTTGAATTTTCTGCCCTTTGTCCTTGAGCCTAGAACCTTGAACCCAGATGCACTTTGTAGATTTTTTGTGAAGAGATTCTGATCACCGGTTCTTGAGTTATGATTGTAACAGAAACGGTGGAATAATAATAATAATAGAAAAACTACTCTCAGCATTTAAAACTATGCCTTGGACACTTTGTTAAAAGCTCAAGGTTTACGGAGTCCCTAGTTTCAAATACAGACAAAAAAACAAACCAAGATCAATCCAATTTCCAAACACTGGACACGCATGCATGGATCACCATTTGGACATTGATGGTTGGTTTTAAGAAACCAGTTCCAGCTGATAACAGCAAAGCAGCATCTCGTTATATCAGGTTATGGAGCCTGTTTCTGTATTAAACACTGGACTGCAGTTCATAGTTCTGTCCAGGATGTTGCAGCAGGTGTCAGGATATGGATGTGTCTGTCTTGTAGCACTGCCCCAGTGTGGACACATTGTCCAGTGTCTCTCGGTATTCGTCCTCCTCCAACCCTGCCTCAAGGTAGTGATGGTGCTTCTTGATGTTGAAGCGGGATGCCTCATTGTGGAGACTGCTGGTCAGGTTGTAAACACTGTCATTGGACTGAAGAGACGTCATTACAGGAACTGACTCCACACCTGAAACAAAATTGGTGAAGGAATTGCATGAATGTTGAGTTAAAATTCGACATTGCATTGTTTTGGCCAAAAGCTATTAGAATCATTCCTGTTATATAGAAAATTCAGTATATTAAACCTATGTTAGCATATTAATCAATCATCAGAAATGAGCAATGGAAAATGCAATGTTTTAATACTTACCTGATGCTACAATGCTTCAACTTCCCTACCTTAGCCAAACAGATATTCCTAGAACGGAGATACAGATTGAAGTAAATGCCCAAATACCCCAGAGTTATCTACCTTTGACCGATAATCCCTCATATTCTTCAGCATATGACGGCAGACGCAGCATGGACAGTAGTGCCAGAATGGCAGAAGCAACCCTTCATGATGATCCTAACGAAGCTGTTTGCATGGAGGGCCATCCTTGACAACAAGGCTTATTTCGCATGTCAGTTGTGGGCTTCTGGGTGTAGCAGATCAGCCAACAGATAAGCTTGAAGTACTGCCGAACAGGGCCAAAATGGTATTGTGTTAAACATCACTTCAGCGATGACATGGTCGGAGACCAGCACCGATATTGGCATAGGGCCCAGATGGGCCCAGTGCTAGTTGTGGTCATTCCCTGGGCTTACTATCTCAGAGAAGGACAGTAAGTGGAACCAGAAATCAAGCTGGCCTGGCTTGGTTTTTGGTAAATCACCAAAGATCATGCCCCTGGACTGCTTTTTGAAACTGACCTTTGAAACATCCAGTGTATGAATCTTGCTAACTATGGCTGCCTTGGTGAGAGCCAGAGGAAAGCATATCTTGATAGAAAGGTCCTCAAAATGCAGACTCAAGTGATTCATAAGGTGCTTGACGGAAGAATGACCCTCCAGACGAAAACCACCAAAAATGGTGAAAGGTTCTGTGGTACTGAGGCCAAACAGGTATCTGGAGCAAGAATTTCTCATTCTACAAGTGTCTCATTTATCATTTTCAGTTTCATATGACAAGAGAGAAACGAAAATGAAGATCGCGAAATCTAACTTGTTTTCTTGTAAGGTCACCGGATGTGATGTCACAGACAGGGGATGTGATCTTTGTTATTGAATACACAGTAAATTTGAAGATATTTCGTCTGGCAAACCCAAATTTAACACAAATCACTATTTAGAATGATTAATCATAGCTCACAGGAAACAAGCATTGTCACTAAGGTGACATAATCCCCCGCCGCAAATGATCAAATCAAACTTAAAAAGTAATGAAAGTGAAGGTTGTAATTATAGTTGAAGTTAAATGTCAACAAAAACATGACCAGTCAACCTCTCTTGATATCTTGCTCTGTAGTTGTTCAAATATTTTCAAGAATCACTTTGACCTTGACATGAATGTCTTAGTGTATGAAATATACAAAAATAGTAATAAAGAAATTGCTTATTGAAAAACATTCAAGGGAAGTCTTGAAAGTCTATGAAGAAAATCCAGTGAACTGTTCTTGAGATATCTCGCTGACAATCTTAACATGCAGTTTAACATGCTGAAATTTCCAAAGTGTCACCGTGACCTTGAAATTATTTGATGGTCACCAAAATCAACTGGGCCTTGCACCTTCCCTAGATGAAGCTTGGAGTCAAATATGAGGAAAATCCAGTGAACGGTTCTTGAGGTATCTCACTGACAAGCTTGACATGCAGCTCAACATGTTGAAATCTTCAAAGTGTCGCCATGACCTTGAAAATTAGGTGAAGGTCACCAAAATTGACTGGACCCTGCGCCTTCCCTAGATAAAGCTTGGTGTTGAATATGAAGAAAATCCAGAGATCAGTTCTAGAGATATCTCGCGCGACAAGGGTAAAACGTTGAAGTCCCCTTGTGACCTTGAAATGAAGGTCAAGGTCACTAAACTTGACTGGGACCTTTCTTTTACTGTGATGAACCTAGGTACCAAATATGAAAAGAATCCAGTCAACGGTTCTTAAGATATTCCAATTCGTACGTACAGACGGACGGACGGAGCCTAATGCTATATCCCCCGCTTTGCGCGTAAACATGCGGCAGGGGGATAAAAAACCATGTTGTTTTTGGCTATATAATTGGCAATATCACGGAACCAGTTTGACCTTGTATACTCCCGTGACCCGGAAACAGTAGTTGATCAACACTCCACATGCAAGTTTCTCAGTATCTTTTATTTGAACATTTCTTGATATTAGGACAACCACTACATTCTACACTGAATATGCAGATAAGAAACATAATAGTGAGGATGTATGTTGATGCTAGTTTGTTTGTTTTTTTACTTTGTCCGATGCAGCAACGTTTACAAACATCGGCATCAACAACAGGTGCGCGGAAATAGGCGTGACATAATTTGTTTCAAAATAACATTGATGCTTTTCTTATTGTGATAAAATATGATACATGATGCATATGTATTATATTATATACTAAAATATAGTGTCAATTATAGTCTCACGTGAAATTAGTGATGATTTAATGAATTGTGCGGTCATATTACATGTATGCCAAATTTATAGTCTCGCTTCAGAAAAATTTGAATTAAATTTACAGTATAAATTTATGCAATAAATTAAAATCCTTGGTGAATACTGATGACAGATTTGTAATGCTTAATGTTTCACAGCTGGTTACAACTTTAGACATTTTCATGTATTTTCATATGTTTATTGTTATTAATAATATGATAACTATTTTTCTCTCCCAAATGGTCACGGGTAAAGACACTATAAGGATTTATCAAATGCATTAGCAAATTGTAAATAACCAATTATCAATTACTGTCTTTCAGTGATGTGGAAAACTAACAATTTTACATAATTATTTAAAACAACTATACCATAAAATATATGGATAGATGTTTCTTATTATTTTGTGTATTGTTTCAATACATTATCTTGCTAATATATACCTCAAATACAGATGGGTGATGAACTACTTTTGTTTTCAACAGTAACTCTTTGTTTTGTGAATTATTTATTATCACAGACAGTATTTATTCAGTAAAGAGGCCCTCGCCCATAATACAATCAGATTGACACTGTGTTTAGTGGGTGTGCAATATAACCTTTGCAGCTCTACATCCTGGAGTTTATCAATTTCTGTACATGGCATAAGTATAGGCCAACATTGTATATGACAACATCATTTTTCCTATCACAGAAACGGATGAAATCAGATCTACAGTAGTAAGAATGTAATGTAAATGGATTTCTTAAAATTTGGAATGACGAGATACAAAAATAGTCATAGTCTGTGTGAATGCATTTCACTCAAAATCGGTATTTGTTTTAGTCATTAAAACAGCCAAACAGCACATCATTTGTTCTCCAAGTAGGAGCAAAATTGAAATAATTATGTTGCAGTTTCAAAGTTTCAATTCTATCTAGTAGTTCTTCACATTGTTTGATGTGTGTCCATTTGTTTTCTAAAAATACTGGTCAAGTGACCCATGCATATCATTTGAGGCAATGACAATATCAAATACATACAGACCCTCATCTGGGAAACAGACTGAACAAACTGGTTTGGAGCAGTGCTGACAGGATTTTGCATGTTTGTAATTCATAGTGATGATGTTGTGAATCAAGATTGTTCTTGACATATTTTGTTTTATGATGGCAGGGGCAATTTACATACTGTAGTCAGTTTGGAGCTAATCCATTGAGCATATCACTATCAGACACTTCAGCACACAGCAACAATCCTTGAAAGTTCAGTAGACATACTGTAGTCATACGAGCATATCACTATGAGACACTTATGTTATTGCTCTAAAAACCCAAAGGAAAGATACTAAGGTAAGATTTCTATTTGCTTTAATTTTAACAGAATATGAGGCCTGTTGACTTTCATCAGAGACCATATAATTAATTACATGTATATTGTCTCTGTTTTCATCAAATGATAATATTTTCTGCTAATTATACTGTTACAGCAACGGCAGAAATGATACTAGTAATTTGTGACTGAAAATATTAAGTTATTGTTATGACATACTGACATTTTATAATATTTCCCCGTGTCAGAACATTAAATTATTCGAAAATCACCGACCGCGAGATCCATTACGACTTTGAATTTGTAAACATAAAGATCTACGCACTGGCGGCAATATTAGGGGACAAAATATACAATGAAAGCAAAAAATGACAATTACTGTTAAAAACAGCTAACAGTAACCAATTGAAGGGGATTGAAAAGTTAATTCTACTATTCATTTTGGATTTTACGGAATTTGAATCAATTTAGAAAATGTATCAATGGTCGTTTTCCAACTCGTACGTATTTTACTTCCATGAGTGCCGTGCTGTACGTGCTTCCGGTTTCACCAAGGGTGGGTACAATTACAAATATTGTGATAATGTTTCATGAGCTGCATTATTTAGGTATTCAGTCGTTTTCTTTGAATGTTTTTGAGTTCAGATTCTACGCGTAATTTCAAACATCCTTCATGTCTTGTCACCTAAAAAAAAGCGAGTTTGGCCACGCCCTTCACGTGTCACCTACGGCTGTCAACAATGTCCTTGTCGGAAGGTTTGTCAAACAAAATCATTATAAACTCGATAAATATGATAATTTTGTGACAAAGACAATAACATGTACCTAATCAGACCATGTAATTAATTCCAACGAAAATAGTTGGATCTATCAAAAGGATGGCACAATTGTTTCGGTATCACGATGCATGTGGAGTTGTTTGTTTACCACCATTGCCATGATCGTTCCCATTCATCCAATCGGCGATGTGACATTTAGATTGTTTTTGTTTATAAATAATTAAACCGAAAGTTACTAATTTTTAGAAAATGGGAAACTTCAGTGTTTTCTCTTTACCTAAGAACAAAAATATTGATGAAATTATAAAAAAATATTTCGTCATGAAGAAAATATTAGACTGGGTACCACTCGACGTGATGTGCCTGAAGTCCACAATGGCCGTTATTTGCGGCTGTGTGCCGAGAAATTTTAATTCGAGGGCGTTTCATTTTAAGGTACATAAACTAATTGAAGATGTTTAGACAGCTGAGAATTAATGCTTTCCAAACATAATTCAAATGACATGTAAATCCGACTTGTTAAATAATTATTGCAAGTTTAATTTGGGGATGTCATTTTGCTGCTCCCCTGTCGAATGGGTTCGACAGTAGCATTGAGAGGATTAATGGGGCAGGCATTCTGGCAACACTGCAGGTTGGTGAAAAAAGGGCACAAAATTCCTTTCATCATCACTGTGGTATGAATTATTAAGGGGCAGGCAATCTGGCAACACTGCAGGTTGGTGAAAAAAGGTCATGAAAAACTCATATCTGGCACAGACTTAAATCTGTTTCAAATATCATTCCATTCCAGTACAGTCTATTAAGGGAAGCTAAGGTATAGTGCCAGGTAAGGCAGAGCCACAATTTCTCTGCAAAAATCATTCTGCTTCAACCGTTTGATGTCAAGCTATTGCTATGAAATAGAAAATAGAGAGGTGTCAGATAAAACTGATTGAAAGTATAAGTGCTAAAGATCATCATCAAGTACTAAGGCTTGCATGCCTGCAGGATATCAAGACTTATGACAGTGTGGATGGTATACACACCCGTTAACTAGTGAAACCTACACTATATAATAGGGGAGACAACTTTAGTAGCTACCTTGGTATGATGGCCTGTCTGTATCACAAATGTAGCCACTGCTGGACACGTTGCTGGAGAAAACATGTGGGTAAGGGGAGACAACTTTACAAGCATCTCGCATTGTACAGCCAGCACTGAAATAGGAGAAACATATATAACTGCATCCGTTTCATCATTGGTATACAAACAATTGTCATCATTGTATCATATATACAAACTTATTTGGTTTATCTCCAAAAGGTTTATCTCAAAAAGATTATATTTATTAGGAACAATAAGAATGGTTTGATATGAATATGAACTATCAAAAAAGGCATAACACTGCTAAATGCATTCCATCAAAGTTCTATTCACTATAATATTTTTATCATTTAAAGAGGATAGGTTATGGTTCATACTAGTCAAAGCAGCAATCATTCGAAACTAAACATGATACAGCCTCAAATCATTTAACCAAATGTGCAATTGAACACGAAAACACTTTGGAAGTTAAAAGACGTTTACAAACAATATTGCACACGAAAAAAAATGTTTCAGAATATGTATAAAAACAGATGTTAATGGGAGAGAAAATATGTTGTATTGTGAATAAAACTGTTGAACAACATAAGAAAATAATGTGTATGCACATCGATGTTAACACATATATTTTCTCTTAACAGATATTCTCATTTTATAACACATCCTAATGATCATGTTTGAAAAAGAAGTATAAATATTAACCATTAACTTCTTGAGAGAAGTTATAATCAGAGGCATGTTATAATCAAAGTCGAAGACACAGGTGAAACCTTCAGACAACTGTGAGTGACTTACTTAAGGGACTGTGGATATGTCTCTGACAGGTAAAGGTGGAGAACCTCAGCGAGAGAGGAACAGCCTGTCAGTATTCGGGGATGTCAGGTGTCGGCTGAGATCTAAATACAAACATACATAAATGTAATTTTTATGATAAAATTGGAAATTTTAAATATAAATTGTATATTTATATACTTATCCTATCTCACGGTATGCACTTCTCTCGCTTGATTCGACACTGAGTGGAATGATGGAAACTTTTTTCCCTTGGCCTCTCTTGTCCATCCGCCCAAGCACTCCATGCTACCCTCATTATAAGACAGCTTCCTAGTTGTCATGCAAAGCATGCGGCATGCACCACTAGCTACCCACGTGACTATCTCCGAATCATCATTCTCATTCTTGGAGCCACTGGAATATCAAGCTTGGAGAATCTGCGTGGCGGGGAGGATGGGCGGGAATCCGTCGCGTGAGATAGGATAAGTATATAAATATACAATTTATATTTAAAATTTCCAAATTTTTAAACTTATCCTATCTCACGGTATGCACTTATCCCACGGTCGGACGGCTGGACGCAGATACCCTGTGTCTTGTCAGTGCGAACAGTAGAACTGTGTAGACTGGAAACAACCGTAGATAGCGATGCACAAGGGAGGCCTGTTACGACTAGCGCAACTCCTATGCCTGTGACGAGTTCCTCTGAACTCCTTGGCTTACTAAGCACAACGTCTCCCAGGGAGATGGGTGCTCCCGAGCGATGAGGTGTTCGTCCGCAACCTCCGGAAAAGGATGCAGCTCAGCGAGAAAGGATGTCACTTCGCCACGATTTTCAAGCTTACTTAATTGCTTCGAAAAGTAGAGGTCAGAACACGTGAAATGTCTAACTCTTCCACATCGGGATACAGAATCGTGCTCCAGATTCGTCCAACCTCTGAGGTGGTAGTATCTCCGTGTCTTAGTATAAAACTAAGTGAAGTAGTTCTAACCCATAGGCAATCAAAACATAAGGCAGACATCAAATTCAGACTTATATTCAGGAAAGTACTGGGAAGCAGCAACCGCGTGGGACCGTTCCCTATCTGCGTTGTTGGGTCGTACTCAGCTGTTGTGCGAGAAACAAGGGGTCCAAACTGGTACAGGCCGTAGACGTCCTTGACTGAGAGATCCCGAGTAGTAGGAGGAGAAGACCGAGTCAGATCGCCAGAAACATCCTTCCATAATGGCGTGGAGAGAGCAGTTACTATGCAAAGACATCGTAGATGCTAACGCCTGTGTCTCATGTGGATTGAAAGCTGTCAGTGGCGGTAACCCAGCGAAGGTGTAAGCCCATAGGATGGTGGCTCTCATCCAGAAGGATAATGTGGTGCGAGATGTGTGGTGGATGTTGAGGACAACAGAATGAAAAGGGCTTTGCTGTTTTCAGGCTGTAGTTGAAGTGATTCCTCCTAGAACTGGTTTATTTACAACCCAGTGAGCTTGCTGACACATGATATGCAAATCAGGCCTGCGCAGGGCATTGGCTTCTGTCCTAAACCAATGAGCTCCCAAGCATGTGACGTCAGCGGTGTTATAACAGGTGGGCCCCCATGAAATATGGTGCAATAGCTGGTTGAGTAAAAGTGTGCGTAAGAATTACGCCGCTTACATAATCCTCCAAAACCATTTGAATAAGGGTTGCTCCAGGTGTAAAGTCTTTGATGGATCGTTTATTCATAGAGTTCATAGTCTTACTGACTTACTGGTCCTTAAAATCCTGTGACCTCCTTGATGTATGATATGAAGAGCAATCAAATATGATGGGAGCAGCCCATGGTTGCGTAAAAGTGGCTTAATGTAGAGGTCGGTCAAAGGCACGAGGATAGTAGATCTTGTTGACGCCTTAAAGTGAGTCCCGCTTAGGGCGATGCTAAGTGATCCCACTGATAAGGGGATACGTTCTCTCTCCATTGTGGGTTTTAGAGTGCGTTAAGCAGAGTTCCAATAATTGTCTTAAGACAACACATATATTGTCTAGCTGGTGTTTATTCTGTAAGTTTGAGACTTGAGTTACTCAACAGTGAGTAATTTCCCATCCACTTCTGGTGGCTTAAACTGAGGCGTAGGCTGGCCCTAGTGATATAGTTGCTTCCATGACACTAATTCCATCTAAATTGATGAGTCGAGATTCTCCTGAGAGTTATCCTCAGCTAAATTCACTACAAATACAATGTTATGATTGCCAAAGGATATGAAGGACCAACTACCGCAAAAATTTGAGCCCTTATTGAGTATAAGGCCGTAGAAGGTAAACGAGGTGCCAGCCCAACCGTCTAGGTGGGCGATGGAGGAGAGAGTGACAATATGGCCACGGTCACCTGGGATGCAGTGGCAGGAAGCGGCAAGGGGCCCTATTGGGGTGAGTAAAGTTTTGACTGTTCTTGGAAACATTAGGACAGAGGTTTCCACTTAACCTTCGTATGGAAAGGGAGATAAGCAATAAATATGAGTCAGGATCAGTTTACTTTATAAAGATATGATCTCTTGTGGATACAAACAGCATATTCATTGAGTTAAGAGTTTGTTTGTGTTTACAGAGATGAATACCTAACACAACTGTGTGCGCACTGTATAAATCCTGTGGAAACTCAAAACAGGGATTGAAGTTGTGTTGAAAATGCCTGTCACTGGATGCTTCATTAATCAATAACATAAAACGATGGCAGACAAGAGTATGAAATCTTAAACATTGTTGGACGCTATAATACAAAACATTCCAACCCAGTCCATCAGCTGCCAATCAAGACACACTAGTCTGTGAGAGGGCAGGGCATTATTATTTTTCTGGGTTTGTTTTTTGTCTGTTTAAGAAACCATGCATGTCCCCAAAACTGTCATGGGATCCCAATATATTTATCGCTCACTGCTTTATGTTGTAAACTATACTATACACTCAAAGAGGTACACAGTGTCATATCGTGAATGCAGGGAAAGTGTAACTATAGGCTATTCTTCTGCGAGTGTCATATGAAATAATGACATACTGTTGTAAAACGTTATTGGAACCCATGAACATCATCTTGAGCTCCTCACAGTTAGATGATGTCAAGCCCACAAATGCCTGACAAATTACACCTGACACAGAGATTAGTGGTGTAGTAAGGTAAGTAGTACAAACTACACCATAGAGGTATTGAACGTGTTTGAAGATCTTTGTTGTGTAGAAAAGTCAGTATCGAGTCTTATGATGATGTCATGAATCTGTGACCATTATTGATCCACCACATGTGACCACTGCACTAAACAAGGAAGCACCTAAATGATATGCCAGAAGATGGCCTCGGATGTTTAACTGACTGGTCTGCTTGCTGGCATGGTTTCCAAAACAAGCAGTTAGAGGATTTGCCCACTAAAAATCCATAGCCCTGTGCACATATATTTCACAAGGATCATGCAAACCATGTGCATTATTGCACTGAGATGAACAACCTCTACAACAAAACTTGAACTGTTTCTAGTTTCAAAAACAAATGTCCAGGACAGTCAAACTTCAGAATCCACCATCCAGAGAACAGAACGGTTTCAGTCCCAAACACAACCTAAATGGTTTCCAGCCATAAGAAACGAATACAATCAGCCTCAGAATACAGCTCAGTTTCAGCTTCAGAAACAATTCCAGCTTCACAGTGACTGACATAAGATTAAAGCCATTTGTGATTGAGTGAGTGAGTTTAGTTTTATGCCACTTTTAGCAATATACCAGCAATATCACGGCGGGTGACACCAGAAATTGGCTTCACACATTGTATCCATTATGGGAAGCGAACCCGGGTCTTCGGCATGACGAGCCAACGCTTTAACCACTAGGCTTCCCCACCGCCCCCACCATTTGTGAGGGGCATTCCAGTAATATCCCAACATGTTAAGTGAGTGAGTGAGTTTAGTTTTACTTTGCACTCAGCAATATTTCAGCAATATGGCGGCAGTCTGTAAATAATTGAGTCTGGACCAGACAATCCAGTAATCAACAGCATGAGCACCGATCTGCTCAACATGTTAAGGAAAGTCAAAAGTGATGCAGCTCTCAGACACCAGCTGCATAAGCAAGCACCCAAACACAACAAATTTCTGATTATCCATGGAAGTTCTGATGTAGTAAATGAGATGCTTGGAACCTGTTGAACCAAAAAGTACAAAATTGTTGATAAATGTCGGCTCACATTTGTCTTTCAGTATTTATGATAGATGAAACACTTTCCTTTGAGTTTAAAATGTAAACCCTCCTTCTTAACTAAACTCTCCTTAGCATGTAATACCCTTTGAATACATGAGGGGTGGTGGGGTAGCCTAGTGGTTAAAGCGTTCGCTCATCACGCCAAACACCCGGTTTTGATCCCCAAATCGGTACAATGTGTGAAGCCCACTTGTGGTGTCCCCCTCTCCATGATATTGCTGAAATATTGCTAAAAGCAGCTTAAAACTAAACTCACTCACTTGAATGCATGTTTAATGCATGTTAAACAGATGTGTGTAACCGGAGTTCCTCACCTGGTTATCTTGTGGTCTGGTACACCCCTGACCACACAGGACTGCATGTAGGGTCAAGACAGGTGCCTACATGGGGGGTGAGGGAATACCAGGGTGGGTGGTCTTTGTGGGACATCAGACTCTCAACAAATGTCCCCTGGGGTGTGAGAGGGAAGGGGAGGCTGGAGTAGACAGCTGCAACCTGAAGTAAACAAGGCTGATGCTTAGACACTCACGTCACATGGGGAAACAAACTCTCACTTATGTGACAAAACATAAGCCATCTCAACTGTTTTCTTCTCACAATTTAGTGAATACATTTGTCTGCTTGCTGTGTAATGCTGCAGTCAGGAATATTCCACCTATAAAACATAAGCTTCTTTCCTCATGAAACTAGAACTACACAATATAGAACACAAAATTTGCAAGATTTAAAACTGATTTTGATGGTCTGTACACTAATTTGAAATGATATGCAGGATCAAAGGCTGGGTACAGTCTCCCACAGAGTCTCAGAGACTGTTGTGACTTTCATATCTTTAAATCCAATCTAAGACTAACATATTTGTGATGTTTATGCTTGGCTTACACGCACCTTTCTCCCGAGATTGTTGAATGACGCTGTGATATCAGCCAGCTGTGTTGCGAAGCCCTCACGCCTGTACGGGAGAGACAGTGTATCCAGACAAGCTGCCATGATGCCACTGGTGTGGTAGTCTAGTTCCCCCTGACAATGAAATTAGAAATATGTAATATTTTCTGACTAATATAGTTTTTACTTATCCTGACTCATGCTAAATGCTTGTCTCCTTCTTCTTGCGAATGATAGTGGAACACTTGAAATCCCTTGAAGTACTCTTCTAAAAAAACAGACGTAAAATCATCACTCACCCATGAGTAGTCTCCCTTGCTTCCTTTGGCACTCTTTTTGGTCACATGACCAGCTATGTTTGTCACTCTCTCCATTTGTACGCCCGACACCTGGATTTACAGGTTGGGAGGGTTGACCTCATGAGTCAGGATAAGTATAAAATATCAATTTTACTCAGAAAATTACATATTTTTCCTTATCCTAACTCATGCTAAATGCTTGCTGAATCAGTCGGAATCGGTGGTGGGTCAGGCCACTTCCTGGATTCACTGGCTGCTGTTTTACATCCTGTATTACCCCCCCATGGGAACTTATGACGGCACTGTTGATGATTCTGTTTTTCCAACTTCCATCTGATGAGTCGGGGGGGAACCACAACTTGTCAGATTTCTTCCGAAACTTCTGACATTTTCGTGTGGATTTTAAATATACTAATGTTCCATTAGTTATCTATTGCAACTCCATCTCTTGATGCATGCATCAAGTGGAGATACGACCCTTCTTCATGTACGAGTAAGTCCTATACAAGTACAGGGTCTATCACTCATGCTAGTCTGTCCTAGACGTATGCAAGGACTTTAACCATTTGCTCTCCAGAGCATTGGTTTTCACAAGTCACGTGATAAAAGGGTGACATTTTTCTCAGCGCCATTGTGGAACCATTAGTTGTTGTACTGCAGCAAGTGGCCCAAACTGGTGAATGCCTGAGACGTTTTCGGTGGCAATGTCTCTGAGGTAGTGGTTGGCAAACACCGTGTCCGATTTCCAAAAGCAGCCCTCCATTATTGTTGTAATCGAGCAGTTTCCATGCAGAGCAAGTGTAGACGCCAGGGCTCTGACTTCGTGGGGATTGGAGGCTCGTGGAGGCTCAAGTCCTGCTGCTTTGTAGGCCCTTAGTATAACAGCTCTCATCCATATCGATATCGTTGTCCGTGAGACTTCGTGGGCATCTCAGTGGATAAGGGGGATGAATAGGCATTTGAATTTTTGTCTCCTTGTTTTTGTCCTTTGTGGGTAGACTTTTAGTGATAAATCCTGTGAATCCTTTTGCCCAAGGACTGTAGAGAGTGCAGGGATGTGGAACTGTCTGTCAGGCTGGCCGGGCAGTTGGTTCTTGGCAATAAAGTCCCATCTCAGTCCTAGATGTACGATGTCATGATGTCTTGATTCAAATTGTGTTCATTCAAAGTCCAGAGCATGTATTTCTGACATGCGTGCTGCTGTTGCTAGGGAGATCAGGAACATCGTTTTCTGTGTCAGTAGTTCAAAGGATGTCCGTTCTAGAGGCTCGTAGGCGTCACTGGTGAGATGTTGTAGAACTACGTTGAGATCCCAGGCAGGAGGCTTGAATTTCTTTTGTTGGTCTTCCAGCTTGAACGAGCGTAGTAGTGCCAGAATCTCTGGTACTTTGGTCATCTTGATACCCGTTTTCATTGTGATAACTGTACTGAGGGCAGCTAAGTAAGTTGAGAGTGTTGAACCTTTTAAGTGTCTCGTCTGTCGCAAATGACACAAGTATTCCACCACTTGAGGATGGGTAGCCTTTACCGCTGTAAAGCCTTTCCTCATTGCATACTGTTCAAATCTCTGCCACTTGTCGTCATACAAGTTGCGAGTTAATCTGCGTAGAGCCAGTGTCACTGCTTTCACTGCTCTGGCGGAGTACCCTCTAGTCTTCAGGCAAGATACGCTCCAAGCGTGTAGCTGGAACAATGCCGGATTCCTGTGAGCTTGCTTGGTGTGTGGATGGATGAGCAGGTTCAACCACTCTGGTAGTTTCAGGTTTGGACTTCCGAGTTCTTGTATGAGGACGGGAAACCATACCCTCGCTGGCCAATAGGGCGTGACCCAAATCAGTTGCAACGTTGTCGTCTGCTTGATTTTCTGTATTACTTGTGGTAATAGTGCTGGAGGTGGAAACGCGTAAGTGTTTAGTCCTTCCCATGAGATGCTTAAAGCATCTGTTGACCATGCCTGAGGATCCGGAATCGGTGAGATGAATGTTGGTAGTTGTTTGTTGAACTTTGTTGCAAACAGGTCTATCAGCGGAGATCCTACTGTCTGTATGACGAACAGGAACACTTCTTGATGTAACATCCATTCCGTCAGGGATGGTTGTAGTGGACGAGATAGGGCGTCTGCTATGACATTCTTTGCTCCTGGAATGTGACATGCCTTCATGTAGATGTTCAGGTCGTTGACGATGCTGAACAGGAGAAAGCTGAGTTTTAGCAGAGTTGTCCGTGTGCACCATGAGCCTTGCGTTCCTTAGTACGCTGTAACAGTGTTGTAAAGCGTTGATCACTGCTTTCATCTCCAACAAGTTGATGTGCAGAATTTGATCCTGACTCGACCACTTTCCTGCTGCCACTTCGATGTCGAGGTGAGCACCGCATCCTTGTAGTGATGCATCCACATAGAGATGAGTGTTGCAAGCCGGCTCTGACAAAAAGGTTCCTCCGCAACCATTTGACTTCGGAGTCCACCATAGGAGTTATGGTTTCAGGCTGTCCAGTAGTATCAGTGGATCCAAACTGTTGAGACGGGCGTTCACAAATATTGTAGTGGGCGCAGCTGTAATCTCCCTCTGCGAGTCATGTCTTGAACTGAGGTGAGTAGACCGAGCATGCTTTGCCAAGCATGTAGTGTCAACGGAGAGAGCATTGCTTGAGATATCATATGTTGTATCTTGACCCAACGATCCTCTGGGACGACCGTGTGATTCTGTGGTGTGATGAGCCATATTCCCAGAAATTGAAGATCCTGTTTTGGTTCCAACTCCGATTAGGAGATTACTAGCCATCTACTGCAATCATGTCCTACGTTGTAGGTATGTGGATCTAAGAGCCCTTGCCATGTCCGTCATGGAAGCGGAGAGATGATTGATTCTGGAATCATGGCTAGAAGCTTGTCTCATCAATCTTCCGGTAATATGTAATGAAGATGTTGTCACCAGAATCTGAACAATGTGCATCGATGATGCATAATACGTCGTCTCTAGATCAGCAAAAATCTATGATGTACTGGGACTGCAATCGATGGGAAGTCTAAGCCGTGAGCAGAAACCATCTCACGCTTGTCATTGCAAGTCCCCAGATATGACCCATGAAGATAGTCGAACCACGCTGTACCCTGCTAACTGGACTGTAAATGGAGCCTTTCCCACGTTGAAAGAGTTGTGTACAACTGTAGACGACTTCTTGGCACGTGACTATGACCGAGTTCTGCGGAGGGCGTTGTCTCTCATGGACCAATCAGATTACAGATTGGACATCACCGGTGTTGCAGGTAATTGATCCTCATAGAATCTTGTGCAGTCGTTGATTTCTTCATCAACACTCAGCCTTGTCCGTAACCTCTCTGTTCGGCTTGTGCCGGAGTTACACGAGTGAACATGTGTATAGATGGCTGAGTGGAAGCGAGCGAAAACTTCGCTGCGTAGTACCAATGTAAGCAGACTGTTCCCTGTCTGTTGTGACTGTAAGCAGACTGTTCCCTGTCTGTTGTGACTGTATTCTTCAACTTTATAATCTTTACTGTAGTCGTCAGCCTATTGTTCTGTAAAGTTGACCGTAACCGATCTCTCGCTGAGGAACTGCGACAATGCTGTTAACTGGCCCCTTGATATCTTGTAAGCCCATGAGATGAAAATTCATCTTCAGTGTTTCATCGGATGTTCCTATCTGAAGATCCATAATGTTGTGAGTCTCTGTATGTAGAGCTGCGTGCAGGTGAACGGTCCCGATGTGACCATGTATTCCTCCTCGAGTCTTGAGATATCTCTCTAGGCCTTCACAAAGGCTGATTGACGTAATCTCCCCTCTGTGAGATGTGGAGTGCCTGCATGCAGGTTACCGATGTGAGTCTAAGTCCGACGGTGATGACGATCTGTATCTACAACTTCTGTAGGGTTCGGGAGAACGCTTCGATCTGCCTCAACGTGGAGAATTCTTAGCGGTTCCTTCAGGGACGTCTAAGTCTGAGCTGACGCCGGTAGCACTGTCCAGGCTCCTAACTTCAGACGGAGAAGATCGTCGGATGCGTGAGCCTTCACGCAGGCTTCCCTCCTCTCCCAAGTGTGTGGAGAGACTGCTGAATCTTTACGCAGGCTAGTAGTCATCATAGTGGTCTTCGTAGCAGATTTCTCCTGCGCGAAGCAACATTCCATCATTGACATCATCTGATCTGTAAACTGTTGCATAAACAGCCCCGGGTGGAAGCTGAGACTGCTGCAGGGTTGATGATGCTTCTGAGAACGATGAGGCCTCTTCTAAGGTACGCTGCACTTGAGAAGAGTTGACACTGCTGCTATCTCTGGTACCCGATGTCTGCGTTGATAGAAGGTCTTCTGTCAATGTCTGCGCTGACATTGTTGCCGATGTAGCTGTTGAAGCAGGCTTCGTCTTCTTGCTGACGACTGTGACTTCAGGTATGATGATGGGGGGGATCATCATACACGTCTGCTTCTTCCGGAGGTACAATATCGGCAGTGAAGGATCTCGTCTTCTGCGTAGAACTGTGAAGAAACTTCGACGAAGTCTTTGGAGCTGTAGACTTCTTCTTCTGCGCTGAAGAAGATCTCGTCTTCTTCGTCTGCGATGAAGACAGCTCCGTTGACGACGATCTCTACTTATTCGAGGCGGAGTTCATCACTGGAACAGCGACCTGCCCTCGTAAAACGCTCGGCAATTCACTGGAATTATGAACATCAGCATCAGTAGTTAACACACGGTTATCAGCGCAATCACTCGATTTACCAGACATGACTTGTGAATACCTTCTTACCCAGTCCTTTGCACGTCTATGAAGAGAAAAAAGGTAGTTATTAAATTCAAAAGTAGTTAGTTTCTGACAATGTTTACAGCGATAGCTGGAAGAACATGTAGTTGTGCAATCAGGACATAATATATGCGGGTCAGCCACAGACAGCCGGTACCTACAACGAATACAAGTTTTCATCAATTGTAAACCAGATGAAAAACATGGCAAACAACGTATAATTTAGACATAATATCAAAACATTTGATCATATACAATCCAAAACCATATACAGCTGCCATTTAGATGTAAAAGGTCCAAAATAGAAAAGGATATGTGCCATATAGGAACCCAAGTGCTCTCACAACCGTCCTCAAGGGCGAAGAAGGAGAGAGTGACAAAACATGGCTGGTCATGTGACCAAAAAGGGCGCCAAAGGCAGCAAGGGAGACTACTCGTTGGTGAGTGATGATTTTACGTCCACTTTTTAGTAGGGAACTTCAAGGGATATCAAGTGTTCCACTATCATTCGCAAGAAGGAGACAAGCATTGAGCATGAGTCAGGATAAGGAAAAATATGAATGTATCAATGCATCATATTACCCAACACATACGAGTTATAAACCCCCACCTTTATTCATCAATGCACAAAAATAGTTTCCAAACTAAATCCAATATTCCTTTATGTATCAAGCAGCACAAAGACAATAAACTTGATATACTTGTAATAAGATATATGATCTGAACAATGTTGAGTGAGGGAGCAGCATTAGTACAAGTGAGATGGTGAATGTAGTGTATAGTTTCAACTACAACACAGCAGACTGTAAATAAATGATGAATCAAACAGGTGAGTCAAAACATGAGCACTGATCACCACAAATGGGCTTCATGCCACTCAGTCAGTCTCCAAACATCTGTGATCTATAATGAGAAATGACATTTTCAGGAGTCCTGAACTACAAAATGGGGGTCCCAGACACTTAAATATTACTACTAATACTATGTTGTAATATTGTTGTAATTCAGTTACATTTATTGTATTGTGTATCATGATCATCACATTGTTACAGTGATTAAAATGCAAATGATACCATAACCCGGCTAGTAGCAAACTCTGGGATAACCTGTTGTTACTTGATTGGAATTTTTCACAAAAAGTATTTGGACTTTTTCTGCATCCCTATGGGACTAATAAATTTTGTTCAACCATGCTCAATTTTTATGTGTATAGGGCAGGAATTCTTGTCCCGTAAATCCCTCGTAATAAGTATGTATGGTGTGGACTTACTTTGACCCACAGTGAGACAAGCATGAAGTAAGGAAACATATCCTAAACTCACATACCTGGGTCCCATTCCACAAGCTATTGTGTCCTATGGCAATCACAGAGTATGTGAGTTACAATCACCTTGGTGGTGAGATTCGTGGGACAGGACCTGGAACTGCTACCATGGAGACAACCTGGAGTATCCTACTATGACCTAAACTCCCCAAAGGGCCATTCTCCCTGTTAGCTTATAACATAACATGGAGGATACCATGACACTTCCATGTTAATTTGTATTAAAACCCACTCATACTGGAAACATATTATGTACTATATAATTCTACAATGATGTTGTACTTGTAGATCCATCTTCTGCCCTACAGCCTCCTACCTTGTAGCTGAGATGGGGAAAGTCTCGAGATGGCCCCATCTTCTTCCACAGAGAGCCGGCCAGAGACATGGGGACAAACAGAGAGCTAAAGTTACTTCCCTTGTCTAGACAGAATGCGCTGTTGATGATTCGATTGGCACGCTGGCGAACAGTCTGAAACAGATCTCTGTTTGCTAAAAATCATTTCATTCATATTTCACTCTTATGGAAAATCTAATTACAAATCTTTAATTCTGTTTTCTTGTCTGGCTACCTCAATGTCATAACATGTTTGGGCTATAAAGGATTACTGCATCCAGTTAGGACACACTGACTTTCTGCCTGTTTGTTTCATGTCTGCCGGGTTTTCAGGTTGAGTGGTGACCCTTGGTCTGCATGGAGAATATTTTACTTTTTCTAAGATATCTAAATGTTTCAATCTAAAAAGGGTTTGTTGCTCAGATGGCCAAGTGATACCTCTTAAAGTTCTATTGCACCAAACTAACTACAGACACTTACAACAAGAACCTGTTAATAATGAATGGTATTGTACTCAGTGAGATCATCTGGATCATGTTTAGGAAGGACAAACTAGGACAGGAGAACATTTTGGCAAACTGTGAATGTTAAAGTGAGTGAGTGAGTATGGTTTTACGCTGCTTTTAGCAATATTCCAGCAATATAACGGCGGGGACACCAGAAATGGGCTTCACACATTGTGCCAATGAGGGGAATCGAACCCGGGTCTTCAGCATGATGAGCGAACGCCTTAACCACTAGGCTACCCCACCGTCCCATGAATGTTAAAGTCTAATCTATGATCAGATGAATTTGGCACCCTGTGATTGCATCTCTGAAGAGCATGTGTTGAGTCAAGATGAGCAATAGTAGCAAGCCTCTTGGCTGAATCAGCCATTTGGCAAAATGGAGCACATCCTATTCATGTACATATAGCTCCAAACATGCAAGTGTTCAAATGTAAAAAGTCTAATCCTCATTTCCAAACTTTTGAGTATCTTATTCGTCAGGAAGGGCTCTTACCATTCCTTGTTTTCTTACGGTGGCCCTGATAGCATTGTTAGCAATAAAAGAACCCTAATTAAACCAGGAATCACACAGAAGACAGAAATTCACAATGTTTTACTGGTATACGTGATGTCTATTGGCAAACTCACAGAATCAGGCATGACAGCAGGAGACACGGCACATGTCATCCGAGCCTTGTTTGTGTATTCGTCCTCCAGGTACTGGAGGAGGCTAGCCCCATATCCCCCGAACCCATCACACCAGTCCAGCAGCATGTGGAACCCCTGCAGACACAACCATCAATCAGGATACTATGGTTGCCATGGTAACAAGGTGACCTCCTCAACATTCCCGTGAACAAAGATAGAGGAAAACAACGTAGAACAACACAAAGTGAACATCACAAAATACTTGTGTCAGATTAGGTAGAGAATAAATAAAAATGGCTGCATATTGAAAGCCAGATTGAATGCAATGATTGATGAGTTTGGTGTTACGCTGAACTCATCCATATTACAGCAATATGGCAGCGGTCTGTAAATAATCAAGTCTGGACCTGACAATACAGTGATCAACAGCATGAGCATCGATCTATACACAGTTGGGATACGATGACATGTGTCAACCAAGTCAGCGAGCCTGCCCACCCTATCCCGTTAGTCGCCTCTTACGACAAGCATGGGTTACTAAAGACCAATTCTAACCAGGATCTTCACGGGTTTGAATGCAATGAACAGATAAAAACATACCAACGTAAATAATAATCTCACTTACACGAAAGGTGACAGACATAATGTGGAATTTTACCATCACAAAAATGGACACAGATCCAGCACAAGAGTTCATCTAGGGGTACAATCCCTGTGTTCACTTGGGTGAGTGAGTATGGTTTTATGCCGCTTTTAGCAATATTCCAGCAATATTACCGTGGGGGCAACCAGAAATGGGTTTCACACATTGTACCCATGTTGGGAATCGAACCCAGGCCTTCAGCTTCACGAGCAAACACTTTAACCACTGGGCTACCCCACCACCCCATAGTTCAGGTAGTCATGCCAACAAACTGCCTCCCCGTTGTGTACCTGCAGGTGGTCACACTCCTCCACAAAGAAGCGAATCTGGTCCTCCATGGCATCCATGGCATCAACATTCTTCAAAACACTAGCGCCAAGCTGGAACATGTCGAATGTCTGGTCCTCACTGGAAGACAGACCTCAGGTTATACTCATGTCAAGCAATTACACAAATATATCGGTCTAACATCATTGGTACCACACACAGCTATGTTAAACATATCCACTGCTGGAACTGAACTGATGCAATTTTACTGTGAATGGCAATAATCAATAACTTGGTTGAGACGAGTTGGGTGCCAGTATCAGACCCCAGTGTTGGTAGGCATCTTGCAGCCACTTTACACATCAACCAATACAACACAAGAAGTCTCTGAATGATCACTTAGAAGTGATACACATAATAGGGGGAAAGTACGAGGAACAATACATTCTTACTCCTTTATCAGCTGAATGAAAGCTTGGTTGATGATGAAGATGATTTGGAGATTTTACTTGCACTATGATGAAGACTGACTGACTGACTGAGTTTGGTTTTATGCCGCTTTTAGCAATATTCCAGCAACATCACGGCAGGGGACACCAGAAATGGGCTTCACACACTGTACCCATGCATGACGAGCCAACGCTTTAACCACTAGGCTACCCCACCACCCCCATGAAGAAGACAGCTATACAAGTAAATGTGAAAACAAAAACAAAGACTAGAAAGTGTTTTTACTCGTAAAAACAAACGTCTCCCCCTTCCCCCAATTCAACGTTGAAACCTCAAACAATTCATTTGATTCCTTCAATTTCAAGGTATGAAAAGCAAATAAAATAAAATTTAAAGAAAAATTCAAACCCCCAAAAGGTACATCTACATGATATGGAGAGGCAGTATACCAAATTTGGTGAAGATGGGTCAATTAGTCTCAGAATTATGCTCCGGAAACGAACTTTACCCTTCAAAAAGACAACGTCCAAATTGTTGCCATGAAAACACAAAAAAATAAAATTTAAAAAAAAAACCCCAAAACTACTCAAACCCCCCAAAAGCACATCTACAGGATATGGAGGGGCAGTTTAGCAAATTTGGTGAAGATGGGTCAATTAGTTTCAGAATTATACTCCGGAAACGAACTTTACCCTTCAAAAAGACAACGTCCAATTATTGCCATGAAAACAGAAATTGAAAAAAGACTCACACCCAAAAGGCACATCTACATGATCTGGAGAGGCAGTATACCAAATTTGGTGAAGATTGTTTCAGAGTAGTTTAGAGTTATGTTCCGTAAACAATGGGAACGCTGACACCGACACCTAGGCTGAGGCCAACGGAAACTCAACCAAATACAATATGTCTCCCGACCCTTCGGGGGAGACAAAATAACAAATGTGGGCACTTAACAAGAGAAGACTGTAGATGACAGGTAGTTAACTGATTATCGATGGCAATGAACAAATAGAATCCAGGAGTAAATAGTACTGAAAGGTGAATATGCAACGACAGGTATCAAAGTAATCAATACAAGAGGAGCTCTAGTTGGCAGGGTATTACGCCATAATGAGCCCCAAATGGGAGTATAGTCCAGTCATCCTGGTAAGATTCTGACCTAACCCACCACAAATTGCAACAGAAATGATTTCAACGGTTTTAAGACCCTGAACCATTCCTTTATAATATATAAAAAGTCTAGGAAAATCATATACAGTGGAAACCTGATAAGTAAACTTTCAAGGGACTCGCCAAAATTGTTTACTTGTCAGGTATTTTACTTATCCAAACTTATAAAAACATGCAAATGACAACCATATGCATGTATATGTTTGCATATGTAACAATGAACAACTTATCAGGGCTGGCCTCCAGTTGTCAGTGTATTGTCAACTGCTTGATGCCAGCGGCTGTAAGTAGGATGTTTGTTTAACTGGAGACAGACACGTGCCCCTCATGTCGGATTATGTGGTGATCGCTAATTTAGTTATCCAGTATCTTTTATTAAGTAATTTACTTCCAGGGACCGTGAGAAGACGTTTAGTTAAGCGGTATTGTTTACTTATCCGAGTTTAGTTAACCAGACTCTAATAGTGATAATTAATGAAGAAATTTGCCGGGACCAAAGAAAAGTGTTTACTTATCAGGTCTGTTTAGTTAAGCGGTCTTTACTTAGGCGGTTTCCACTGTATAACAAGGCACAATTGAGTAGATTATAAATACAGTTTGCATTTCCATCTAAGATTTCGAAAGCAAAGATGACCCCTATGACCTTGAGGGTCGAATTTGACCTTGTTCCACCACTGACTCTTTATATGTATAAAGGAATGGTTCAGGGTCTTAAAACAGTTGAAATCATTTCTGTTGCAATTTGTAGTTGGTATTCACAGAAATTGACTGGACTAGTAACCAACTCACTTCTTGTGTATGAAGTCATCCACTATGTGCAGGGACTTGGGATGAAGGTGGACGGGAGGAAGTCAGACCACACGGACACATTGTTGTCCAGATTGTATAGTTTACGACCAAACACGGCATCTTCAGTCTCTGACTTCTCTGTCGTAACATGGTTTAAACGCATGAACATCAGCCTTACAAATCTTGTTATGAATGCAGTTTCTATGGTTACAGATAAATACTAATGGGTGGTAGTAACATGGATTTGTTTCATTGCTGTCTAATGCATCATTCAGCCATATTCCAGTTGTATGTGAAGGCAGCCTGTAAATACTGGACCACGCAAACCAATATGGCCGACTCAACAACCACGGGTTGATGTGACCAGTCCTAACAGTTCCCCACGGTTCGGGGGGATAGCCAGAAACTGACATGCAGGTCACACCATAGCATACAGCACACCTGCCCTTCTGAAAGCATTACACTTATCTACAGGCACTTCAATCTTGTCATCGTCTTAACGGGAGGGAATATGGTTTTACCTCACTTCAGCTATATTCCAGCAAGTCATGGTGGGACACCAGAAGTGGGCTACATGTACAAAACCCTTAAGGGAAATCTGACAAGGGTCTTGGGTGTGACAAAGAAACATTTGACCTACCAAGCTACCCCATCGCATCTCCATAAACCATAAACTAAGACAAAACAGTCCAAACAGCCCCCATCGCCATCATGCTGATTCTATGTTTCTGAATCAAAAGGAATTGCAAACTAAAAGTAATCGTACCAAGTTTTGGTTTCTTATCGGGGTTATCAAGTTCCTCCTCTAGATTTGGATGGACATCTGACATCTGCTCAGCCTGAAACAAAACATTGAATGTCTATCTTTTAAACACCTATATACAAATAAATCATCCACAGTTACAACAACATGAAATACAATGTTAAAATACTTAAAGGTTCCCTACGTCTATCAAAGTAACCAGACTCTGACCTGGCCCTTAATACACTGATCGCTTTGAGTATTGGCGTTGCACATTTCACTGCTCAACAGTCTGAACACTCTTTAACAATTGTATTGTAACAATGTAATGAAACACATAAGATTTACACCACACACACTGTTGTTTTGTTTCAGCTAATGTTGAAAGAGAAGGCAATAAACAAATGGTACTGGTAGTTTGTTTTACCATTTAAAGTGTACTGGTCATCAAAAATCAATCACCTCAACTGGGAAATCAGCTCAACTGATATAAACTGTGAAGATCACCTGAACTAGGTAACTTACCTCCACACGATCCAAGTCTTCCAGGAATTTATTCTTCTGAACTGGGCTGGACTCATGAAGCGCAACATCACTCTCCCTGTATAAGCATGATCAGAAAGTGGCAGTTTATTGTTCTCTCCACACAACACTACATGTTTAGATAAAAACATGCTCAAAACACTCATCAATTCCGTATCAGATCTGTCTCACATTGTCTAAACTTTGCAAAAACATAATCAGTAGTTTCAACAAACTCAAAAAATCCAATTTGAACATGTTGACAGCAAGCAGTGTTCACATAACAAAGTGATGATGATAATACACAAATCTTACAAGACAATATGATAATGGAAGGAAAGACACGTCATCACTAGTCACCATCCTGGTAACTCGGAGAAAATGAAGACACACTTCAATCAAACAGAGCTGCCAAATCAAAGACTCGTTTGCATTTTTTCAAACAAGTGAAAGAACCACTAAGACTGACAGTTCATCAGTTCTGTGACTACAAACACACATACAACTTACCACTTAACTTCCTCCTCCTTGCCTGCCTCATACAGAATTCCCTCCCTTCTCAGTGCATTCAGGCTCCCTTTCAGATCCACAGCAATGAGACGAGGTGTGTATGTCACCTCCCCCTGGAACAAACATCAAACAGGTATTAAGGCAGCAAGAGAGGTCACAGTTCAGGCTTGGAAAAACTACATATTTAATAAACTCATGCTGAGACATTGGGAGAAGTACACCAAGGGTTACATGATAGAGATCTATACAGGCTCCCCCGAGAGTGAGTGAGTGAGTGAGTGAGTGAGTGAGTGAGTGAGTGAGTGAGTGAGTGAGTGAGTGAGTGAGTGAGTGAGTGAGTGAGTGAGTGAGTGAGTGAGTGAGTGAGTGAGTGAGTGAGTGAGGTGAGTGAGTGAGTGAGTGAGTGAGTGAGTGAGTGAGTGAGTGAGTATGGTTTCATGACGCTTTTAGAAATATTCCAGCAACATCAAGGCGGGGGACACCAGAAATGGGCTTCACACATTGTACCCATGTTGGGATTCAAACCCGGGTCTTTGGCGTGACGAGCCAACGCTTTAACCACTAGGCTACCCCACCACCCCTTACAAATGATGTAATGGTGATTGGGCAAGTGATTGGCTCGAGTGAGACCTCCTCAAGTTGGACATACTCGTCTGTTTGCAAAATCCAACCTACATGCAATGTTTGTCCCTCCCTGAAGAGCACATCATGGTTAATTTCCTTGGGCCCTGTGAGTGCCTGAGGTGTGTACACAAACGATGACTCCTGAAAATGAAGATATTTACAAGATAAAGGCTATTTTTCACATGTTTTCTAGTGTCAGAGTTCAGAAAATGCATTTGTTATATTTTCTTCCTATTATCAGTGAACCAAAACAAACCTTTAATACCTTAGAGATAGCTATCTTTGGCAGATTGACTCCAGACAGTTTTGGGGCTTCTGTCCTGCCCTACCTTGTCGCACAAGTAGCGTTTGTGGTATATCCTTAGGCAAGAGACTGTTGTAACACCTCTGGCATAGTAGCATACAAAGAATAGGTGTGTCTTTTCTTGCAGGACAACTACCGGTAAGTGAGGCTGGGTGTTTCAGTTTACACAGTGTCCAACAGAGACTACAATGGGAAGGTGGCAAAGTCAGCTGGGCAGTAGATGGGATGGATTGGCTGATGCAGATGAACGACTAACAATTTGCTTAGGTTCGCAATTCTCATGGGCATAAGCTGCTTAGATGGACATATTTCAAGGGGCTTGACATATCTCTGACAAGTGTACACAACAAATTGTGTTACACTGTTCAAAAAATGTCTCTATTCACCCACCCAGTGAAAAAAAGTACCCCTGGTAGGATGAGTGAGTAAGTCAGTTTAGTTAAACTTTTATGATGCTTTTAGCAATATTCCAGCCAAATCATGGTGGGGGGCACATCAGAAATGGCTTCACAAATTGTACAGAAATGGGCTTCACACACTTGGCATGTGATGAGCAAATGCTTTAATGACTAGACTACCCCCTGGTAGAGTGAGACAGATCTTGATTTGGCATTTACCCTCCTGGCTCAGGTTGTATACTTCCTATGGAGCTGAGAATAATAATCAAATGCACACTGATCGATAGACATTGTTGACAGGAGTGATAACGGTGTTAGCAATTTGAACATGGGTGTATGAATGGCTTGTAGCTCATTACAAATATCCATTCATCTGGATCTCTTTTGACTAATGCAGTTGTTTTACGACTGACCTCCCATGCTGGACACATGACACAAAACATTTTCACACTGAACCAGAGAAATCGACAGAGAAAGTTTACTTCAAACATACACTGCACACAACTGAATGCGAAACTTAATCAGTACTTGTGGAAACAATTCACAACTCTGAAGTGTCATGGAAAGTATTACAGTTCAACAGGCACTGATTGGGGTAGAGATCAATAGACCGATCCAGTCTCGGCCGATAAGCCCCGCCCACTTCGTTTTTGACGTTAGGGGGGACAACCACTGGCAAATCACAATGGCGTCACCGCCGGCGAAACGTTACGTGATTGTGAACGTTGTTGATGAATTCTGCTTGTGATACTTTGGTATCCGTCGTTTGTGAATGTTATTTAAAGAGGCAAGTTATACGTATGTGATCTTTAATATATTTTAGCTGGCAGATTACAACTGGCGAGTGAAAATGAGTTACATGCCCGCTGAAAAAGCGTCTCGACTAGCTGCTGAGACTGTAGGAAGCGTAATTTCTTTCGACTCAATTAATCTATCTGGCAATTCACCTCCGTCACAGATATTAGCAGGGAAAGGATAACTGAATTTTGTTGTTTGGGTTTATAATTTTTTAAAACTCGTGAACACAACCACATGGTCATGTTGCACATCGCTTTGGGTATCTATAAATAGATTATCAACACTGCTGTGGTGGCATACACTTATCCGTTTGCGTTGTTCAAATTTAGTTCAATAATCTGAAAACATGGGTTTCTATCTTTTAATGAATTAAGAGAATGGTAAATAAAAAGCAGAAAATATTTCCCGTCTACTACTTCATGCACCTTATTTGTCTGTACAATTAATGTTAACAAATCAATCACAGCATAACCTTTTTGATCTTATTTGGAAATCTGGAAAGGTAATTGGGCTTGTAAACAATATGTTTCCATGGACGATATCTGGACATACCCAGAAGCAACTATTCAACAGCTGATCTGCAGCAACTCTCAGTAGAGTTTCTCTCTGTACACCATGATAAAATGACACTGAATATAAAGGAAATCATTTTTAATCATCATTTCCATTTAATTTTTCTATATGTACTTTGTTGTGGAATTCTAATTTACATACAAACTTCCACAATACTGGACTTCATGAACTGCCAGCGTTTATGTACAGGTATGTCACAGCACCAGAACACAAAGAAGATCCAAGATACAGTCTGCACCTGTACACTAGCTGACCCATCTTCCAGAAATAGGAAACATGTGGAACAGAGAATCCACAGTTATTCAACAATTAACTAGCATTGAAATAGAATGTTACACAAAATACAAATGTAGATCTATTGTTTTTCATCAGAGATGTTTAACTGCTAACTACTAGTGTAAATAAGGTGCAAAAGAATATATCCTGTGTTCAAAGCCTTCTGTCAATACAATTATTGCTTCTTAATTAAACAATGATAATCTTTGTTTTATTAGATCTGAGACCATATCCCTAGAGTACATAACACTGATTTTGATCTATTTCCTTTTCTGAGATACTTACTGGTGTCATAAAAATTATAGTAAAGTTGATTCAAAATTTGGTAAAAGTCATAACAAAGGTTTAGGAAAACAGACATGAAAATGTCCTGAAGCGTTCACCTCCTACAAACCTGTGTGCAATTTAATATGAAGCTCATTTTGCAAATAACCATCAACAAACCTTGAACAATTTGTCCAAATCCACCATCTTAATAAACACTAGCTTTGGCTCAGTCTTCAAATAGTAGTAACCTCCTAAAAAACTTATGATTAATCAGAAGAATTACATCAAATGTGGGTTTAATATATGTTTCAATCTTTATTCCATTACATGAAAAGTCACCTGAGATTTTTGAAAGTTATTCTGTTCCAGGACTAGATAATGCCTGTCCAGGGTTTGACCAAAATGTAGCCTTTGCTTTTTCAAATATTCTGGATGTTGAAATAACTTTAATGAGTTATGATACTAGCAATCACTTACAGAATTATCTTATTAGTAAATGTAGTATTTTAAAAAAACATCTAAAAGCAGGAGCCAAGAAACTAAGTTAATACCAAGTGATTGTCCTGCCTTGATATGTATGGTGTTTGTTTGCCTAGTTCTGCCTTAAAATCTAAAAATCTGATATGTCAATCAATTAAATAATTATTTATTATTGATTAGATTATTATTAATTTTATTTCCCTTCCACGTTTACTAAAAAAAGCAAGATTCTGAAAACATGTACCTTGATATCATTTCCAGTGAATTAATCAAAATTACAGTTGTAATATTACTCCTAAAATGTACCATTATATGTGAATAATTTATGTGGTAACAAAACTTCAAATAATGTTCTCATAATTAAGATATATACTTTATTTCACTCTGTCCAATACTCCAGAAAGTCACTATTCTTCTCACATAGTTTTCATTATTCGATCAACCTGGAGGATGGTAATTCAGGTCAAAGTCCCATGCAATTCTTTATAAAAAATCTGAAATATTTAAAGCATGGTTTTATAGGCACTCATATGAACTAATTTTGATACTTGGATATTGCATGATAGGCAACTGCTGACACTGACAATATTTCCGTTTGAATAAAAAATATTACTCATCGAATATTTTGCTCTGTTAACAGATACTGTAGGCCTTCAGATTGTGCTTATGAAACTTAAGCATCCTAAAATGTGTGACAAATTGAAGAATATCTAAAGCCGAAGGGGACAATATCCGCCACATTGTTCTTTCATGTAACATGTTTTGCTATTTCGGTTGAACCTAACCGAAATGAAAATTTGTTTACATTGTGTCACTGACTTTTCGCCTGTCTCTTTTTGAGCTTTGTGGGTACCAACTCAATGCCTAGTAGTGACTAAAAACGTGAAGCAAAAACAATTTTGTAGTTACAAGAATTGTCCGTGTTTATAACACTTGCAAAGTTTTAAAACTGCTATTTGTTGTCATCAATTGGTAATGATTTTGCACATGTGCAAAAGTGTGCAAATTCGTGCAAATTCTCATCAGCAGGCAGGCGTGGGTTTCCTGAACGATGGTGCAGACATTTAACTGATCGTCAGGCCTATCGCGTTTCTTGATCCGCCTCCATTTTTGTTGTCTTGACCGTAATGGTTTTGTTAAGGTACACATCAAATCGCAGCAATATGTAATAAATATAGCAAGTGTAAATGGCATAATTTGAAGCACATCGCTTCGGATGCATCGTTTGACCCCGGAAATAAGTCTGACAAATCCACACAACGCGCCCGGCCTGCTGATTGGCCAAAATTGACGCATGCGCCAGTTTTGATTGACAGACTGGATCGGTCTATTGGGATATACAGGTATAGTTATAAAAGAGCAGGACTGTATACCTTCAGTCTAAGCTGGTAAACTTAGCATGTCCGTTGTAGAAAGTTTGCATAAGGAGAGAGTGAGTGGTTGAGTGAGTGCTTTATATGTCTCATCAGCAATTTTGCAACTATTCACAGTGAGAAATGTAGCTCGTTTTACGGTATGTAAGACAATAAATGGTTATAGGTGAGCTGTCTACATATTGTTTGATTGACAATCTAGAAGTTGGTGAATAACAATTTTCCGTATCCACGTAGCGACGTTAACAAGAAGTTTATATTCCTGTAGTGGTACGCCTCCTTATAGCTGTCTACATGATTATAATGCATAGTATCGGTGTCAGACTATGAAGACGGGTGACATGGATATTAGCATGCTTATATATTCTGTGCATCTGCACCGAAAAGTCGTCCGGAATGCAATATCCAAGAGTCAACATTCCAAACACAGCTACACGCACATTAGACCACTGTGACAGTCAACTCATTTTCTCTGCTAACATACGTATTCACATTTATATACCTGAATATTCCACCAATGTGTGCCCACAAAATTTGCATAGTGACCGATCTGTAATGTGACAATCTCCCGTGTTGACATTTTCTGTGCATAACACGAAAACACGTGCGCATGAGGAAGTTGCGTGACTGATGTAAGATAAGGTTTCATTGGCTAGTATCATTTCCAGTCCACTATTTTAGCCAATCACAACTGACAATACAAACAAAAGCGTACTTCCGGTGTAAACACGTGCGCATGTGTGCTGAGCTGTCTGCTTGACTGTTTGCGCTTATTAGTGGCCTTATTTTAGTTCACACATATTCATCATTCTTCAGTACCTGTAATATTTGCATTTCATAAATTTTTAATCGGCTTTGAAGTGTGTCATGGGACCAATTGTATACATCAGCAGGACGGAATCGTTTAGTGCTTGTCACAGACTTCACAGGTACAGTACGTGAGTCACATAATAACATCCCAAAATGTAACTTCAAGGATGAACTTTATTCGAAATAATTATTTTATGAAAATGGCATCTTCCAGTTTTAATTTAGGTAAGACTTCCGCCCGTATCCCCCTAAAATTTAGCGATGAGGGAAAATTTCTTTGAGCGGCATTTTTAGAAGTTAGATCAGGGATAATCAACACCAGGGATAGGTCACTCGCTTGCTTTCTTTACCATTTGTACTAATATTAGCGTGTGCCTCGTCATGCTCAACGCACACAGTGACTTGATTCGTTCCCAGCGCAACTTCGGCTGCGTTTAACAGTACTTCAGCCAGTTTATTGTATCAGTCGGAATTTTACAATGAATGAATGAATGAATGAATGAATGAATTAAGAGCAAGAGTTATATGTGAATGAATGAAAGAAATAAAGAAAAACAACAAAAGAAAGAAATACACATGTGAATGAATAAAAGAATAAATGATACACCACGGCCATCCCTCCCCAAACATGTTAAAGAACGCAAAACTATCGCTGGAACATGTGTTAACATCAGCTGTCCTTTTTTTTAAAATCTACTTTGAGACATTTTTTTACATTAGTAATTAATTCAGATATCTTATTGCATTTGTGGAATGGCATGGACATTGACAGAATGTTAAAGGTCACATGCAACCAAAAATCAAACATAATTAAAACACAATTATCACTTATTCATGACATATAATATACATTGCTGGTTATGAAAAAACATATAAACAAAATTATAAGCGTACAATCGCAAATCAAAAGTGCAAAATTGTGTACTTGGGTTTACTTCCCAAGAAACGAAGCAGCCGGGATACCGAACCCAGTCAGAGCGGGTGGGTGTGCACTCAAGTGTAACGGCTGGTTCATTTGCCGATGCCCTCACGGCTCATTGTGTGTGTATATATAGAGATGTTGGGTTTTGTAAATACATGCTCATTTTTTGTGTATAACATTTTGCAATCAACAGACATCATAACATGTCATGTGTTCAAGTATCACACCTGCCTGTCTGTGTAATTACATAATGTGACAGAGACCGAACTTCGGGCCATAAATCAATGCATTTTGTTTATGGTGTATAGCCTGATTGGTGTTAAGTTCAAATTGCATGTGGTCAGTGATCGCAGTTGTGTATTGAATATTGTCATTAGCAGACAGGCAGGCAGACACACAGGTGTCAATAAAACAAGACATTGAGTTTTGTCTGTGACAACGACATATCTATATCACAGTTAGAAATTCTGTCAACGCTAAATAATGACATTGCTTTTAAGTATCGAACTGAGAAAGTGACTTGGTAAGAAGAAGCGTGTGGTGAAATAGACAAATGAAATTATATAAACAGTTTAATTTACTGTCATAACATATAAAAGCTCGCGCCTGTGAGATATCAACAAACATTAGGAAAATAGCTCACACCAAAGCCTTCACCGAGGATTCACCGGACAGCCCGCTTCCAAGTTGCGCGAACCTATTTCATTGCGCACATGCTATGAGCGCAGCCCAGCTGTTGAAACCAGTTTTCCCCCGTAAAGTCGGGGGAAAATTAGTGAATCGTTTGAACTCCGATTTCGCTTGGTTTTTTTCATCGCGTTATTTTTCAACTTTATAAGTTGAATTTGCATTTTTGATGATTTGTTTCGGTAAGTCCATACCGAAAGGTATCAGAATCTGCAAAGTTGTGTTTTACGTTGCATGTGACCTTTAAGTGACACTGTCACACACCCCTCAAAAGCAGAAAGTTTAGAACTATCACAAAGCGTTGTAAACACCTTTCCAGTTTTGTCAAATACTAAGATCAACAAGAAAGAAAGCAGTTTTAGAACTATAACACTCAAGCATCACAAGCATCAATGGAGGATCAGAACAGATCGCGATATGTCATATTTTTCACACACCTCAAATACACCCTAACAATTTTTTTTAAATTATACAACTATCACTATTACTTGCAAACACCTTTCACCTGATGGTATATTCCCCTCATAAAAATTAAAGGTGTATGTGAAAGATGTTTTCAAACAATAACTAGAAACACTCAAACAACGCCCTGTAGTATTTCAATGGCAGATCGTCGATATGTCATATTTTTCACACACCTCAAATACACCCTAACAATTTTTTTTAAATTATAAAACTATCACTATTACTTGTAAACACCTTTCACCTGATGGTATATTTCCCATAAAAAAAATTATGTGAAAGAATATGTTAAAGAAGTTTTAGCGATAGAATTTAGTCTTTCTTATAAACTATCACTATTACTGTGTACCGAGAACTGAAGCCAGTGAGCTACAACATGCAACATACCTAACTTGAAACTTTACTACAAATCTACTGTACTAATACTGACACTAATAACAATTATTTGACTTAAAATGAAGTGACAGAATAGGTAACCTATCTTCTACATGTAGGTTTTCAGTTGTCAAAACACTCAGCGCAAATGTAATCAGCTGTTGAAAATAAACCAAGCTCAATCTTAAAAACTACGCTGCCGCCATATTGGCTACACTGGTCACGTGACCAGCCGAGGCATACGCTCAGGGGCTTTTTTCTAGGAGTGACCACTCCCCGTTATATAGTCTCCCTGGTTAGATATGTCTTTCAATATGTTCAGATACAATTATAAAAACATGTTAAACTTCAGGTCATATGATTTGATTAGAATGAAATTTCAGGGGGGATACGGGCTACATATAGATAAATGTAAAACCACAAATTAACCAAAAATGTATCAATTCTCTCCAACTGATTATCTACTATATTGCCGGAGAATTTTTATGCATCCTAAATGATTGAACATGTGGTGAATGAAAATCAACATACCAATGTTATTCATGCGCGCCTGCCTTTACAAAATTTACCAAGAGGTCACAATATTACGTAATTTGTGAAACACTGGCAAAACAGTATGCCCTTTTGAGTATTTTGTGTTCTTAATAAAGCCGGCGCAGACGTCAGTTTATGAAAACACTTTTATTTTAAATATATTTCATACAATATATTTTGCTTTCAACTGAACTTATGTGACTAAATGAATTCTAAATCAGAACTAATTATACATATGTAATTTTTTTCATTCAGTAATTACATCATTAAACTGGAATGGAGTTTATTGAGTATATATTCATCTTTTGCAATATATTTGTTCTTTAGAGATGACAAAACTGTATGGATGATCATTTTCTTTATCTTCACAATGGCATGCTTGAAAACGGTATAAGAATCTATACCAAAATGTCGCCCATAAAGAAGTCGATCATCCACAAAGTTTTGTCATCTCTATACCACCAACTTCTAGAATGCCACTCAAACAAAAAATATTAGTTCTTTAGGCTCTGGTTTTGTATTGAAAACGATGAGAGGCAAGTTCATGTGGTTGAAGGACTCGTTGTACTCCTGTGTTTTAAAAGGTCAGGAGCTGAAGCTTTTATTGGGTATTATATTTTCTTGCTCATTTTAATACTTTTCTCACCAAAATTTTTTTAAAGTACACAATGAAATAGTTTAATGTCGAAAATTTGGGCTAATGGAAACTTGCACTTTAGCCACTTTCACATGCCTTGTGACTTCACCAGACATGCTCATGTCTTCCTTGTTGCTTAGTCCAATCCACATTATATCCCGGTATCAGGGGTTTTCGACGATGTAAGACAAAAACGTAATTTTATCTGTAATATCATTTGAAGTTTTAATTTTACTAACCTTGGGTGATAAAGGATATATTCATCTATTTCACACACAAAAATATCAAGTGTTTCCTACAAAAATAAGGTTGATGACATCGTATCGGCGAAACTGTTGCCGTTCGCCACATCCATGGATTTTGTATTGGTTTTCGACGATGAGCCATACTTTTCGCTCCCACTGCGAGGGAGTGTTGTGATAACGTGGCTTTCTATTTAAATATTGCCTGTCACCAGCAGACGAATGATCTTACTGAATTTTCGCTTGCTATTTTTTGTTATAAAGGCAATTGATTTTGCATCTGAAGTGGTATTAATGATCTCGGGTAAATAATATTGATGTGTGTTTGCTTTTTAAACAACTTAACTTCCGGTTTTCAATTGTCAATACAACTCACGACAGTGACTGGGCATCCGCCCTGCCCATGAAATTGCTTGTGCTCACCGATCGCGCACGTACTCCCCCGATAAAGCGCCAGCAACGCAATCATCGAAAACACCGGAACGTCAAATTCAGCTCGCTTTGTGATACTTACAGTGTTCCCTTCAACACTTCTCTGTCACAAAGTTAGCCTTGCTCCAAGGCTGTTCTGAATGCTGAGCCCATGGATGTATAGTACTTCTGTCCTTTGAAGAGTCAAGGCTAGATAAGCGGACAATACAGCCTTGTAAAATATCGGAATTTTACCAACCGTCTCCATGGTTGGACCCCACATGGGTACAATGTGTGAAGCCAATTTCTGGTGTCCCCCGCTGTGATGTTGCTGGAATATTGCTTAAAGCGGCGTAAAACCAAACTCAGTCAGTCAGTCAGTCCATAGTTTGAGTCTGATATGGCCAGCTGAAAGTGAAATGTCTGTGTCCCCCTACACAGTCCCTGGATGCTTTCACCATCATCCTTTCCCTTTCTGATTAATAATGACCACAGACAGCTGGGAATGTTTAATTGAGTTCCCAAGTTCAACATGGCAAATAGAGATCTTCTGGGTTTCGTAGCTCCTGCTTCCGCATGGTCATCTTTCCTAAAGCACTTCTCTTTTACTGTGAGATATTTTGCCGAAATTACCTTCAGTGCTTCCTGACATTTGTTTTTTAAGCTTTCTAATTTAGTTTTAATTACTTGAATTTCTTTCTTACACTTGCTACACACTATATGGGTGTTCTTTTCTGGACAGAAACCAATACCTATGGGTGTTTCTAAAGAAAACAATTCTCCATCTTTTCCCTACCTCTGAAAAGTTTCTTCCATAAATTTCCATTTAATACAAACACTGTTTGTTCTTGGAGGTATAATCTTTCTGCAAAATTTTCCTTCTCTCTGTTTCCACATTGATTCGTTACATTTGTAAAGGCAAAATAATATCGAGACTACCATGTCTCTACTACTGTGTGGCTATGAGAGTGAGTTTGAGGTCAAATCTGTCATTTTGCAGCCAAGAGTCATGAACATCATTGTAAGTAACTAAGAGTCTTGACAGCACTGCCCAGATAAGGCAGTCGACACAGATGACATGTTGATAACAATACCAACATGTTTGTCCCAGTGCAAATCCGGATTTCACAAGTCTATCATGGAATAATAATTCATACAAAATTCATTATTAATTATAACCACTACAAGCGATATATTAGGATTCAGAATATTAGTTTCACTCATGTATCAGTAATAGCTTAGAGAAAGACTCCAGTCAAAAAATAGTAAAACTCATCTCACAGACATACTATTGAAAAGGTATAAGCATGGCTGCACAATATCACAGATGTTCAAGATAAAATCCTAGCCTAAGGTTTTAAGGACTCAAACCTTTCAGTAAGACGAAGTAATGTCTAGACGATTTAATGAACTGCTTTGATAAAGTAAACATGTCATCACCTCCATTAAAATATATTGTGCAAACACTTTAAATTAGGGTCATTAAGCCATCTATTGTAACACCATAACCACCCAAGCAACATGTCAGCACAATTAGTGCCAGTTAAATTAGGAAGCTTCCAGGACATGTGTGTCAGCACAATTAGTGCCAGTTGAAATAGGATTAGTAGGATTAAGTACTCTCCCCTGTCTGGTCATTTCATTTGTAGGACACACCCCATACTGCATATTCTGTATTTCATTGGTTAGTATAGGGAACACCCATTTTTGTATCATTCAACGAATCATAATCTTTTTATTGTTTCAATTTTAGATAAATAGTCACCAACTCCATTTGTTCGTCAGTAGGGTTTAGACTCCCAACACAGGTCATCTCTAACCCTCAGCCCAGAGGGTTGTACCCGCCAGTCTTTGTGGCCACCCCATGTTATTTTTGTTCTTGTTAATAAAACTGTAATTAGCTTCTTGTGACTTCGGACTATTTGCTGAGCTTAATTCCCCCCCACCAGCACGCCAGTTGGATAAGGGGTTTCACCAGAACCCTCACTTGGACCCAAGACCCATATCATAATAAGTCTCTTAGGACCCGAGTCTGATATTTATTTAATGATGATATCATTAAAACTATCAGCCCTCCCCAATTTCCCTCTGCCACGGGCTTACTTTTTCAAACAAGACCTTGGAGTCAGTTTAATCCTTCAGCGCTACTCCGAGTTTGCTAATACCACCCCAAATCATGACACTTAGTGAGAACTTAGGAACCATTTTACAGCAATAACTACCTCTTCACCATTGTTTTCTGGTGATCCTATAAAACTGGAACTTTGACTCGTCTGTAAAATCACATTTGAAAAGTCTTTACCCTGCATTTCTGTGCATCACTGGAGCCTTTTCTCCATATGCGCTGTTGTCATTAAAGATGTTTTTCTTTGGGACTCGCTTGACATACCCACATTGCTTCAAAGATCTTCTGATAGTCCATTCTGATACCACAGGGGTTTCTTGCCTTGAAGCCTTCACAGCAAGTATTTTGGCAGACCAGTCGCCTGTCATCCACACTGAGAGAAGCATGTCGTCCCGATCCAGCCGTTCGCTCTGACCCTAATCCAGCTTAAAATTTCTTCAAATTGCGGCAGATTGAAACCAGATGTGAACCTGTCAAATCTGTTAACTGATTTTATACCAAGATTCATAAACACCAGGAGTCGATTTCTGTTGCTTTGTAGTGTCATGCTAAAGCTTCGGTATCGTCAGCTAGCAACAAGGTCGTTTGTGAACTCAAGGGAGATAATCCTGTAAAACATAAGCTACAGACAGCTCAAAACACATTATTTGGGCTATTTCATGAGAGGGATCGAATCTGAGGAAAAATGTGTTTGTTGCATTTTTTCTGCTCGCTACTATATGTTGATCAATTATCAACAACTCTGGAACCAGCACATCAAAGTATTTTGAGGGGTTCGCTTTGGAATCATGAAATATATTTCTAAGAAGGCCATACAACACTATTTTTCTGAGAAAAAAAGAACTCCTAATAAATTACTACATTTACAGGAAACAATGAATTTTTTAATATTCAATTAAGATGTGTGACTATTTTCTTCAGTCTCTTTGGGCTGTTTTCAGAATGTCATTTGTCCGTTTGTTCCAAACTCAACCTTCGTTTTGGCCTGTAGTGGGCATGTATTGGTACTAACCCATAGAGGTTTGTAAATGAGTGAGTGTGCATGGTTTTACGTAACTTAAACTGAGTTAAAGCAATATTTCAGTTATATGATAATGTGGAACTCAAGTGGTTTTCACACTTGTATACTTTGTGGAATCAAACCTCATTTTTGGTGATGAGCTTAAACCATGTGATGACTACCCCAGTCTCTACAGGTTTAGGCCATAATATCACGGTGGGGACACCAGAAATGGGCTTCACACATTGTACACATGTGTAGAATTATAGTTTGTATCACCAGATGTTATACAATGTCAGTATTTTGATCCTTTCCTTTCAGCAACCAGTTAACTGATGAAGAGAATGCCAAGGTGTTTGGTAAATGCAACAACCCAAATGGTCATGGACACAACTACAAAGGTACCAGTGTTGTTCATGAGAGAGAACATTTCCTCTGGATTAGGAGTTAGACATAGTGTGCACAACAGTTTTTGCTTTTAAACTGAAGTTGTAATATACTGCACAAATGTTCACAAATAAAATGGGACGGTGGGGTAGCCTAATGGTTAAAGCGTTGGCTCATCACGCCGAAGACCCGGGTTTGAATCCCCACATGGGCACAATGTGTGAAGCCCATTTCTGGTGTCCCCTGCCGTGATGTTGCTGGAATATTGCTAAAAGCAGCGTAAAACCAAACTCAGTCAGTCAGTCAGTCACAAATAAAATAGATAATAAAGTGCTTGGGCACTCGTTTTGTATAAGTCACATGGCACACTTGCTTGTGTTATAATCTCTATTTATGGGGGGCGGTGGGGTAGCCTAGTGGTTAAAGCGTTGGTTCGTCACGCCGAAGACCCAGGTTCGATTCCTCAAATTGGTACAATGTGTGAAGCCCATTCTGGTGCTAAAAGCGGTGTAAAACTAAACTTATTCATTCTATTTATGGTATGGATTAGACAAAATCTTTAGGTTTTGACACATTTTAAGTTAAACATACTTTATCAGATCGAAGATTGCCAACATGCAATATGGACCGTTAGTACAGTCAATCAAAACAGTGAATTATCATGCCTATAGTTAGTCGGGTGACATACGGCATTAAAAACCAGTGTGATATGTATGATTATATGTACTCAACACTTGTGAAAACTACGCTGTAAAATCCAGTCACTTGAGTCAAAGAGCCACTAAAAAAACATCCACATACGTCATGTGCACTAAGGTTCCTTAGCACTTGTGCTTCTGTGATAAATTAGGATATACTAGTGTAATTCTTAATCTTCCAGAGGCCAGAATAGAATAAGTATCAGTGTGTGATTATGGATATGTTTGGTTCATTTTTTTGTATGTCTTACACATATATCTGTTTCAGTTGAAGTGGTGCTACGTGGGCCAGTAAGTAGCAGTCACATGTACATACACAATAATGTGTGTGTGTGTGTGTGTGTGTGTGTGTGTGTGTGTGTGTGTGTGTGTAAAAACCTTGGAGTCAGCTTTGTGCGCAGACTCTTTCAGTGTTGTCACAACCCCTAGTGTACAGTACACAAGCCTGTGCACTTAAAAAGAACCCACGAATCGGTTGGTACATGACCTAGTTGTGGGTACAGCAACATGCAGTAAACTTTGGACAAAGTACTGTGACTATATGTGTCCCAGTTCACCCAGCTGTGAATGGGTACCTCGTAACGATGGGAAAGTCGCAATAACTCGGTACGCCTTATGGAAGCAAGAGTTGTATGCGCCCCAGGGAGTTGAGATTGATGATAATATGTGCCGTTGAGATTGACAATCCAATGATCGGGGGAGAAAATACCAGCGCCTTGAGCATGCACTAGTGTTTGGATATGTATATATAAATATCCAATAATAATAATAATAATAAATAATAATATATATATGTGTATGACATCTGACAAGTTTTACTTGAGTTTGGTTTGTAAAAGCACCTACCTTTGTGAAATTTCTAAGTACCATGGGTACTTGTTACAGTGAATATGAGATACATGTTGATTACTGGTGTGTATGAGTGCATCCAGTCGTACAATGATCTTTCACTCAAACACAATGCCTCTGCATCAAGATCTGATGACATCTGCACAGAATCTAAGTGAAAGAGGTGAGGAATCTTGAGCCAGCTTTCTGTACCACCTCCATTCAGAAATATCAGTCTTGATAACGAAGACAGCCACAAAGCACACACTTACCTTCAACAGAGAATCTTCGGTTGGATGTAGATGCCATGATTCTCAGAAACATCAAGGAGGTATAAAACATCCACAACTGTATTTTGGGAATTCCCTGAGTGTTGGGTTTTGGTTAAAATAGCTCCCGAAGCCCATGGCGCTGGTGTCAGGCTGGAAATGCAAGGTGTAGTAAAGTAAAGATCCCTGAAGCCAACTTGAATGGCTTTGGAGGAATTTTCTGCCATTGTTGTCGCAAGTTTTTCTAGTTATAAGTGCTTTTATGAATGTTTAACTTTCACAATATGTATGGTAAATATATACTGCTCAAGAGAAGTTGAGGATTACCATGTGATCAGTATTGTTTAAAAGTGCTTTTACCATAGTACAGGTGAACCAAGACCATAAATATGAAAACCTCATCGATTAGCTGGTTCAGTTGCCTCCTGTGACAAGTGATAATACAGGTGTAAGGCAATATCATATTGTGTATGGTTACATGAAAGATGTATATATATATATATATCTTCTTTTTAGGTTGATCCAGTGACAGGAATGGTTTTCAATCTTGTTGATCTTAAGAAATATATAGCTGTAAGTATGTACACAAGCTGCCATTTTTCCAGATCTGTGTCATGGTTTACAACATCAGATGTGGAGACACAAGTAATACATAGGTTTTTATTTTAATAATATTTTGGACATGTCTCTATGGGAAACATTTACCCTTCTTATGAATTCATTCTTTATTTTATGTTATTCAAATTATGGAGCTTCTCCACATGATCATTATATATATACATTACATATACATTATAAGTTGTTCACTGGTCCCTCGAGGGAGGCATGGGTTGATGTACCCTTGATGTTTGTTTATGTTCCCTGAGCCCGAAGGGTACATCAACCCATGCACCCCGAGGGACCAGTGAACAACATATTTATCTTACCGAACGCCTTAATGTTAATTTTGAATTGTTTGAAGCAAATCTTTTTGTAGCCATCGCTAGATTTTGCTGACAAGAAAAACAGATTTAGAGTTATCTCCCTTCCATCGATTTGCATTCGCAAAACATCGGTAATTTCCGTACATCATACGTGATGCAATGTAATTCGAGATAAAGAATTACTACCACGAAGTACCAAATGAGTTGCCATTGACAGCGGGGTACATTGAAAATAATAGAAGAGCGCTCAGCCAATCAGAAAGCGACATTATGTGTGAGGTAAGATAATATGTACTGTGCCTGTGGATACAATATAAACAGTTTATGATAATAACTTTAAGAAATTGTTACTTTAACTTTAAGAATAACTTAGAAATATATTCTGACTGCTGTGAATTACAGGAAGGTATCATGGATCTATTAGACCACAGACATCTGGACAAAGATGTCCCATATTTCAAGGATGTTGTAAGGTAGGTATATTAAGCTGAACTTGAAATTGATGTAACGATGTAACAGATAAACAGTTGAAGAAGGTCTGTTGATACTGTACCCCAGAGGAGTTTTATGACATTGATGTAACAGATAAACAGATGGTCTGTTGATTCTGTTCCTCAGAGGAGTTTTGTGACATGGATGTAACAGATAAACAGTTGAAGAAGGTCTGTTGATACTGTACCCCAGAGGAGTTTTGTGACATGGATGTAACAGATAAACAGTTGAAGGTCTGTTGATTCTGTACCTCAGGGGAGTTTTGTGACATTGATGTTAACAGATAAACAGTTGAAGAAGGTCTGTTGATTCTGTACCCCAGAGGAGTTTTGTGACATTGATGTTACAGATAAACAGTTGAAGAAGGTCTGTTGATTCTGTACCTCAGGGGAGTTTTGTGAAATCTGTGAAGAATCCAAGTGACACACACATTAGTTTTATGAGCTATATATTTTTGCAGAAGAAACAGAAAGAGGAATATTTCACTTTTGGACATTGTCAGACTATTAAGTAAACAATCTCACATGTCTACTTTCCTTGACTACACATTGTCACTCAGTGTCATTAGTCTAACCCGGTCAGACTTGCTGACTTGGTTGACACATGTCATCGGTTCCCAATTGTGGTCCAGGCTCGATTATTTACAGACCACCGCCATATAGCTGGAATATTGCTGACTGCGGCGTAAAACTAAACTCACCCACTAGTCTAACCCAGCAAGCTCACTGACCTGCAACACGTCAGTTGTTTTACATAACACTGAATGGTCCTGACATTCCTCCTGCAAAGCAGTTATCTGACGACATTCACCATCAACTGCTATCACATGAACATGCTACTCCAATCTTCCTTGTCAACTTCATCATGCCACTTCCTCCTCGTGATCAATATGTTGTGGGGGCGGTAGGGTTGCCTAGTGGTTAAAGCGTTGGCTCGTCACGCTGAAGACCCGGGTTTGATTCCCTACATGGGCACAATGTGTGAAGCCCATTTCTGGTGTCCCCCGCCGTGATATTGCTGGAATATTGCTAAAAGCGGCGTAAAACTAAACTCAGTCAGTCAATATGTTGTTAGCCCCTCACACTTATGATGCTACAAGATTTACAAACGACATTCTATCCTAGATTGTGATGGTAGAGTTATTGTGTAAATTATTCACCTTGTATTTGGTGGAGAGTTTTGTAGCCTACTGGTTTATGTGTTTCAGTTCGGCTGAGAACATCGCAGTCTTCATCTGGGACCAGCTCAAGTCACGTCTCCCTGACAACTTACTATATGAAGTGAAAATTCACGAAACCGACAAAAATGTAGCATTTTATAGAGGAGAAACTAAATGAAAGCTATAACTTGATGTATATAAATGTAACAAGTACAGAATGTGTAAAACGTGTTATACGAATGGATTAGACCGCTAACTTTGTGCGCGCTGGCAATGAGGGCCTGACTCAGGACTGAGAGACTTGTTATATGAGAATATGAATATGTCCCGGTAATAATATGTATGTATATTTATATAATTCAATATTGATAAGAAAATTAATTTATTTGTTTACAAGTAACTTGCATCAACCTCCTTTTTTTCCAAAATATTTCTGATATACAAGTATTTGTCATGGCCTTTTGGCAAAAGTGCACATTATATTGTGTCGATTCAATAAGAAATGTAGGGCTACAAGCAATACAAACAAGTTGTGTAAGAAATTACTAAGAATGTAGGTTTACATTCATTCAACTCCCATCTTCAGTGTCCCACTTTAGGCTACATCCAAAACTATGAACACTTAAATTTATTGTGTTAACATAGCTGAAGCATAAAATCATTTTTCCTCTAGTCTTATTACATGAATTCTGATATGTGGAAACAGATGTGCACTTCATTTGAGCTGGAAGCTTAAATCAGAAAAGTGTTGTATATTTTCACTCTGTTTTGTTTTTTAGATAAATATATCCACGTAGGTATTCCCCAGGGAAGCGACTCAAAACCTCACCAATGTAACATGTGTCTGCCCGGGAAAGCCACATTTGAAAAAAATTGCCGCTAATGCCACATTTCAAGTACAAACCTCAAAAATCAAAATGTCATTACTGCAACGGTGGCAAAAATACTGATTTTCAAAATTCTAGTCATACATTTTACTTTAAAACAGCTATGAAATGGAAAGAGTTAGGTGTCACATATGTGGCTGTTTATAGGTATAATTGTGCAATAAATAAATGGTCATTCTTCTAAAAAAATAATAATTTATTTTATTGTTGAGTTTTTAGCATGGACGTAAACATAATAACTGAGGCAACAATAGCTCTCAAGTGAAGATGGCACCTTACATACATAAGAATTTAGACGTAGCTCTAATGGACTTTTACTGATGTAGTCAGATATAGGACCATAGCAGGAGAATGTAGAATTGGTGAGCAATGTGATCTGAATGTGATTCAAGATTAGTGTCATTGTGTGTCTTTTTTTGTCCATAATGTACCTAATTAAGGAGTACAGAACTATGATTTTATGTATATTCCAGTGAAAACTAAAGTATATCTTTTATATCAATTACTGTTGATTCTTTTTAAAAATTCAATGTTCCTTCATCATGTTATGTTAATTAGCATATAAATATATTTGTAAGCACTTGTTGAATTTCAGTGTTGAATAAACACATTCATGAAACCAATCACTGTGTTACAGATCCACTGTTCTAATTACCTGTGCTGGCATGGAAACTAACGGGTTGTTTATTGTATAAATCTATATGACTGCCAAACAGCAATTTAGTGGAATGGGCACAATTGATGGGCATCTGTTTCCACTGCCATAGTCATTGGACCTTCAGGTTTGGAGATATTTACTGTTAAACTTGAAAGATTTGATTTATGGCCTTGGGTTGTTTCTTATAGCATCCTCTTCACACTGACACGGATGCTGTTCATTTCTATGGAGAGATTGTGACCACTGACTGTCGAGTTGTCTCTGGTACAAAATTCAGTGGAATATATAATACAAATCATAATAATTACAGAGGCGCTCTAGCCTTAAAGGTTTGAGCTCTGATTAAAGTGAAAGAAAAGTTTTCATTTCTAATACTGTACTGTTGAAATTATCTTAATTATAATATATAATACTGTAATCGTTATTTTCACGTGGGATTAATTTTCGCAAAAAGATCGTGCGTCAATAATCATACCAAACGAAATATTCATGGTCAAGTCATGACAAATACTCTAGTAGGAAACAGCATGCAATTTGTTTATTCTTTCAGATAACAACATTGCATGTCTATCGGTTGTGAAAACTTTGTGATGGATACCATCACTCAGGTGTTTAAAATCTCGAAAAAACAACTGCGCTAACAGGTCTTTTGTGAACTTTCCGTGAAAATTTCACCCTGTGAAAATATATAGGATTACAGGATGCAAATTCCTTCTCTCTTCAAAAACCACAGCACACAGAACCAAAATGTGCTTCTGACCATGAGATACAATTCTTGAATCCCGACTTTTCTCACCTCTGAAAGCTCTCTGGAAATATTCTGACAGGGACGGGTGGGCTTCATGGTGTGCAGAAAAACAGTCCTCGAATAAAAAAGCCCTAACTTTGCCTAGGAAAAAACCATTGTATTAAAGATCAAAGATCAATTTATCTATTTAATAACTGATATGTGTGAGTTATCAATGTTCTTCTAAAATATTTTACCTCAAAGTTGATGAATAAATAGGTTTTTGTTGCAATAGGACTTTTTTCCCGGAGTACTCTTTTTCCAAGACTTTTCTACGGAGGACTTTTCTCCCTACAGTCTTGAATTGAAAATGGAACACATTGTAGAGTCATTATGCTTGTGAAAGGACATGAATTTGAGTGAATATTTAGTGTATGATCTGTGACTCTTTAAGTAACTACACAACTCTGTGATTCCTAAATAATGACTTTTATTTCACGTGAATGTATACAAACATGACATTTTACAAGACTTGCCCTACAACTTGGCCTACCTGGATCTAAAGTGAAAAACTTAGTGTTATTTAAATGAACAACAGGCAGGTGTCAGAAAGGGAGACAACTTGGTCACATGCTGGTGCCTGTGTGGAGGTTGTCTTGACCCTGGACAGTGAAAGTAGGGCAAATGTGAGAAAGACACTTTGTTTTCAATACTAGCCGTTCTATAATCATGACGTTGAAACAATTTTTGTCACAGTGAATAGAAATATGGAATGTACCTTCATTGTTTACTATAATGTATTCTACTAATGGACATTGAAAGTAAATTGAGTTATACATAATTACTTTGACAGTAACTGTGTCACAAGGCACCTCACCAGGTTGATGTATGTATATAGAAAGGCACAATAGCTTGATATTTCAAATCCTCCTTGTTTGAAGGCAGTACTGAAAGATTCCAGAGCTATACACATGAAACAAGACACAACTCACATTTTATCTTCATGTATCTTAAAATGTATAAAATAACAGGTGTATATTTTGCTGAAATACAGAAAGTTCAGAAGTTGTCACTGGACACAAACCCTACCTGCTGTTGTAATTCCTGCTAGAGAATCACAAACGGAAAATTCAGAATTACTGAACAGCAAAAGGCACTAGTTGAACAGTTTCCTGATAAACAATGTATTGTATAAAATAATGAGATGTTTTGGAAGTGAACCCTACTTACATTTGAATGAAGTCAGATTGTTTTGTTCAAATGAAACATCTTAAACTTAAAACTATCATGCACAGCAAAAGAGTTAAGCAATCGTCTTTTATGTAAAGTTTTACATGCCATATTGAAAACCTTACAATTTAAGGTAAGGAAATGATCCCTTGTTTCATTCGACGGTATGTCGACATGTTGCCGTGTAAAAATATCCAATGTATGCCTGTCTAGCAAGGGGCATAACTCTTGTCTCATGTATATACAAATGCTCATGATTCATCATAAGCAGCTTATGAACCCAGCCTTCATTTTCACTTGCTTCATGGAAAAGACTGGAATATTCGAAGGCACTTTCAACACCAGTGTGTATACCAAGTTTCAATGCTACTGAAACATTAATAAAGATTACAAAAGCCTGCCTTTAGTAGTGAGTGAGTTAGTTGGGTTCTATGCCGCTTTTAGCAATATCACGGTGGGGGACACCAGAAATGGGCTTCACACATTGTACCCATGTGGGGAATCGAACCCGGGTCTTTGGTGTGACGAGCGAATGCTTGCCTTTAGTAACCTACTGTACATCTTAGAATAAACTCTAGGTCAGTCGCTTAAACAATCCGACATCAAGAAGAAACATACACCTCAATACGGAAAAGGAAACTAAAACAATGCATGCTTTTGATAAACACGATGTAAAAGAACGTTCAGGAATAAACACATGACGTATATTCTAGGATGTGTCATGGAGAGTACTGAATGCTGCTTATAAGCAAACAAATTTCTGGCATCAACAGTCTGAACAGTCTCTGTGACCTGGTAAGGTCGACCTTGAGCGATAGTGACATAAACATTAAAGTGTTTCACATAGTATCACTGCATGAGAACAGTACATGACATCACTCTGCTGAGAATCATGTTGAGTCTAGACTACAGTGCACTTAAAAACAATACACACACCATGATATGACTGACTGACTGACTGAGTTTGGTTTTACGCCGCTTTTAGCAATATTCCAGCAATATCACGGTGGGGGACACCAGAAATGGGATTCACTCATTGTACCCATGTGGGGATTCGAACCCGGGTCTTCGGCGTGTGACGAGCCAACGCTTTAACCACTAGACTACCCCAATCGCCCACACCATGATATGAAATCACATATAATGTAACAACCAAACGAAGTAGAAATATATGAACAACTTGCATAACATTTCTGTTATCTCACAGAAGAGTGTAGCGTATGCTATATTTGGGATTACTTTCTCAGTGAAGTACAGGAACCGCTTAGGTTTGGTCTTTAGCAACCCTTCTTGTCATAAGAGGCGACTATTGGGATCGGGTGGTCAGGCTCGCTGACTGGGTTGAACATGTCATCGTATCCCAATCAATGCTCATGCTGTTGATCTCTGGATTGTGTGGTCCAGACTTGATTATTTGCATACAGCTGCCACATAGTTTGAATATTGTTGAGTGCAGCATTAAACAACAACAGTGAGGTACAGATTCTAGTACTATACTGAGAAAGTGTAATCCCAAATATAACATGTTACATTTTGCCACATTCTGTATGGCATTGTGTTTTAACAGAATGTTGTGTAAATATGAACATATTCATACCGTTCAGAGGCAGGTCGTACCTAGACTTACCCCCCTACTATGCATGTAATTAACATTTAATACTTTGATCAAAGACATCCATCGCCAGAACTCATCACTTCATGCTGTAGACTTTGTAAGAGTAACAATATACTGAATATCACAGGAATGCTAGCTGCTGGAATGAAGAGCCTGATAAATATACAGCAATCCCCGAGGTCTTCAACATGGACGGAACAAGTATAATTGACAAAACAACTTTTGTAATCATGAGACAATCAAAAGATGAGAGTCTGACGTGGACAGGTTTTTCTTTGTCCTTTTAAACATCGTGAGTTTGCTCATTCCTCAACATTGATAACCTAATGTTAGTTTACTGACACTGACAACTTCCGTTTAAAGATATTCATGTCAATATGAACATGAACCACCTGAATATTCAATGTTCTATTATTTAATGTATAAAGACTGATATTTCATAGTGTTTTATGAGTCTAAAATACACTTGGTGATGTGAGGCCAAACATATGGATTACACATCGACATACTTTTCTCAGATGTAAGTATCACAGTATTAACAACTTAATATCAGCTTGGTAAGGAAGACACATCATTAGGGACTGTTCATAATTTATGGCTGGTGTGTGTGTGTGTGTGTGAGAGAGAGAGAGAGATGATTTTAAGGGGGGTCAGCAATTTTGTACACAAGTACTAGGGGGGTCAACAATTTTGTACATGATAATATTTAAATATATTTAAAGATTATGGTGGGGGGGGGGTTGGGCATTGATTTTGCACATGATATGAAAGCGTAGGTCACTTACTTTGTACGTAAATATTTAGGTGGGGGGCATTCACATTGTACATGCTTCTGCATAAAAATCATCATCACCCCCCTTGCCATAAATTATGAACGGTCCCTTATTATGAATAAGAATAATGATAATAATAATAATGTGTCTATTTATATAGCGCCAAACTCCACACCAGGTATGCTCATAGCACTAACAATCAATAAGGCATTATTGAAGTCCATAGAACTTTTTGTAGAGAAACGTTTTGAGGTGACGCTTAAAGTTTTCAAGGGTTGGAGACAGCTTAAGGTCATCAGGGAGAGAATTCCAACTGACCGATGCCATGTTCTGGTAAGACTTGTAGCCAAATGATTTGAGGTTCCACTTTGGTACACAGAGCAGATTAGATGAGGATGAACGCAGAGTTCTTGTTGGCATGTAAGGAGTTCAATGAATGTATGATGTTGTCAGAGGAAATTGTTTGTGATGAAGGTCAGCTACCGAACAGGACAAAGATGCCACTGCCTCATACTGAGGGTACAGAGGAACAACTCCAGGCACCCCCCTATTGGCCGTGGCCCTGAGTCAGATGTTTCAACAACTGGCCCCCATGTGTATACTGGAGTGGGTATATATATAAGCTTGAGTAAATCAATATCTATATATGTTTATAAACTTGGTTAAATCAATATCTTATATGTTTATAAACATGTGTAAATCAATATTTATATATGTTTATAAACCTGGGTAATCGAATCCTTTCATGGGCAATACTTTCAGAAGAAGTGTACAGTGAGTGAGTGGGTGAGTTCTACATCACAGCAGGAGTCACCACAAATGCAGTTCACACATTGTATCCATGTGGGGAATCGAACACGGGTCTTCTGCATGGCGAGTGAACACTTTAACCACTAGGCTACCCCACCTCCCCCAAGATGTGTACAGTTGAGTGATGTGATTCACATGGCTGTTAACCACATACTCAGTTTATTTAATCAAATGAGACCTATAACACAGGGAGAACACATATAAGTGAGTGAGTGAGTGCGGCTTAGTTTATCCCAGACTTAAGCAATATTCCAGCAATATACCATGCCCCAGTGAAGGGACACTCAGAAATGGGCTGACTCGAGCCACATTGTGCCCATGTGTGGGAATCGAACAAGTACCGGTCTTTGCGGTGGATCGAACCCACGACCTTGGATGCCTTACTCCCACTAGGTGGCTACCCACAGGGACACACACATAAGTAGTGTTTTTATTTTGGAAGGATAATAGGAAATTGGTGGGGTGTTTTAAAGAGGTGACGGACGGAAATCGAATAATTGATTCATAATGGCCTAAAATCTAATCATATCACAAGGCCTAAACATAATATATGAAGAAAAGATTCAGTGTTTTAATGTACAGATCTATAAATTATTAAATATGGCATCCCAGGTAAAGGATAAACATGTAAATGAGCATCTCAACACAGTATAAAGATATGTAGAATATTATCATGTACATGACATGACAAGCAGACCATGGTAATGTCTCAACAATGTATCCCACTAAACATAATTGTGATATACATTGTGTATATAATATTATCACATAAATATGAGATGATGTGTAAACTGTAGAAAATGACATCTAAATTCATGTCTAAATTGTCTTATGACATCAAATACATGAACATGAGTAAACTAATTTTTACAAATGTTGATACATTTAAAACTTATAGACACCTGGCCATGATCCAAAATAATTCTGTTGGTTTTAGTTTGTAACCAGTAATGGCCAATGTCCTAACAGTAAAAAGTACAGACATTATTGATGTCACTCCATTTTCTGATGTCATTGTAACCAATGACATCACAATGGCCTGTAAAGTACTATGATGTAAGTCCCTAGCAGCAACATCTCAAAGGATATGTGGAGTATATCAGGTTAATTATGACACAATAATAAATATTATATAAACATGCATCATATAAAGATTTTACATCAGAAAAGTGAAAAGATACATCTATAACGTTTTGAAGGTTTTCCAAACCATTGTGCTTAGCTTGAGCTGACACAACACCTGAACCACAACTTCTACCATCACAGATGTTGGCAAGCTTACTCAGACGAGAAACATTTATTTCTTGTTTTACAGAACAGCCGGTCGTATTTTTTCAAGAATAAGAAATAAAATTAAAATTGGAAAATTTAATATAAATTGTATATTTATATACTTATCCTATCTCACGATTTGCACTTCTCTCTCTTTGCTTCCACACTGAGTGGAATGAATGAGAACTTTTCCTGTAGGCCTCTCTTGTCCATACGCCAGTGTTCCCCAGGCTGCTCTCTTTATAGGACAGGTCCCTAGTCCCTGGCTAAGCGTGCAGCACGTTCCTCTGTCTACCCACGTGACTACCTCAGAGTGATCATTCTTCTTCTTATTTTCTTCCTCGGATCAGGAACACGGGCGTATGGACAAGAGAGGCCTACAGGAAAAGTTCTCATTCACTCAGCATCGAAGCAAGAGAAAGAAGTGCAAATCGTGTCATAGGATAAGTTTAAAAATTTAATTTTCCTCGCTCAAAAAATAAAATCCAATTTTTTTGATTGTTTTCTTACCCTTGTAAACCTCATAAATTGCCAAAAATAAAATACTTTTATTATTTAAAAGGAAAATTATTTTGACTAGTGATTCTTATTTTTATTTTTTTTCCTCCTGCCTTTTGGTTTTCTGAGGACAAAAATCTGTAAAACAAGAAATAAAATTGGTCTGGCCTAAATTTAAAACAAAGTTCAAGAACCAATAGAAAATTTAGCTCAAGTTACACAACGTCATAGGTTAGTTTGTTTCAGCAAGTAGATAAATGCAATAGCACTTAAGTTTTTCTCAATGATTAATCTCATGAAAGACAGATCTTTTTACAATCATTCAGAACTGAGGAAACCTGAACTCATAACCTTAGGTACACATCCAGTTTCATCCTCCACATGCTCAGCTAAACAAATTAAGACCAGTTGAAGATCTAATATAAACAGCTTATTGATGAATGTAGTGGACAAAATTACAGAAGTTGTTTCAGAAAAGGTAACACAATATCATCATATTGAAGACAAGGTCACATGATTGCCTAGTGTTGCCTTGGGAGACCTACTTCTTCATGACCCTTGTCACATGACAGAGCAGGCTCTACTCTTTGTCTTGTTTCCAATACGAGGACGTCGAGCTGTCCCTCGTGGTTTGAGAGACCTGAGTGCTGGAGATGCATTTGACTGTGACAACTGGCTAACAGCCGACTGTTGACTCGATGCCTGGGATGTGTTTGAGGCATCACTTGATGGCCTTTCCTCTGGCTTCTCCAGGTCTTCCCCAGCACCATCCACCTCGTCCTGGCTACCAGAAGCCTCGCGCACTGAAGTGGAAAAAACACAGTGAATGTCAAAAACACTAGTATGATGACGATAAAGCTAGTAATGATCTATGTGGGCTAGGGGTACATAAAGCTCATACTAAGGGTCTGGGTCAGCGGTGTGGTCAGACTGAGCTGTCGATTAGCCTTATGTACTCCATTAATACAATTAAGACAGTGTGGCACCATGTTATCAGGTCAAAACCAAATTGTTCATGTAAACACAAACCAAACTAACCAACAACAAGTGTTTGGTTGGGTACAACAGTTCATGAGATATTGCGTTAACAAGAATCGGAACGAAAGTACGGACGGACATGTAAACACAAACCAAACTAACCAACAACAAGTGTTTGCCCCTGATATGGCAATGTCCCCCGTCGCTACAGAATGGAATATCTATATTTACTACTCTTAATTTTTTTGTCACATTCAAGATGCCTGAAATGACTGGCATCTGCATAATCACCCAATGTAGGCCGTCAACATAATTGATTTTAATTAATAATTGATAATATTTTATGAGATATCTCGTTCAAATAAGTTTGAAAAGCGGTCAAAGTGTCGTGGTGACCTTGAAGACAAAGTCAAGGTCACCCCAATAAACTGGTGTCTGCGTAATCCCCCAATGTAGGCTGTCACCAAATGTGAAGACATTGGGTACAACAGTCCATGAGATACCACGCTAGCAAGAGTTAAAAGTGTGCAAAGTGCTGTGGTGACCTTGAAGATAAGGTCAAGGTCACCCCAATAAACTTGTGTCTGCGTAATCCCCCAATGTAGGCTGTCATCAAATTTGAAGACATTGAGTACAACAGTCCATGAGATATCACGTTAACAAGAGTTTGAAAAGTGGTCAAAGTGTCACGGTGACCTTGAAGATAAGGTCAAGGTCACCCAAATCGACTGGTGTCTGCATAATCCCCAATTTGAAGAGGATGTCAAGGTCACCCAAATCGACTGGTGTCTGCGTAATCCTCCAATTTTGAAGACATTGGGTACATCAGTTCATGAGATATTGCGTTAACAAGAGTTTGAAAAGTGGTCAAAGTGTCATGGCGACCTTGAAAATAAGGTCAAGGTCACCCAAATCAACTGGCGTCTGCGTAATTCCCCAATGTAGGCTGTCACCAAATTTGAAGACATTGGGTACAACAGTTCATGAGATATAGCGTTAACAAGAATCGGGACGAAAGTACGGACGGATGCCGCTGAAATACATAGTCCCCCGTTCCACGTTGCGGTGGGGGACAATAAAGGATTTGTTGCTTAGTGGACAACTCGCACAATTGAGTGATTGTTTAGCAGTACAATTGAGTGAGAATTTAAGGTTTATCAAAGCCTGTCAGCTTGACGCTTGATGTGAGAAGAAATCCTGCTCTTATGCAGGTGTCAGACATTTATCATTTTGGTGCCAGACATGAACCAAGAAAATATTGCATATCTGGGTAAACGTAATAGCAACTGGATTCAATGACAATAAAGAAAACATTGTCAAAAGTGTCTTGATTGGGAATACATTTGGAACTTTTCACAGCCATTATTAGTCATTAAAAGTCAGGTTGTTAGAACCACCCATCAGAAATTTGAATATCTTGAAACACTGACTGAAAAAAATACACAAGCAAATATTTAAGGCCATGGCAAAGAAATAAATGGTCTGTATTGTACAGGGTGAACTACTTTACCATGGCTTCCTCCTCCGGTGTGTGTGGTCCTTCTTGCCTTCTGATCCACCGCAAGGCTGCGTATCCCAGCAGGCACCTTCCGCATGTCCAGCCCCTTCATAGCCTCCAGCATGTAGTCGACCCGTCCAAGGTCACCTGACCCATGGGAGGTCACTGCCGCCTCATCACTCAGCACCGTCACTCGCATCTTGTTCCGATGTTCTTCACACAGCCAAACTGTCTTTCCATTGGGTAGATGACACCTGCAGGAAGCAAACACTGAACCCTTTAAAGCACAGGTAAATTGACCACACTCACTGACTGCAATATCTTTTCTAGATATATTTGACAATTTCTGAGAAAAAAAACAAATATTTGGTGAAAGTTTTTCAAAATCCACATGAATGTGCAGAAATCACACACTTCTGATTCCAAAACATATTTGGATGTTTGTCCTGAAGCCACCAGCACTGTGGTGTGCAACAAACGTTTTACCTGGCTGGTAGGTATAACCTATATCTGTATGCTTATCAACATTTCCATTCTTTTTAATAAGCATGCCATAAAACATTATAATCTGCCAAAAATGTTATGTTGATTATTTTTGCCAGTCAGCATTGTGAGTGAGTGGATGTGTATGGTTTTATGCAACGTTTGGCAGTATTCATGCAATATCATGACAACGGACACCTGAAACAGGCTTCAAACATTTTCCTTGAACTTACCTTGCCAGTTTGACCCTGGCTCTGTCTGGGTCCACCAGTATATACTAGCCTCCTGTCTGATGTCCAATGTTTTCCTTGAACTTACCTTGCCAGTTTGCCCATGGCTCTGTCTGGGTCCGCCAGTATATACTAGCCTCCTGTCTGATGTCCAATGTTTTCCTTGAACTTACCTTGAATCTGCCCATGGCTCTGTCTGGGTCTGCCAGTATAGCCTCCTGTCTGATGTCCAATGTTTTCCTTGAACTTACCTTGCCAGTCTGCCCATGGCTCTGTCTGGGTCCACCAGTATATACTAGCCTCCTGTCTGATGTCCAATGTTTTCCTTGAACTTACCTTGCCAGTCTGCCCATGGCTCTGTCTGGGTCTGCCAGTATATACTAGCCTCCTGTCTGATGTTCAATGTTTTCCTTGAACTTACCTTGCCAGTTTGCTCATGGCTCTGTCTGGGTCTGCCAGTATATACTAGCCTCCTGTCTGATGTCCAATGTTTTCCTTGAACTTACCTTGCCAGTTTGCCCATGGCTCTGTCTGGGTCTGCCAGTATAGCCTCCTGTCTGATGTTCAATGTTTTCCTTGAACTTACCTTGCCAGTCTGCCCATATGGCTCTGACTGGGTCCTCCAGTATATACTAGCCTCCTGTCTGACGTCCAATGTTTTCCTTGAACTTACCTTGCCAGTTTGACCATGGCTCTGTCTGGGTTTGCCAGTATAGCCTCCTCTCTTAGTTCCAATGTTTTCCTTGAACTTACCTTGCCAGTCTGCCCATGGCTCTGTCTGGGTCTGCCAGTATATACTAGCCTCCTGTCTGATGTCCAATGTTTTCCTTGAACTTACCTTGCCAGTTTGCCCATGGCTCTGTCTGGGTCCACCAGTATATACTATCCTCCTGTCTGATGTCCAATGTTTTCCTTGAACTTACCTTGCCAGTTTGCCCATGGCTCTGTCTGGGTCTGCCAGTATAGCCTCCTGTCTGATGTCCTGATAGATCTGGCAGAAGTCAGAGGAGTCCACCACCAGGGGGCTCTGAAGAACATAGATATCTTGTAACAAACACTTAGAGCATGAGTATAACCATCTCAGTATTACCCCTGACCCTGAGGATCCTACAGTTAACCAGCGTATCTTGTGTTATTTTATCACCCTTTAACTGGGCACATATAGAGAAATGTTATAAGGTGCTTCCTTTATAGGAAACACACAACATAAATCAATAGCTGTATAAATAAAACTTTCATGATGTACACCTATACACTGACTGACTGACTGAGTTTGGTTTTACGCCGCTTTTAGCAATATTCCAGCAATATCACGGTGGGGGACACCAGAAATGAGCTTCACACAATGTACCCATGTGGGGATTCGAACCCTGGTCTTCGGCGTGACGAGCCAACGCTTTAGCCACTAGGCTACCCCACCGCCCCCTACACCTATACAAGATACTGAGGTGTAAGGTATCAGCTACCCTGTGTCACATGGTTGGTGATTTGAAACCATATGACATCTATTTTGTTGTACCTTTCATACAAACTTCTATATTAAGGACATTATAAAACATGTGATAGTACATTCCTGTAAGTATTGAGCTAGTACTGACCTCCTCCACCCATTTGATAAACTCGCGTCCTGCCTCTGTAGCCAGGCAATTGAGGACCAGTTTCTTGCTGTACTGAGCAATGGCAGTGATTCTGGCAATGTACGGCACACACTTCTCCAGGCTGGTGTTGCTGAACACCAGGGGTAGAGGCTCCCCGCAACTGTGCCATCCCTGTAGGTAGGGGATACAACAGGCTATATTGTGATGAGTCAGCAATACAACAAAAACACGAACATGTAATAAAACTGTGTTATTTGAAAAACAGGTCAATTCTAAGAAGAATACGATAAGCAACTGAATATTGATTTGAGCTATCATGACATAAATTCAGTAACACAATGTCATTGTTTCAAGCTATATTAACAGCATGAACAATTGTTATGTAATTATGATGAGATGAGGGTATAAATGTCATAACAACCCACAGACATGTTCTACCCAAGACTTAAGAAGAAACCCACCTCATCATGTTCACAGAGTAAGTGGATACAGAGGGGGTGTTTGAGAAAGTCTTTGCTGCCGTGATGTGCTGAGGCCTGTGTCTCCTGTGTCCGGGGTGTCTCCTTCTCGGACGTCTCCTTCTGGGGGGTGTCCTCACCAGCTGCTGCAGCACACACAACATATACACAGGCTCTACATAGTGTGTACAGGTAACACCACCTACTTTACAATCCAGGGATCAAGATGATGTCCCAGAATGCAACAGTCTTGAACAGGTCAATACTGTTTATAAAGCCTTAGATTCTTACCCCTTCAGCCATTCAGTGCTGACAAATCAACTAAAATCTGATTGACCTATGACTCCATAAGCCCAAGGGACACAACTCTGCAAAGCAATAACTGTGCCCATGCCCTCTCATCAGATATATATTGAGCTATAAATCTTAAGGTAGTCTTAATAAGTTGATGACCTAAGTCTAGAACAGTAACAGAGACCTCAAGTAAGAGTGATCTGGAGTAACATACCTCCACTAACAGTGTCAGGGGAGTTTAGTTTTATGCCGCTTTTAGCAATATCACGGCGGGGGACACCAGAAATGGGCTTCAGATATTGCACCCATGTGGGGAATCAAACCCTGTGTAACAGGCCAAACACCCCCACCACCCCCTCCCCCTCACACCCCCAGGCTTAATCTTCTCTGTGGAATGCTTGTCCAAGGCCAAACTTTCTCCACCCTTGAATCAACTTTAAAGGCTACTTCTTTCCGACCCGTGTTCTTATATCATTGGGGGAGAATCTTCGGCATAACGAGCGAATGCTTTAACCATTTGGCTACCCCACCGCCCCCTTGAGTGAAAATAACCTTAGTTACAGTGACCTGAATATGTCACAGTGAAATTCTCTTCTTGTACCATTGTTATGATCCTATCTCTAAACAAAGACCAGGTCCCCGTTTCAGAAAGCTATCGTAGCACTACGACTGTCGTAAGTCTATGTTAAAGTATGGGGCCCTGGGGCCGTAAAACAACTAAGTTTTGACTTAAGAAAAAACTTACATTTCTTAAAACTGACTTAGCCAAGTCAAAACCTTAAGTTGGTATTCACAAACGGGCTAAGTCTGAAACTTAGCTAAGTCCGCCGACAAAAACTAAGTCGATTTCGCCGAACGCGATCACGTGATCAACACCATGATCCTTCCAAGAGTGCACTATGCAAGCCTTGTTCTGGTACTGAGCAATCACTGCTGTCAAGTGATACCAGCAGTCTGCATGTTAAAGTTAAAGGTTCTAGCCAGTCACATCAAACATTTCATCCTGGACCAGTTGGTTTAACATTTTACAAAGGTGCCCGTGATATTATGAGCAATGGGTCTGACACCCTGGCAGTACTAGAACAGGAACTGGATTGATACTTTACGTACCTGGTTCCTCCTTCACAAAGTCGATGAGGAAGAGTCTGGGATACGGTGCTGTGATGTCCTGCTCCTCCGCATACTGCACGATCTGCCGCAGGAACTTCCTCTGTGCCAGCTCACATAGCTCCTGGTTGATAGAAGTGAGTGAGTGAGTGAGTTTAGTTTACGCCACACTCAGCAATATTCAAGCTATATGGAAATGTAAATAATCAAGTCTGGATTAGACAATCCAGTGATCAACAGCATGAGCATCGATCTGCGCAACTGGGAACCGATGACATGTGTCAACCAAGTCAGCGAGCCTGACCACCCGATCCCGTTAGTCACCTCTTACGACAAGCATGGGTTACTGAAGATCAATATTCTAACCCAGATCTTCACGGGTCTGGTTGACAGAAGGCACACAATGTGGTCAAGACCCATTCAATCTAAACACCAAACAATGTACTAAGGAGTAGTGGTGGTCCGATTAATTGAAATAATCGAAGATTGGTCACAGTGACTAAACGACCAAGCAATCGATCATGATTTCTCATAATCGAACACAAACAATTCTGGAACACTTGTTTTCATCAACAATATTTTTCACAAGGTTGGTTTTATCTATTACATTTCATAAGCACTACAAGCTTGTTCCAAGTCGTGATTGAATTCATCTTAAAGACACCAAGAAATTTATGTTCCTAACATACTAGTCATCCTTTAAAGATGTGAAATTTTGCCCAAAACACCCCAAAAATAACTACATGTTTTTTCCTTATTTTTTTGTGCATTCACAAATTTCATAAATGACGCTAACCAATTATTTTCGATGATTGATCGGTGGTAATGAACCAATCATCAATTATGAGATTTTGAACCAATTCCCAACACTACTAAGGAGTTATTCAGTATGTTGTTTACAGCTCTGTGACAATGGTCACACACCTGGTAAGACAGGTCCTTCTGCTGCTCATTGGTTTTGTCCAATTTCTGTTTGGGAGTGAGAGTGATGGTGGATGTAGCCAGAGTTTCCTTCACAATACTGAGGAGTTTATCAAAGGCATTCTGGTTGTTCTCTTGGAAGCTGACTATAGGGTATTTCAGGGACAGCACACCAATCTAGAACACAAAAGGGTATATAATATAAACCATGACATAGAGGATCTTCCATTTTCCTGTCTCTCATCTCAAGATCTGACATACTACAGCCATCATGCTTACCTCTCACTGTTGACTACAATATGTCTCCATTGTGTTTCTTATTACATACCACATCCATTACTTCTAACAAGAGGTATCCATGGTAACTGACCTCTGAGGCTCTCCAGCTGTTTCCTGTTCCCACCACAGCGAGGACAACAGGCAGCTTGAGAGTGTTGGCTGCGTAGCGGAACTCCATGGCACAGTTGGCTGATTCAGCATACTGGTCTGAGACACATACAATCACAGCCCGAGCATTTAGGAGACCCTCAGCAATATCCTCAAACAGGCCGTGCTGAAATACCATATATAGAGGCTATAAATCCTTAGGGGGCAACCACATAATATTCTCAGGTAGGGGGCCAGCTACAACAGATTATACTTTCTGCCAGTGTTTCAAAACATCTACAAAATATCCCTTAAAGTAAGGTACCAAAAACGTGTTGGAGGATGTCCAGATTGGCTTGTGAAATGAACTTCCTTTTATTGTTTGGGGTTGAGTTTATTTGTTAAAGCATCCTTGCTTTTAGCCACACAGGATATCAATCAGTTAAACTTATCAGCAATTTGAATGTAGTGATGAGATAATTAGATATATTTCTTGAGGACATGCTGATGCTGCTGCTGCTGACAGCCACTAACCAGGCCAACTCGCTCAACATCCAGCCAGCACTGGACTCCATGGTCGTCAAGGTATTTCTTTATAGCTCGTGGATCACCATATCCTACAGCACCTTCTGTAGATCTGAACAAAGAACAAAGTGACATTCACATTGTTGGAAAGGCTATTCAGTATTCAAATAATTATGTAATTCCCTTTCAGACAACAAGACAAAAGATCCCTGTGGTGTGAGTGAGTGAGTTTGCTTGAACAGTATTCCAGTGATGTGGGGGAAAGTCCTCGTGTTGCAGGTCTCAAACATCTAGCAGTTTGGTGAAACACATGAACTTGATTACAATGCAAACAAACCTAGAAACGAAATCAGGGCAAAGTTGGTCATTATAAACATGACCAATGTTTTCGGGAATGCCTGGAGGGTTTAAACTGTGAAATACTGCAGTGCTTCGGAAGACACCGACCACCCACTTGTGCCAAGTAGCCATCCCTTCCCCAACAGTTGTGATAGAGCACACAGGTGTTGCGTGAAGGTTCAAAACCAACTCAGAGGTTTTATTTGAAAAAGTAAGCCAATTTCAAGGAAAATTAGGAAGGGCCAATAGTAAGCCAAGGGCTTACTTTTTCAAACAAAACCAAGGAAGAGGTTTTGATCCTACTTAAAATACCGATGAAATGTACAATTTACATTAATGCATTTCGTTAAAAACAAAAACAAGGCTTCAGTTGTTTATACTGTTCAACTAGGATGCGACTGGCAGCCAATACCTTGCCTTGCACGCGCTACCCATGATCCTTCGTAGTCTAGTGGATATAACCACCAAGCTAGTTAGCGAAGGGTTGCAGGTTCGAAACCAGGCACTGATACAATATATCGGAAGTTTTCATTTTTGTGATATTTTATGATCATTTTCAGTAATAGCAAGACAAAGTCGTATCAAGCCTCAAACATTGTACAAGTAAAATAATTCAAACTCAATGGCTATTCCTCAGGAAAGACCTGGGCATTCTTCAAGAAAGCCCAGAGCATTCCTTAAGAAATCCCTTGGATTTCCTGGAGAATGCCTGCAAAACTGACTGCAGAGGTTCACTCTGTACAGGAAGAACCCAACTGAACAATAGAGCAACATCATCAGAGTTTTATAAACGGAAACCCAGCCCCAGATTCAAAGTCTAGATAAAAGAACGGAGTTTGGTTTATATGCCTCTTTGAAGCTGTAAACCTACATGGTACTATGGTAGAGCGAAGATTTGTAAGGTGTTAAACAGTTACGGCAATGAAATGTCAGAGAATGAATGCCTTCACAACAGCCTTAAAGGATAATACTGAGGTCAATGGCAATCATGAACTATTTTGGTGGCAATCATGACACATTTTCAGGCTGTAAGACAACAATTCTGAGAGCAAAGACTCCTCACCTTGTGCCCCTTGCAACGGCCTCAGCGGAGTTCTGCCAGCAGTAGCTGATGAAACATGGCGGGAAGTCCTGATTCTCTGTCTCCTTCTTGACCCTGACCTTCAACACCTTCATCAACTCATCAAACTTGTGTTTGTATCTGTCTGGATGCTGCATGGTCACATACACCTGCAGGTAATATAATCAGAGTAGATTAGCATCACCAGCACAACCACATACACCTGCAGGTAATATAATCAGAGAAGATTAGCATCACCAGCACAACCACATACACCTGCAGGTAATATAATCAGAGAAGATTAGCATCACCAGCACAACTACATACACCTACAGACAGGGGTCAGGGAAGATAAGCATCATCCCAGCACTCCTGCATACACCTACAGACTTGTAAGGGAAAGGGGAGGGAAGATGAGCATACATCGGGACAGGGGTCAGGGAATATAAGCATCATCTCGGCACTCCTGCATACACCTACAGACTTGTAAGGGAAAGGGGAGGGGAAGATGAGCATACATCGGGACAGGGGTAGGGAAGATAAGCATCATCTCGGCACTCCTGCATACACCTACAGACTTGTAAGGGAAAGGGGAAGGGAAGATAAGCATCATCTCAGCACTCCCGTGTACACCTACAGACTTGTAATGGAAGGGGTAGGGGAAGATAAGCATACACCGAGACAGGAAGCCTGTCTAGCAATGAAAGTACCAGTACAAGTTCCAGCTTCTCTCACCTCATCAGCCAGCAGAATGCCAAGTCTACTGGACTTCCACTCCATGCCAGATCCCACCACGACCAAGATGATGGGTTTCCGTAGCGTCAGACGGGCATACTTGAACAGGTTACAGCAGTTCTCGTCATTCACATACTCGTTGGATATGAAGACAAGGATGACCCCTGCGTCCATCAGGGCCTTGGCCATCTCATCTGTGGTGTTCTTGTGGGACTCTTCCTGGTACCAGCTGGGGACAAAAGAAGGTCCACAAGGAAGCACTGAATGTTCAGCTCTACAACTACTGTACCTCCCAATTATGGCTCATAACAGTTAGAGTGATGAGATAGCTTGGAGTAGGCAATTTTAGTGCTAAGATGATCAGAACTTCCATATTTTAGCAAGGACTTAGGTCAGGTTGAGCACTAGGATGACTCTGTGGCATGAGCATTGGTGGTGAACATGGAGCAGGTTGTATCTGCTGCTGTTCAAGGCGTTAATGTCTCTATCAGTCTGTCATGACAAGGAGAACTGCAAAATGTTCCCTTCATTGACAGAACTACATTTCATGGCAGAAAATTGCAGATTAACATCTTTTCCTTTGAATGTTGTTAGATTAAAAATAATTTTGATGAATATTACAAAGCTTTTATAAACTTTATTCTACACATACATCTACAAATAAAGACTCTGGCTAAAGATTTGGTAAATAGTAGTCAACATACAAACATGAAAGTGTAAGACTGGTTAGTTTTGTAGAAATTTGACTAAACTTTGAACAGAAACACTATCCTTTCACAAGGCTTCAGGCATAACTTACCATTTATAATCTGCCTTCTCCAGGTCGCTGCACACAGTCGAGGGGTGGATGATGATCCTGTTGGATCTGTCCTCAGGTGCATTCTTCTCACAGTACGACACAAAGATATCTGTGAAGAGAGGAGACATGTCAGGATTTCTCTGAGGTCACCTGCTTGTGTGTTTAAAACTTCACCCACCATCAGTCCGGTCAAACCAGTGATTGATTGAGTGAGTGAATATGGTTTTACGCCGCTTTTAGCAATATTCAAGCAATATGATGGCGGGGGACACCAGAAATGGGCTTCACACATTGTTCCCATGTGGGGAATCGAACCTGGGTCTTCGGCATGACAAGCGAATGCTTTTAACCACTAGGCTACCCCATCGCCCCCCAAACCAGTGATTGATATTATGATCAATGACATGATCATGACACTGACATGCTATGAAACCACATCACCCACGTGAACACCCTATAAGATGCCTCTTCACTCCAGGTTACTGGGGATAAATTGTTATCCAGAATCTCAACAGGACTGTGGCACAACCAGTACTGACAGATTTACAAAGAAAAATGTCATGAAATGAAAAATATCATAGACACATACAATTGATCCAGTTATGAGGTCAGATGACAAATATCTAAGGACAACTCCACAGAGGGTCCCACACCGACCTGCCACCAAGTCCTTGGACAGCTCCTTCAGGCCCTGCACAGCCTGCACCAGGTGGATGTCATAGGTGGCATGGGAGTCTGGTGGCATCATCCCTGCAACACAAACACCAGGAACAGTCATGGAGTTGCACATATTACCCGTTGCAACTGATCTACATTTCCCATCACACACTCAGAGATGACAAGCCAAACTTGAAGTGAACATAGGTAAAGGTAGCTTAAATTCTCCTGCTGTAGAGCAGTATGTTTAAGGGAGATGGTGTGGAAGAACTGAGGTGAGACAGACAGCAGATCTGGACCTACCTTGAAGTTCCACAAGGGAGATGGTGTTGAAGTACTGAGGTGAGACAGACAGCACATCTGGACCTACCTTGAAGTTCCACAAGGGAGATGGTGTGGAAGTACTGAGGTGAGACAGATAGCAGATCTGGACCTACCTTGAAGTTCCACAAGGGAGATGGTGTTGAAGTACTGAGGTGAGACAGACAGCAGATCTGGACCTACCTTGAAGTTCCACAAGGGAGGTGGTGTGGAAGTACTGAGGTGAGACAGATAGCAGATCTGGACCTACCTTGAAGTTCCACAAGAGGAGATGGTGTGGAAGTACTGAGGTGAGACAGACAGCAGATCTGGACCTACCTTGAAGTTCCACAAGGAGATGGTGTGGAAGTACTGAGGTGAGACAGACAGCAGATCTGGACCTACCTTGAAGTTCCACAAGGGAGATGGTGTGGAAGTACTGAGGTGAGACAGACAGCAGATCTGGACCTCCACCTTGAAGTTCCACAAGGGAGGTGGTGTGGAAGTACTGAGGTGAGACAGATAGCAGATCTGGACCTACCTTGAAGTTCCACAAGGGAGGTGGTGTGGAAGTACTGAGGTGAGACAGATAGCAGATCTGGACCTACCTTGAAGTTCCACAAGGGAGGTGGTGTGGAAGTACTGAGGTGAGACAGATAGCAGATCTGGACCTACCTTGAAGTTCCACAAGGGAGATGGTGTGGAAGTACTGAGGTGAGACAGATAGCAGATCTGGACCTACCTTGAAGTTCCACAAGGGAGATGGTGTGGAAGTACTGAGGTGAGACAGACAGCAGATCTGGACCTACCTTGAAGTTCCACAAGGGAGATGGTGTGCAAGTGAGGTGAGACAGAGCAGATCTGGACCTACCTTGAAGTTCCACAAGGGAGGTGGTGTGCAAGTACTGAGGTGAGACAGCAGCAGATCTGGACCTACCTTGAAGTTCCACAAAGGGAGGTGGTGTGGAAGTACTGAGGTGAGACAGATAGCAGATCTGGACCTACCTTGAAGTTCCACAAGGGAGATGGTGTGGAAGTACTGAGGTGAGACAGACAGCAGATCTGGACCTACCTTGAAGTTCCACAAGGGAGATGGTGTGGAAGTACTGAGGTGAGACAGACAGCAGATCTGGACCTACCTTGAAGTTCCACAAGGAGAGATGGTGTGGAAGTACTTGAGGCACTGCAGGAATGGTGCCCGCAGTTCTGTGGCTCGTCTGATGGTGGATGCCGCAAACATGTGGGGATCTTTCAGCACCTGTACAGAGGTAACAGTGTGCTTTACCACATGGTAGACCAGAGCATAAAACACACATATTGCATGGACATGAGACATAAGTTTGTAAATATTGTTGATTGTCGGACAACTTGTCATGCCTCAATCTCCGAATCATGATGTATAATTAAATGTAGCATAAAAGTGTCTCAGAGAAGAGCAAACTTTGGAAAAACCATGAAGTATAAAAAGGGTCACAGTTATTCACTCCTAACTTGCACACATGTAAGCTGGTGGGTGTATCATTTCCTCCCCTCTAAACTTTTCATGTGGACAGTTAGATGTAGGTTATGTCCTGCCAGCAGCACACAACACAGTACATGAGCAGTGAATACATAGGATTTATCACCAGTATATGCATGTGGCCCCCATCTGACACAACATAACACTCTCCTCACCAGCTTCAGACAGTCCGGGCAGGGCAACAGGTAGTCGTAGGTTACGCCCTTGAAGGACTCCATTATGAGAGTTTCAAACACCTCATGGACAAGGAACACGATGTTCTCGGGACGTGGACCCTGGGCTCGTACTATCAGCTCAGACTCCCTACAACACATAAGAAATTAATAACAACATGTGTCAGAGATCAATTTGACAAAAATTGATTAAGGGACCATTCATTATTTATGGCTAGGGGAAGTGATAATTATTTTTATGGAGAAGCATGTATAAAGTGAATGACACCCTCCTCCCCTAAAATTTATGTTCAAAGTAAGTGGACCCCCCAACCCCCTGCATGTCATGTAAAAAATCAATGCCAGTACATGTGTACAAAATTGATGACACCCCCTACCTCCCTAGCTGGTCTGCTGTATGAGAAATATATGCGGGAAGAATGCATTATACCGGATACCTAGCAGGGTTAGAGTTAGGGTTAGGGTAAGGTTAGGTTAGGGGTTAGGGGTTAGGGTTTAGGGTTTAGGGTTAGGGTTATTTTCATCTCAGTTATATTATTGTTTCACCTTTCCGCTCGCATCACATGACCTAATTAAATATGGCAGGCAGGTATCTGGTATAATGCATGTGTACCATATATGCTTGTATCCATTCATACCTGGTCTGCTGTATAAGACATATATGCTTGTTCTTCCGGAGGAATGAACCTCTCTTCCATATCATGGCACTGTCACTGAACTGGTGTAGCCGCACCTGGGAAACAAGAGGTTTCACATGGTTTCATGTGGTTTCACATCACACTCCAGACAATGCAGCGATTGATATTGTTAACAAAATACCATACTAGTGGGTCATGTGTAATTGATCAAGTAGACAGGCAAGGGAGCTGTTTAACCTGGTATCCCCATGGGTTGCTAAGAAGATGTTTTACCAGGTATCCCAATGGGTTGGTAGGGAGCTGTTTTACCAGGCATCCTCATGGCGAACAAGAGTGAGTGATCATGTCAGTATGATAAAGTCAACAAGTCAGCTTAATACAGTAAGAGACGTTTTTGGGTTGTAAGTTGACAGAAAGTAGATGTTATAGACATAGTGACATCTCAATGGATGAATGACATTCTCCAGACCTGTCCCCTGTTGAAGAGTCCGGCAGGCAGGTAGTCAAACTTGTATACCATCTTGGTTTCACGACTGGTTCCATTCTTCTGTACCTCTGGCCAGCTGAACTGTCAGCCCAAAACAAAGGAACTCAATCAGCATCATATAACTGAACAAGAGTCACTAGCAGACGACAGTTGAGTGCAACACTATATGAAGTCCCTTTGACAGGAACTGTGAGATATATTTTGGAAGAAAACAACTCTGCTCCAGAAACAAACGCTAATCCAGACTGAATCTTATCCCACTTTGTTAACATAAGAAAAGATATATATGAAACATTACTATATGCCAAAAAATACAAGTTCACTGTATTGTGTTTGATAACAAAGTAGAACAAGAAGACAAAGTGATCAATATCCCCTGCAACGGCAAAATACTCTTTATGAATATATCTACTAGTTATGATTATGTCAATGTTTTGGAGTGTATACAGCAAAGTGGAAGGAGAGTATTGAAAGGTATTTAAGATATGCTCCAGAAAGGAGCACTACCACCAAATTCAGTTAAAGCCTAACTTGTTGCCATGGAAATGCAACAAGATGACATCCTCATAGTCACAGCCTAAGTCATGTTTCCATGGAAACAGCAAAAAATATAATTCATATCTGGGTCTAACCCACAAAAATGAACATCTAGGGATGGATCATGCTTGATATGTGTACCAAGTTTGATGAACCTAGCATGTATAGTTTGGAAGATCTGCTCCGGACAAGATGACATCCTCATAGCCCCAGCCTAAGTCATGTTTCCATGAAAACAGCAAGAAATGAAATTCATATCTGGGTCTAACCCCCAAAAGGCACATCTATGGATCATGCTTGATATGTGTAAAAAGTTTGATGAACCTAGCATGTATAATTTGGGAGATCTGCTCTGGACAAGATGACATCCTCATAGTCACAGCCTAAGTCATGTTTCCATGGAACCGAAAAAAATAAAATTCACATCTAGGTCTAATCCCCAAAAGGCTAATCTAGGCATCATGGTTGACATGTGTACCAAGTTTGGTAAAGCAATCAAGTGTGATGGAAGACAAAGTGTGATGGAAGCACGGACGCACGCACGGATAGACCGAACTCGTTTCTAACATTTAAAATTAATTAGTTGAAAGAAAGGTGAGAGGTCATTTTTTCAGCATTTGTTAACATGATGAGTATCATACTAAGGTAGGAATGACAATGAAGAACAAGAGTATTGTATCTCTTTGAGACGATTTCAGAAGTTGTAAACAATGAGCATCTTATCAAGGTTTGAATGACAATGAAGAAGACTGAGGATTGTACTAAGGTAGGAATGACAATGAGTGAGTGAGTGAGTGAGTTTAGTTTTACTCCACACTCAGCAATATTCCAGCTATATGGCAGCGGTCTGTAAATAATCGAGTCTGGACCAGACAATCCAGTGATCAACAGCATGAGCATCGATCTGCGCAATTGGGAACCGATGACATGTGTCAACCAAGTCAGCAAGCCTGACCACCCAGCATGACAATGATGAACAATGAACATCTTATTAAGGTAGGAAAGACAATGAAGAACCATGACTATTGTACTACAGTATGAATGACAATGTAGAACAACAAGCATCTTATTAAGGTATGCATGACAATGAAGAACAATGGGTATTGTACCTCAGGCTCCCTCTCTGGCAACAAGCAGGGCACGAGGTTGACCTCTTCTGATGCCAGCTGGAACGTCAGGTCAAACTCCTCTGTCAGTCGCAACATCCAACTGTGGAGGGCTTCTGGGTAATCTCGCCATACATTCTGAATCTCATCATGTCTCAAGCGACCATCCTGAAGAAGAGAAACCAGTGTTACGACTGTCTCCAGTCTGGTGTTCAGACAGTCCAATTACCAGTAGTAAATCTGAGTTAAACTCAGAAGTCATCTTGCACAGATGAATTCAAGTGGACTTCAAACAAGATCATCAGAATTTGACTTTCCTTGAGACAATCCTTGACACATTGCAAAAAGATAAGCATTTCTAACTCAAAAGATGGAAAAAACCCAGAACTGCTGAAACAATTTTCTGATGTGGACATTTAAGTGTGTGAAGCATTAAGCTGGCATGTGCTTGTGATCATGTAACAGGGTTTTCTAACCATGCATTCTTTTCATGAATCTTCTGCCAATCTGAAGCAGTGCAGCCAGGAATTAGATAGACTTGTGATCATCTTATCTGATCAAAACAATACAGAGACATACAGTCATCTCTAACTTCCCCTTTGATGGCTACTGTGACAATACCTTGATATGGGAGTCCTTGACAGACACGACACAGGCCATAACATCAACGATCCACTGAGGGTTGACCACTACGTAGGACTTGAGGTAATCGTTGGTGAAGTACTGGAGGGATCCTAGCTCATGCAGGAACTGAACAGCCTGGGACACCTGAATGAGGACAACATTTCATCAACTTCCTGCAGACAGTCAACATAATAATCTACAGCTTCTTTAGGCCACCTCCTTCAAATTCAAGGTCATGCCGTGTGATGAGTGAACATTTCAACTACCATGCTGCGCCACTATCCAAATCTCCAAGGAGCCTTGAAAGCTCTTGCAGGCTATGTAATATGAATGGTTTGACAAGGCAGAGGAGAAAAAAGCCAAATAAATTACCAGGCCATGAATAATATTCCCAGGAGTATATATGGGCAGGCAGCTATTGGCTGCTTCACCAAAGGGATTAACTAGTTGAGGGATGTATACAGACTGTGATGCAGCAGGCACCAATGGACATCTGCGCTGTGTCACTGACCTCTGACTGGGAGAAGATTCCAGAGACATGGGCCTTCTTCTCCAGGTCCTTGTACTCTATCACACTGCTGTCCTTCAGGCTGGAACACGTAGCAGATGAGTGGCAATGAACAGTCTTAATTTCCAAATCAATTGTATTATACAGCTATTATGCAGATATGAATGTATGTTAGCAAGACACTTATCATGTTTAAGATCACCCCTGTCTGTCCAAGAACATTAACTCTGTATTTACCTCTTGATCTGTTCCTCAAAGCTGAGCCACACCCCCGGTATCTTCTCCCCCATGTACTGCTGCTGGAGGGTAACATCCAGCACATGGTCCTGAAGTTCTTTTACACCCTGGGGGATATGAAACATATCTCACTGCCTGGGATATACAAATGACTGAAAGACTTGTATGCTAACCGCTACATATGGTTTAGAAGGTGAAGGTGTAAAGGTTTATAGTTCGATTGGGTTCAAATGATTAAATATCTCGAAATAGGGATAAGTGCACAAAACACAAATAAGATACATGGTCCTGAAACCTCTGTACCCAACAGGATCTGAAATCTGATGTTTTATGAATGATCATGGAAAAAGTTGTTTAAGAAACCATCATGTAATATTACGCTATTTTCATGATTCCCAGCGAGGGGTGACAAGCGGATGGTGGATCATAAAATGTCAGATTTCGGATCCTGTTGGGTACAGAGGTTTTAAGACCATGTGTCTTCTTTAAGTTTTGTGCACTTATCCCTATTTCAAGTTATTTAATCATTCAACATTCTTATTTGAACCCAAACGGACTATAGATCCATTGAGAGAATTAAATACCACCTTTTATCATCTGTTGGTATGATATCAAACCATCTGCTCTCCAGGCAGATGCTCAATTCCCTGGACTATAGTCCAAGAATCAGGTAGATACATTATATTTAGTTTATATGACCATATAGCTACCTGTCCTGAGTGGGAGGATACAAAGTGGAAGCCTGCAATGCGAGGATATCGTGCCTGCATCTCCTTCACTGGAATCTCCACCTTTGACACCTGCAACACCGGACAAGCTCATGTCATAATGGTTATCAACCAGCTGGTCAAATATGGCGGTAGGACTGCCCATCCAACCTACCTGTTCAACTGCTGCTGTGGGCTAGAACTGCCCATCCAACCTACCTGTTCAACTGCTGCTGTGGGCTAGAACTGTTCATCAAGCCTACACTGTCAAATGCTGCTGTGGGCTGGGGGTGTCCATCAAACCTACCTGGTCAACATGAGTACCCACAACAAAGATGGGAGCCTTGGGAGCATGTACAGAGATGGAGTTGAGCCAGAAGTCCAGTCCTGCATGTTCATGTCCCAGTCTAATGTTCCACAGTAGCATGTAGATGGATCGGTCTGACAGGAAGAACTGGAATCAAAACAATCGTCTGAAAACCATTTTCAATGCATCTTGCATCAACATGTTTAAAGTTCCTTCCTGATTGTGTTATTTACTGTTTTTATATCTTGACGATGTGTTCAGAATCTTGACCTAGAACTTAAGTGATCATCTCCATCCTAGGCAACTAATGCCTTCCCTTGTGTGATACCTTTGATTCATGAAAGTCCCATTCGTTTGATGTTTGCTTTTGGTATTTCTTTGAAAAAGATTTTTATGATCCCCAATCCATTTCCAAGTCCCATGATGGGGTTTGAAACCAAGGCCCTTCAGACTGAAGGTCAAATACATTGTCCAGATGACTTCAGAGATTTACCCTGGAAGCTGACATGGTAAGGACATCTGTGGGACATATGACTCCCTGTCCCACTATATACCCAATGGTAGCCCCCTATTTTCTAACACTAATGCACTAATGTTAGCAAGGTCAGACATGTCAGCAAAATATCACTTCTGTACTTTGCATATGACAAACCAGGTACAATGTAAGGGTAAGTACTGGAGTGCTGGACGTGCCTACCTGATGTGTGTTGTAGTACACAGTCTGGCCAGCGAAGTCCCACACGCTGTACGTCACCTGACCATCGTCCGTCGCCACTGTCCATGGACAGATGTCAATACCTGGCAACAAACAAACATACATACATACAAACATGCATGCACGCACACACCCACGATGATGCCGCTCACGCAAGACCTTACGCGCACACACTTACATAACAATATTCTAAAACACTCTTTGAAAAGTAAGAGAAAGTGAATATGGTATTATGCCTCTTCTATAGATATTCCAGAAATATCACGGTGGGCAAAAGCAGAAATGGGTTTCAGACATTGTAATCATTTGGAGAATTGAACCCAGGACTTTTGTAGGACGAGTGAACATTTTAACCACTTCAAAAGAAGTAATGAAAACTCTTGTAAAGGAGTAAGTATTTGGAGTTTACATGTCACAGTAGCTGTTTCTATGCATCAGAGGGCAGTGCTCTAGTCATCCAGGGTGCAACATTTGCATCAGCTAGGCTTATGAATCTCTGATTCACCTTGATTGTTGGTTTGTAACCCATGCTTGTCGTAAGAGGTGACTAACGGGATCAGATGGTCAGGCTCACTGACTTAGTTGACACATGTCATCGGTTCCCAATTGCGCAGATCAAAGTTCATGCTGTTGATCACTGGATTGTCTGTCCAGACTCGATTATTTACAGACCGCCGCCATACAGCTGGAATATTGCTGAGTGCGGCGTAAAACTAAACTCACTCACTCACTCACTTGGTTTGTAAGCACAATACGGTTGTTCAATTGTGTCGTTCTCCAAGATGGTAAATGTCTCAGAGCATCATGTTTTCCTGCCACACTCAGTTGAGACACAGTGACAATCACTAAAATACTGATCAATTAAGCCAACTCAATTCACTCACGCAGCCGTGCCAAATGGCTGTTAACAACTCTTTATAACGCAGACAGCTTTCGAGAATTAACATATCTTACCATCTGTGATATCCTCTCCAACACTCAGCTTCGTCTTGTGGCTGCCACTCAGTAATGCCTTCACCAAACTGCGGCACAAACAAAAGTCCATTACTATACAGCAGTAAGAGAGATGTTCTATCTCCATATCGGCATGACATTACAGGAGTATCAGTACATCACATCCTCAGACTGGACTGGGCAGCCAGTGGAAGGCAATGACCACACCTGCACACCTGGAATCACCACAGCTACACACCTGGAATGACCACACCTGCAGGTTCTTTTCTGGCAGATCATAGAGACCTTTGGGTGACACTACTTCCCTCCAGTTTAGGTACTTGGGGAAGCTGTCCAGTTCCACACCAGTATATTGTTTGAGATGTCGCCTGCTTGTGTTATATCCTTATTTCAAAATTTGTTTCTGTATTTTTCATTTTTCACAGGTATAAAGGTAAATTCTAGCATACAAACAATGTAAGTCTGCTACTTCTGTAAACACAAAATAACATTTTGTCAAGTTTAGAATGAACCTTCAGTAACCCATGCTTGTCGTAAGAGGCGACTAACGGAATCGGGTGGTCAGGTTCGCTGGCTTGGTTGACACATGTCATCGGTTCCCAATTGCGCAGATCGATGCTCATGCTGTTGATCACTGGATTGTCGGGTCCAGACTCGAATATTTACAGACCCCATCATATAGCTGGAATATTGCTGAGTGCGGCATAAAACTCACTCGCTCACTCAACAGACAGCTCATTTGATCATTAACATAAAACAGTAGACAATGACACAAAATCAGTAAAATGGTGCAAACCCCAAACAAACCAAACAGTTATCAGCAGACACACTAGTCTGCTAACTGGAAATGTAAAGCTGAAAATCAATGACTCAGGCACACACTCAAGATGTCCTGACAAGGATGGGTTACCCAGACCTCCTCAGATCCACAATCAACACAGAAGTTGACATTCAATGACTCAGGCACACACTCAAGATGTCCTTACAAGGATGGGTTACCCAGACCTCCTCAGATCCACAATCAACACAGAAGTTGACATTCAATGACTCAGGCACACACTCAAGATGTCCTTACAAGGATGGGTTACCCAGACCTCCTCAGATCCACAATCAACACAGAAGTTGACATTCAATGACTCAGGCACACACTCAAGATGTCCTTACAAGGATGGGTTACCCAGACCTCCTCAGATCCACAATCAACACAGAAGTTGACATTCAATGACTCAGGCACACACTCAAGATGTCCTTACAAGGATGGGTTACCCAGACCTCCTCAGATCCACAATCAACACAGAAGTTGACATTCAATGACTCAGGCACACACTCAAGATGTCCTTACAAGGATGGGTTACCCAGACCTCCTCAGCCCCACAATCAACACAGAAGTTGACATTCAATGACTCAGGCACACATTCAAGATGTCCTTACAAGGATGGGTTACCCAGACCTCCTCAGCCCCACAATCCACACAGAAGTTGACATTCAATGACTCAGGTGCACATTCAAGATGTCCTTACAAGGATGGGTTACCCAGACCTCCTCAGATCCACAATCCACACAGAAGTTGACATTCAATGACTCAGGCACACATTCAAGATGTCCTTACAAGGATGGGTTACCCAGACCTCCTCAGATCCACAATCCACACAGAAGTTGACATTCAATGACTCAGGCACACACTCAAGATGTCCTTACAAGGATGGGTTACCCAGACCTCCTCAGCCCCAAAATCCACACAGAAGTTGACATTCAATGACTCAGGCACACATTCAAGATGTCCTGACAAGGATGGGTTACCCAGACCTCCTCAGATCCACAATCCACACAGAAGTTGACATTCAATGACTCAGGCATACATTCAAGATGTCCTTACAAGGATGGGTTACCCAGACCTCCTCAGCCCCACAATCCACACAGAAGTTGACATTCAATGACTCAGGCATACATTCAAGATGTCCTTACAAGGATGGGTTACCCAGACCTCCTCAGATCCACAATCAACACAGAAGTTGACATTCAATGACTCAAGCACACATTCAAGATGTCCTTACAAGGATGGGTTACCCAGACCTCCTCAGATCCACAATCAACACAGAAGTTGACATTCAATGACTCAGGCACACATTCAAGATGTCCTTACAAGGATGGGTTACCCAGACCTCCTCAGCCCCACAATCCACACAGAAGTTGACATCCAATGACTCAGGCACACATTCAAGATGTCCTTACAAGGATGGGTTACCCAGACCTCCTCAGCCCCACAATCCACACAGAAGTTGACATTCAATGACTCAGGCACACGTTCAAGATGTCCTTACAAGGATGGGTTACCCAGACCTCCTCAGCCCCACAATCCACACAGAAGTTGACATTCAATGACTCAGGCACACATTCAAGCTGCAGTTTGACCCCAGTAACATAAATCTTCATCATGGACGTACCTGGTTTTGCCTGCACCTCCCAGCCCTACCATCATGAGTTTGGTTCTCCGACATTCTACAGACCCACTCAGCAGACGGCGCAGGTAGGCACATGTGGCAGAAAATCCCTTAGCTCTTATCTCTTTAGGAGGGGTCTTCAGCATTGGGCATTCGTCAAGTTCCAGTCCTGAATATACATGATATCATTATAGAAGACTGTTGTTGCAGTTATTGATAAGTTCAAATTTTGGTCTGTAGCTCACCTTAATGTTTCTGGAATATCATATCAGAAATGTCATAAAATGGTGGAAGAAGAAGAACCAGACTGTAGACTAAAATACATTATGCATTTACAGTCTGTTTGGGTCAAAATGATAATAATATTAAATAATAATAATGGATATTTTTAGCTCGCCATTTTCCACCAACTGATACATGCTCAAGGCGCTACATAAAAGCATACATACAATGCATACAGAGGATAAAATAGAAAAATAAGTATACATTGAAATTGATGACAGAAAGATTGATTTTAGGGATAGGCTTTGGAAAAAAAGTAAGTTTCATGATCAAACATTCATTTCAATGCAGAATGTATTCAAAACATCAGACCAACAATAATCAGCAGGAATGACACAATCATCAAGGTCCCTGATCTAACTTCTTAGTGCTCATTATGTGTGGCTCCGTAGGCAAATGGGGGGTATTACAAGCATATTCTTCAGTAGGCAAACGGGGGTATTACAAGCATATTCTTCAGTATGCAAACGGGGGGTATTACAAGCATATTCTTCAGTAGGCAAATGGGGGTATTACAAGCATATTCTTCAGTAGGCAAACGGGGTATTACAAGCATATTCTTCAGTAGGCAAACGGGGGGTATTACAAGCATATTCTTCAGTAGGCAAATGGGGGTATTACAAGCATATTCTTCAGTAGGCAAACGGGGGTATTACAAGCATATTCTTCAGTAGGCAAACGGGGGGTATTACAAGCATATTCTTCAGTAGGCAAACGGGGGGGTATTACAAGCATATTCTTCAGTAGGCAAACGGGGGGGTATTACAAGCATATTCTTCAGTAGGCAAACGGGGGGTATTACAAGCATATTCTTCAGTAGAATGCCTACAGCAGATAACACATGAGTATATACATGATTACTTGGAATAACTTTAATGTGAGGCTACAGAGAACCTGAAGCTATGACTACACTGTACTGACGTTTGAGGGGCAGGCTGCCTGTCTGTGCGGGGATGGACAGGAGGTAAGGGTTGTGGCTCAGGTTCAGGACTTTCAGGTTCTTGAGACGGCCGATGTCCTCTGGGACGGACACGATGCCCTGGTACTGCAGACTCAGATACTCCAGCTTCTCCAGGCTCAGCAGCTCCTGTGGGAAGCCACACGGCGTGTCCTCATCTACAGTAGCAGGAGATATATCAGGACATGTCACCAGCTCATGTACTGTCATATGTTATCACCATATCATATGTTATTCCCATGTCATGTGTTATCACCATGTCATATGTTATCACCATGCCATGTGTTATCACCATGTCATGTGTTATCCCATGTCATGTGTTTCCATCCAGTCAAATGTTATCACCATGTCATGTGTTATCACCATGTCATGTGTTTCCATCCAGTCATATGTTATCACCATGTCATGTGTTTCCATCCAGTCATATGTTATCGCCACGTAATGCGTTATTACCATATCATGTGTTATCACCATGTCATATGTTATAACCATGTCATGTGTTTCCATCCAATCATATGTAATCAAAGTGTAATGTGTTATCACCATGTCCTATATTATCACCACGTCATGAGTTATCACCATGTCATCACCATGTCATGTGTTATCACCATGCCATGTGTTTCCATCCAATCATATGTTATCAAAATGCAATGTGTTATCACCATGTCATATATCTTCACCATATCATATGTCATTACCATGTCATGTGTTTCCATGCAATCATATGTTATCAAAATGTAATGTGTTATCACCATGTCCTATATTATCACCACGTCATGAGTTATCACCATGTCATGAGTTATCACCATATTCTATATTATCACCATGTCATATGTTAGCACCATGTCATGTGTTACCACCATGTCATGTGTTACCACCATGTCATATGTTATCACGATGTCATGTGTTTCCCTCCAGTCCTATATTATCAGCACGTCATGTGTTACCACCATGTGTGTTACCACCATGTCATGTGTTACCACCATGTCATATGTTATCATCATGTCATGTGTTATCCCCATGTCATGTGTTTCAATCTAGTCATGTGATATCAGAAAGTCATGGGCTACCCTGTATCACAGAGAAACCTTTCAGACAACTGACCTGGAGGCTCGCTGCCCATGTAACCAAATCTGGGGAAGGTGTAGAAGATGGTTGCATTGAGCTTCCCGATCTCCGCTGGCTCCAGCGTACCATTGGTGTTCTCATCAAAGTACTGGAAGATTGCTGTCCGGTCCTGTCGTCAGACACAAACACAGAAGGGTGTAATCTCCAGCAGGGTTGGGAGTTGACACAGACACAGAGTTACACATAAACACCACAAAGATGATGTTTGGGTAGGGGATCATAAAGTCACATTTTCACAGTTGGATCATTGAAAAGGTGATCGAGTATCACGGTCGGCAGTAGTGTAGTTGTTTCATGGACTATTGTTAACTGTGCATGCATCACTCACAAACCAGAGACAAATGGGTTCTTCACAACCTAATCAGATTCTAATATTTGGTCTGAAGTCTCTGGAAAATGTTATTTTAAGAACATATTGATATAGTTATGTAAATGATGGCTCAGTTTAGGTGACTTTTACAGAAAACTGAATAAATAAAGAGGAAGAAGAGTTCATGCTTAATGTTACAATACTGCAGACAATGCAAATCATCATGGAATATTTGCTTACAGACAAGAAAAAGGAAATGTACAAAAGTTTTGATTCAAAATTTTCTCAATTTGGACACATTTACATGGAGTCTCAAACACTGCTGTAAACATAGCCTGTACCTTGTGTGAAAGGTGATGTCTTACTTATAGATTGTTAAAACTGGAAAAGTTTTGGTGATAAATATCAGTGAAAGAATAAACCAATAATTTGTGAATTAGATAAATTGGGAACATTGATCCATGCCCACACAGAAAACCGTGACATAATCCAACTTTGTGCTTGACAGTAGATCTGTTTGACACTACTTCTTGTGCATCAGCTCATGGAGACAACTGACAGTGAAGAGAAAAATCTACAGATATTTATACTGTGAAAACTGCCATAACAGCAACTATGACTACGGGGTAATAGAGACTAGGTTTTCAAAGGAATTATCAAATTTCCCAAATTTGCTTGCCCACAGCTCTAACTTTGAAAGATAGATGTATCCCTGCATATATTAATACGAAACTGTTTCTCTTTCAGTCTGATTGTCCTGTGGATTCACAGGTCAATATCAAAATCCTATTCTTGGCACAACATTGAACACAAACATACTTGAACACAAATGTGTTCTATCTGGCATTGAACAAAATGTTTAATGATCATTTAGTAGGAGAGGTTTCATAATGATTTGAAGATCACAAGAAGGCTGACAGCAGACACAGTGAAGGATATATAACAGACCTGTTCATTCTTGTCCAGGAAGTGCTGGAGATTGGCTGCCCTGAGGGTATTCTCAAAGTTTCTCTTGGAAAGAATCGTGTTGGCTTTGATCTTGACCCAGCTCACACCATTCAGTGAGAGCTGCTTCAAGTTAGTGAGTTTGGTGAAGCTGGGAGGAAGTTCTGATATGGCATTCTCATTCAGATAGAACTTCTCCAGAAGTGTCAGGTTCCCTATTTCGTCTGGTAGCGAAGTCAGCTGCATAGTCCGTATATACAAACAGACAAGCTTCGTCAACTTGCAGATGCATGCTGGGACTTCCTTCAGAAGGTTGTTGCTGATGTCCAACCTGTTCAACTCTGTCATGTTAGCGATGCTTTCAGGAATATCACAGATTTGATTACGGTGCATTGAAAGATTCAACATCTTTGTACACAGACCGATTTCCTCAGGAATTTCTTGAATCTGATTGGTGGAAATATCCAAGTCATGAAGGTTTGGGAGCTGCTGGAAGAGCTGTTTAGGAATGGTGGAAAGGTTGTTGCCCTGTAGGTGGAGGGACAGCAGGTAAGCGGAGTAGTCACTGAGCTTCATGAGCGGGACCTCACTGAGTTCTTTATTGGCTTGCCATGCATTGTAGTGAGACTTACACAGATAAATCTCATCCTCCCCAAACAGGGTGATCATCCTCTCAAGGCCAGCCTTGTCAAAGTTCTCAAGAACAGGGTAGCGGACTGACTGTAACAATCAAAGAATAAGATTTATACTGGAGAAAAGCCTACAGAGTCACAGGTTACTGAGGTTTTCCACTTCAGTTAAACCAACAATTTGAAGATCACCTAATTGCTGCAACACTACACACCAAATAAAGGCAGACCATTGAGCCACTACCCTAGCCTCCATGATACAGTTTTCCCAGAAATTATTGAGGAAATCTTTGTTTCCTAATATGGAAAATAGCATTTTAAGGTAGGTGTTACATTATGTAGTAAGTTACTCAGTATGGGAGGCAACTCTTGTAGGTTTCAGAATGAACCTTACTACATCATAAGTTATCTCCCCTGGAACCTGACGGCTTCCTTTGTTGACATGGCAGATTTGACAGCAGAAGAGAAAAGAAAGCTGGTTCTAGATGAATTTGAAAGGGTTGTGACTAATGCAAAATAGTTAGCTGGTAGACATGACATTCCTCTGTCTACAGTGTACAGAACTTTGAAGAATATTAGCAGAGTTGTGATGATATATCATAGTATCGATAATCGTGATACTTTTTCTGACAATAAATATATCGATACTTTATTCCGTATAGTGATATATATCGTTGACCTTAAAATTGTAATATTCACCAGAAATTGACGGTTATGTCAAAATTTACACTGTTTCTTGTTATCAAAATACACTTTTTTTAAAGAAAATAACTAAAGATAGCATATCGTGATATGCATCGTATCGAATCGTTCCATGATATCGCGATACGTATCGTATCGTGAAATTTCTGTATCGTCACACCTGTAATATTCAGTCAGTTGTTGGGGTTGAGCACAAGACGGGGCAGGGAGGCTAAGGAAGTTCAGTACTACGGATCGCCGGCAACTTGGTCAGATTGTGAGTAGGGGAAAATTGAAAAGCGTTGAGAATATCAGAAATGAGATGATAAATAGAGGAAGTCCTCAGGTATGTAATGAAACTCTTAGACAAAAATTAGAAAGACTTAACTGGGTGAAAAAACACGGAATTCCCTCACCATTGATGAAAGATGCACAAGAAGAAACACGTTTAAGCTAGTGTAGGTCTCACGGAAATCAAGATTGGGACATGTTCTGATGATAGTTCTGTCTGGCTTTTTCCAAACTTTGTGAAAATTTGGACAAAAGATACCGTGAAATCTATCTACCAACACCCAAAACAGCCCGAAATTTCACATGTGGTGTGGGATATTTGTGTATTTTCACTGGAAATTTGATGAAGGAACAATATGTTGACATCTTAAATGATCACCTCCTTCCAAAGGCCTGAACACTGTATGAAAATAATTGGATTTTCCAGCATGATAACAACCCAAAACACAGTGCGGGCTGCACAAGACAGTGGCTGTTGGATGAAAATGTTCAAGTGTTAGACTGGCCAATCTACAGCCCAGATCTTACCCTATTGAGAATACATGGGGACTAATGGAGGACAGAATAAATAAAAAAGGAGTTATTGAGGAAATATTGAGGATATGAAGAAAGAAGTGGTTGAATATTGTGATATGCTGTCACATGATTCCTACAAATGTTGATCGGTAGTGTACCTAGGTGCATTCAGGCGGGTATTGCAGGGCAAGGAGGTCTCACAAAGTACTGAAAAGACACTTAGATTGTAAGTGAATCATATCTCGACATATTCATTTAAGTAAAACTTTTATAGTTTACATATATGTATTAGATATTTGCCGAAACAACTTTCTTGATAATTTCTGGGAATACTATATTATTCTCTGTTATTCAACACCACATGCAAGATATGTATTGGTGTTCAGCAACTCGCGTTTGTCGTGAGAGGCAACTAACAGGATTTGATGGTCAAGCTCATTGACTTGGTTGACACATGTCATCATATCCCAAGTGCGTAGACTGATAATCATGATGTTGAGCACTGGATTGTCCGGTCCAGACTCGATTATTTACAGACTGCCAGCATATAGGTTGAATAGTGTAGGGTGCTGCGTTAAACAACAAACAAACAAACAAACAATATATACCAGGTAAACCAGTAATGGATATTGGAACCAAACAGCCAGCTTGTCAGGGTACCCCGCCACCCCCACCCCCCACCCCATGGCCAGCACTGACTGCTGGGGACCAGTACTTGGAGTTCCTGCAGGGGTGGTGCAGTTTAGTCATATTTCAACTGTCAGGACAGATAAAACTCATGACATGTGCATAATTCTTTGACTTAAAAATTCCTTTTCCTCAAAAGATCTTTCCTTACCCCAACTGCCTGAGTGACAACGTCATCATCCTCAAAGTACTCCAGAGAGAAGCTGGGATCCAGGGTGAGAAAGAGGCGGTAAGACATCTGGGTGAAGTAGAACTGTAGCAGTGACACCACCTGCAATATCATGTTCAATACTATGTGTATATGATATCTCTCTATGTTCAATACTAGGTGTATATGATATCTCTCTATGTTCAATACTATGTGTATATGATATCTCTCTATGTTCAATACTATGTGTATATGATATCTCTCTATGTTCAATACTATGTGTATATGATATCTCTATGTTCAATATTATGTGTATATGATATCTCTATGTTCAATATTATGTGTATATGATATCTCTCTATGTTCAATACTATGTGTATATGATATCTCTATGTTCAATACTATGTGGAAATGATATCTCTCTATGTTCAATACTATATGTATATGATATCTCTATATTCAATACTATGTGTATATGATATTTCTATGTTCAATACTATGTGTATATGATATCTCTTTATGTTCAATACTATGTGTTATATGATATCTCTCTATGTTCAATACTATGTGTATATGGTATCTCTATGTTCAATACTATTTGTATATGATATCTCTGTATGTTCAATACTAGGTCTATATGAGATCTCTATTTTCAATACTAGGTCTATATGATATCTCTATGTTCAATACTACTTGTATATGACATGTTCGATGCTATCTGTATGTCTGTATAAAGCATAGTTCTATGCTTGATGCTATCTGTACACGGCATAGCTCAAAACAAACAGAATAATATCTGACACAAAACAACCTCCATCTAATAACTATAATGTTTCAAAGATTTTATTTAGGACACTCTCTATAGAACACACTGTCTTTCAAAGGTTTTTCATCCAAGGACTGGACATAACAAAAGAATTAAATCAGGAAGCTGTGAAATTCAGAAATCCGATTGCAGTATGGAATTTCGCCTTAGCTCGTTGTATTCAGAGCTGTACTGCTATCATAAGATGTATACAACTTGTATACAACTCATCGTATTTGATACTATCATTCTACGACATATCATTGTGATATTTCTCGTGTCTGCACACAACTGTATCTACACACAACAGACCTTGTCTGTAGAGGGCAGGGTGTCAGGGTTGAGGAACACCTCGGTATAGTCTGGCAGCTGGAACTGAAACAGGAATCCAGAGTCACAAAGAATCCTATTTAGACAGTTAATTTAAACACAAAATAACATCACAAATATAGTATCTTGTTGTGCCAGTTCTAGTTATCAACCATCTAAAATGTTATCATCATAACTATTTTAGAATTAGTGCAACAGTGAAAAAATTAGTTTCATTCAAATGCAAGATGATCTGAGAAGTAGCTTAAGTTCTATGAAGCATATATATGCACATTATGCACATTACCGGTATGTGGAACACGTAAACAAACATGCATTGCGGTAGCATCACAAGGGTAGACAGGCCTGGGCATCAACCAAACCAAGATGGACAGCTCTCATACACTAACAAAGATTTAGCTGAGATCGTTTAGTACAATCACATTGGTTGCATAGCTAACCTGCTTGTTGAGCGCCAGCACGAAGTGCCACGCCCACATGACAGGCACTGTGTTGGTGTTGTTGGGGTCAAGGTCAAAGGGAAACCCCTGGGAGCTGATGAGATGGGAGGCCCAGAAAGGCCTCATAATGTCCGGCAGAGTGTACGTTGGCCGCAGTGTCACCACCGTGGTCATGTCACCTAGGTCAGGAAATACCTTATATTCAACTCTGTATGGGGAATCTGCATCTCAGTAGACATAATTGTATCTGTACCATGAGGCAATCACTTTGATCTTGTGCATCATAAAATATCTTGTAAATAATAAATGAATTTTAATGATTTCTAAAGAGATTCGGAGAATTACACTCATGAAGGCATGTCCTTTGCATGACATCTTCCATTCTATTTTAAATTCAATCTTGAAGCGACTTACTGCCCTAGCAGAAGTCAAAAAGTTTGCAAACTTTCATAAAACGTTTCATTTCTTCATGTTTTTTTAACTTCTAAATGCCTAACAAATATCAAAGTCATGGATAAGATTAAAAGAAATATTTTTATATAAATATATTGGCCAGGACATAGATTCACATGTGTTATTTGCTTTCAAAGTTGAATTTTTTTACTATGAATTGTATATTTATATACTTATCCTATCTCAGGTCTTGTACTCTCTTTCTTCAATTCGACCTGCAGAGTGGAAATGAACTGCAAATAAAATCCTTGGCCTCACTTGTCCATACGTCCATGCACTCCATGCTGCCCCCTTATAAGGATGTCTGGGGTGACTCCTGGGAAGCATGCACCACGAACCACTACCTGCTCACGTGACCATCTCTCCTTAGTCACCTCGTTCTTGGAGCAATGTAAACAATCTGAGAAGTTTGGATGCCGGGCAGGCATCCATCGCGTGAGATAGGATAAGTATATATATTTACAATTTATAGTGACAGCATTGACTTCTAGCTTGTTGATGTGAAGAGCCTGATCGACAAATGACCATTGCCCTGCCACTTGACGATTGATTTGATGGGCACCCCAGCCCCTGAGAGACGCATCGACGATCAGATGATGAGTCGGTTCAAAGGGCGTCAAACAATCTCCTATGCAAATGTTCTGTTCATTGAGCCACCAATGAAGGAAAGGCTGAAGAGACTTGGGAAGACAAATGAGCACTTTGGGGTTGTTGGCTTGAAGGTACGGATGAAGGGACCTTTGAATGGGCCGAAGTTGAAGTTGTCCTCTGTAAGTCAGAGCCTGAACTGAGGTGAGGAGATCTAACAGCTCCTGCCACTGAAATAATGTTCTTTCCTGGGACAACGTTGGTGGAATCCAATGCTGTATTTTGAGCCACCTGTCTTGCAGCACACAAATCATCCCCAGACAGGTGTCAAACACCGTGCTGATGAACTGTAGCCTCAGAGGCTACAGCTTGGTGGTGAACTGAAGGTGATGTAAGAGGACGACCAGATCCTGCTCAGCCTGGAGGCAATCGTTGATGTAGGACTTGAACGGTATCCCCCGACAATGAAGGAAACATACGAAGGGCTTTGTTATCCGAGTAAAAAGCAACGGGGCTGTAGAAATTCCAAATGGAAGGACTTCCCATTGGTAGTGAATTTCCTCGAAGACGAACCGGTTTGCGAAGATGCGAGTGGATCGGAACATGGAGGTAAGCATCCTAAAGGTTGAGGCTGATTAGCTAATCTCCTTTCCTCAGAATGGTCTGAAACAGGCTTATAGACACCATCCTGAAATGAGGTGGTGGTTGCAGGTACTGGGCGTTGAACAGCTTCATACTGAATATGAGACGCAAAGCCTTTCTTGGGACAAGAAATATCGGAGAGTAGAAGCCTGGAGTGACAGGTACCGGGCCGAGAGACTCTATCACACATTTCTCAAGCAACATCAGCTGGTGAGATGGAGCGAAGGTCAGAGGTGGCTATCCGATGACGGGCATCTTGTAACCGTGAGATAACGTTGAGACGTCGTTGAGGATAATCCAACTGGGGGCGAAGAGTCCCAGTCTTCCACCTACAGGCTTATCCAAGATTGGCACGACAGGGGGTGGAAGGTCCCAGTCATGTGAAGAGTTCGGTGAGTCACTGACGTCCAGAGCCTGAGCCGTCACCAGAGTCGGATCTGTAGGGGCGTTTGGAGGAGCTACTACAGCCTTGCTTCCTTCCAGTTGCCTCGAAAAATATCCCTGCGTTTCGGGTTAGAGGAAGTGAACTGTGCTGTGCACCTTTGCTTAATGGTTTCCTGTAACTGTTTTTTTTAGATCCATGGAAACTTGTAACTGCAATCAACCTTCATAGAAACATCGTGAATCTAGCTATTACACAAATAGTCAAAAGACCATGGCTGGCAAAACAGTTCAACTCGAAACCTATCATCCCAGGACGTGTGGCTGAGAGGTCCCCTTCATCTGATAGCAAGCAGGTGTCCCAAAGAAATGAGTAAGCTGGTCCAGAACTGTTTGAAATTGATCCAGCACCAGCGCAATTGATTCATGAATGTAAGCCTGATCATCAGAAGTGGCATGCTGAGACCTCATCAACTGCTGACAGGATACAATTTATAGCTGGGTAGGGTTCGACGAACGTGTTTTTCCAGGTGAGCTAACTCACGATACACAATAAGGAAGGGTGACTGAGTCCGCTTAGCACACAAGATGCCAATACCCTCATCCACTGGCGGTTCAACCACAAGCTTGGTGAATTCATTAAAATGGGTAGAAGACAAGGAAAATCTTGGTGAGCTAAACCCGTCCTGGCTCATTTAAGGCTTCTAAAAGCATCATCCAACGAAGCAGTCATTTTGGAAATGCAGGAACGAGGTGTAAAAGTTATTGAGGCCAAGTTCCAGTTATGAATAGAGTAAGAAGTGGGTAGGTCATTCACAGAAGTACTCTTGGGCAGACGCAACTTATTCACGATCCAGGCTAGAACGTGTGCAGGCTCAACCACATCAAAACTACCCCCCCCGGGTAGAGACGTCATCCGAGTAAACAGGTAAGGGTGGCACAGGTTCAGTGTGACGTATGGGTGACAACGCTGAACGAGTCGGTGCATTCGTCACTCCAGACATCCTTGTAAGGGGGCAGCATGGAGTGCATGGGCATATGGACAGATGAAGCCTAGGCTTTTATTTGCAGTTCGTTTCCACTCAGCAGGTCGAATTGAAGAAAGAGAGTACAAGATTTAAGATAGGATAAGTTTAAAAATTTAACATTAAAGTCAAAGTTGGATCACAACTACATCAAATAGTTGTTTGATTGGCATTCTAGAAGTTGGGGAGTCAAAAATGAAGCATACAACTTTATGGATGACAAGTTCTTATTTATTGCATACAGTGACGTTTTGATGTAGATCCTTACATCGTTATCAAGCTAAAAGTGATAACTTGATAACGATGTAAGGATCTACATCGAAACGTCACTCTATGCAATGAATAAGAAGTTGTTATCCATAAAGTTGTATGTTTCATTTTTTACATCAAATAGCCTTGAAATGATGGTATTACTGGTGACAGAGATATGCTTCTTCTAGATCATTATACTTTGAAACGGGATGGGATTTACTATCGGAGAGAAGAAGGGTGAAAAAATTATCGTTATTTTATAAGATACATACAGGCCTTGCTCCAAGTTTTCTTTATGATTTACTCCCTCCTGTAGTAGGTAGTCGAACAAATTATGAATTAAGAAACTCCAGTAATTACACTCAACCCTGTACAAGACTACGATATTCGACTCTATCCTTTTTTCCATCAACAATTAAACTGTGGAATAACATCCCCTTAGCTATCAGAAACTGTAAATCTGTTGTGTCTTTTAAAACTGCAGTTCATGTGAAACAAAAATGTGCACCCGTATATTTCTCATATTGGAAAAGGAAACTAAATGTTTTGCATACAAGATTAAGATATATGACAAGTACACTTAATTATGATCTATTCAGAATTAATGTTAGAAATGATGCAGTGTGGCCATAATTGTGAAAATGCTTTTCATTATTTTCTTGAATTTCCATTATATATAATTCAAAGAGAACAAATGTTAACCTCTTTAGAAAATATAGTGAATAATAGAGCATGTATTGATATTAATCTCATCTTAAATGGCAATGCAGGTCTCTCGCTTAGCGAAAATCAGAATGTTTTTAAAAGTGTACATATCTACATCCATAACACTAAACGATTTAAATAACTCTGTCTGTACATATCTATACCCTTTGTCTGCCTCTTGTTGAACTTTTTTGTAATATACACTTGTAACTATGTGGAGAGGGCTTATTTAAGTTGGAGAACTTGTGCCCAATCCGTTTCTTAATTGAATAAAATATGTTTCAATCAATCACTGGTGACAGCACTCACCTCGGATATAACACAGTGGGTGCATGTTGGTGGGAGTGGTCAGCAGTTGTGGTGATGGCCAATCAGCTTCCTTCTCACTCACCTGCTGTGGCAGCAGGACATTGGAGCTTCCTGGAAGGGCAGGATGAAAGAATTTCAAGTTGGAAGTGTACAGAAGTGCTTTAGTGTTCACTGTTTATATGTCCTTTAGTGTTCACTGACTATATGTCCTTCAGTGTACACTGACTATATGTCCTTCAGTGTTCACTGTATACTTGCCCTTTAGTGTTCTCTATGCATATGCCCTTCAGAGTTCACTGTTTATATGTCCTTTAGTGTTCACTGTTTATATGCCCTTCAGAGTTCACTGTTTATATGTCCTTCAGAGTTCACTGTTTATATGTCCTTCAGTGTTCAGTTTATATGTCCTTTAGTGTTCACTGTTTATATGCCATTCAGTGTTCACTGTTTATATGTCCTTCAGTGTTCACTGACTATATGTCCTTTAGTGTTCACTGTCTATATGTCCTTTAGTGTTCACTGTCTATATGTCCTTCAGTGTTCACTGTTTATATGTCCTTCAGTGTTCACTGTTTATATGTCCTTCAGTCTTCACTGTCTATATGTCCTTCAGTGTTCACTGTCTATATGTCCTTCAGTGTTCACTGACTATATGTCCTTCAGTGTTCACTGACTATATATCCTTTAGTGTTCACTGTTTATATGCCATTCAGTGTTCACTGTTTATATGTCCTTCAGTGTTCACTGTCTATATGTCCTTTAGTGTTCACTGTTTATATGTCCTTCAGTGTTCACTGTCTATATGTCCTTCAGTGTTGTCTGTTTATATGTCCTTCAGTCTTCACTGTCTATATGTCCTTCAGTGTTCACTGTTTATATGTCCTTTAGTGTTCTCTATATATTGCCCTTTAGTGTTCACTGTTTATATGTCCTTCAGTGTTCACTGTTTATATGTCCTTCAGTGTTCACTGTTTATATGTCCTTCAGTGTTCACTGTCTATATGTCCTTCAGTGTTCACTGTTTATATGTCCCTTAGTGTTCACTTTCTATATGTTTTTTAGTGTTCACTGTTTATATGTCCTTCAGTGTTCACTGTCTATATGTCCTTTAGTGTTCACTGTTTATATGTCCTTTAGTGTTCACTGTTTATATGTCCTTCAGAGTTCACTGTCTATATGTCCTTTAGTGTTCACTGTCTATATGTCCTTCAGTGTTCACTGTCTATATGTCCTTCAGAGTTCACTGTTTATATGCCCTTCAGTGTTCACTGTTTATATGTCCTTCAGTGTTCACTGTTTATACATCCTTCAGTGTTCACTGTTTATATGTCCTTTAGTGTTCTCTATATATTGCCCTTTAGTGTTCTCTATTTATATGCCCTTCAGAGTTCACTGTTTATATGCTCTTCAGAGTGCACTGTTTATATGTCTTTCAGAGTTCACTGTATATTTGCCCCTTAGTGTTCACTATCTATATGCCCTTTAGTGTTCTCTATATATATGCCCTTTAGTGTTTTCTATCTATATGTCCTTTAGTGTTCTCTATCTATATGTCCTTTAGTGTTCTCTATCTATATGACCTTCAGTGTTCTCTATCGATATGTCCTTTAGTGTTCTCTATCTATATGTCCTTTAGTGTTCTCTATCTATATATCCTTCAGTGTTCTCTATCTATATGTCCTTTAGTGTTCTCTATCTATATGTCCTTTAGTGTTCTCTATATATAAATACGTTAGTGTTCTCTATCTATATGTCCTTTAGTGTTCACTGCCTATATGTACTTTAGTGTCCACTGTCTGTATTTCCTTATCTATCACTGGATGTTCAGGTCAATACTCGATTATATACAGACTGCCACCATATAGCTGGAATATTGCTGAAGACAGCCTTAAACAACAAACAAATAAATAAATATAATTCGCACACATGATACAAGCAGGGCCGGCTTCTCACACCGTCATAATGCTCCACCAAGAAATGCCAGTACACATGTAAGTCTTACCAGTAAAGTCAAAGCTCTCATATTGGAAGAGAATCCTCTCCAGCTTGTCTCTCATCTTCATCATCTTACACCACACAACTGCAACAATGTTCAACAGTAATCAACATGTAATGTTACATCACCTCAACTGCAACAATGTTCAACATGTCATCTTAGACCACCCAACTGCAACAATGTTCAACAATAATCAAACATGTCATCTAACACCACACAACTGCAACAATGTTCAACAATAATCAAACATGTCATCTTAGACCACCAACTGCAACAATGTTCAACAATAATAAAACATGTGATCTTAGACAACCATCTGCAACAATGTTCAACAATAATCAAACGTCATCTTACACCACCCAACTGCAACAATGTTCAACAATAATGATAACATGTCATCTTAGACCACCCAACTGCATGAATATTCAACAATAATCAAACATGTCACCTTAGACCACCCAACTGCAACAATGTTCAACAATAATCATAACATGTCATCTTAGACCACCCAACTGCAACAATATTCAACAATAATCAAACATGTCATCTTAGACCACCCAACTGCAACAATGTTCAACAATAATCAAACATGTCATCTTAGACCACCCAACTGCAACAATGTTCAACAATAATCAAAACATGTCATCTTAGACCACCCAACTGCAACAATGTTCAACAATAATCAACATAGCATCTTTTATCAACTCAACTGCAACCATACACAGCAGTGTACAATCATTGCCATTTTCTGCTGTGTAAAGAATGCTGTCTCCATGCATTTTTTAAATTATGCATTATATGGCTAAACACACTGAATGTATTGCAAGAAATGATGAATGAACAAAACTGATTCTTCACATTGGACATTTATTTGGGCTGTTAACCAGTCACCCTACCAGCTTGGAGTGACTGAAGCAGCCAGATGGACTCTAGCAGCTTATCAACAATCTGAGGGAACTGGCTCACTTGTCAATGAAAGTGTTCACAGAATGGTTATATTATCTTGACAACTGAACAATTATCTTGACCACTGAATAGTTCACTTGCCAAACAAACAATTCTCTTGACAACCGAATGGTTCACTTGACAATGAAACAATATCTTAACAACTGAATGATTCACTTGACAATGAAACAATATCTTGACAACCGAATGGTCCACTTGCCAAACAAACAATTCTCTTGACAACTGAATGGTTCACTTGACAATGAAACAATATCTTGACAACCGCATGGTTCACTTGACAATGAAACAATATCTTGACAACTGAATGGTTCACTTGACAATGAAACAATTCTCTTGACAACTGACTGGTTCACTTGACAATGAAACAATTCTCTTGACAACTGAATGGTTCACTTGACAATGAAACAATTCTCTTGACAACTGAATGGTTCACTTGCCAAACAAACAATTCTCTTGACAACTGAATGGTTCATTTGACAATGAAACAATTCTCTTGACAACTGAATGGTTCACTTCACAATCAAACAATTCTCTTGACAACTGAATGGTTCACTGGCCAAACAAACAATTCTCTTGACAACTAAACAATTCTCTTGACAACCGAATGGTTCACTTGCCAAACAAACAATTCTCTTGACAGACAAATGGTTCACTTGAAAATCAAACCGTTTGCTTGATAATTAAATAGTTCACTTGAAAATCAAACCATTGCTTGATAATTAAATAGTTCACTTGTCAATCAAACAATTTGCTTGATAATTAAATAGTTCACGTGACAATCAAACAATTTGTTTGACAATTAAATGTCTCACTGGACAACTGAACGCTCACTTGACAATTGAAAGGCTCACTGGACAATTGAAAGACTCACTTGACAATTGAAAAGGTCACTTGACAATTGAAGGGCTCACTTAACAATTGAAAAACTCACTTGACAATTGAAAGACTCACTTGACAATTGAAAGACTCACTTAACAATTGAAAGACTCACTTAACAATTGAAAGACTCACTTGACAATTGAACGGCTCACTTGACAATTGAATGGCTCACCTGATGGTAGGGGTACTTCAGTGCAGGGTACAATGAGATTGTTTACATTGGGGATGTCGTTTGTGAGAAATGATCGATAGTCCTTCTGCAACTGGGTCTGGAAGAGAAACATGATAAGACATCCATCAATCTACGATAATAATTGTTTATCAGTCTTTTGGAAGGAAACCATCCCAGCAACCATTTGTCCATTTATAAATATAGAACAGTAAAACAAGAGAACAGCAGTCTGAATAATCAATAATACCTTTCACTATAACAATGGAAGATGCCACTAGTCAAGAACATAGGAGATTTATCTCAAAATTGAGAAATATTACTTGTGTGTGATTACCTGTGACCAGATTTGAGCAAATTTTATGATAACTGGCCATTTACCCTGGAATCATTCCAAGAAAACATGGTTTCCAATGCACTCTTGTCATAATGGTAAAACGGAAATAAACTATGCTTTGAAATTGGAAATTCAAACTAAAATAACGGGTTTCATTAATAGGCACTGAATCATTTAAATGTGTTTACATTGAACAGAAATGAATCCATCCAATGCTCAAACAATTCTCCATCCAATCTGAATCTATCCATAATCTATTTGAAACCTATCTATTTCCGATGTATCCATCCATCCATTTGACTTTGAATCCCTCCAGTAACATAGTGTCAAATGTCTTACCAAAAATCTTAACTCACTCACTAACACACTTAGAATCTCACCTCATGAAACAGCCACATTGGAGCCAAACTAGGAGCCTTGTCCGCATCTGGAAAAAACACAAACATTTTATATATCTTCAACCGTGAGACACGAAAACAGAGAGTGTTTTATTTTACCACTGTAACTGTGCACCATCAGACAATGGTAATGGGACTTTCAAACCAGTAACATCAGCAGTAGTGGTAGCATGAACAGAGTGTAGAATAAACAACAGTGTGTGGGCTGTAGGGTATTAGTAGTGAGTGAGTGAGTGAGTTTGGTTTTACGCCGCTTTTAGCAATATTCAAGCAACATCACGGCGGGGGACACTAGAAATGGGCTTCACACAATGTACCCATGTTGGGATTCGAACCCGGGTCCTCGGCGTGACGAGCCAACGCTTTAACCACTAGGCTACCCCACCGCCCCGGTATTAGTAGTGAGTGTTGTGTTGACGCCACACCTATCTCGCCGCTGTGACCTGTGATGTCCTTCCACTGCTGCAGGGATAGAGGCTGAATGCTGTCACTCAGTGGGTTGTAGTATTCCTTCAGGGTACCTGCAACAGAGGGAGCCATATCATCACTACACCATGTATACTGAAAGGCAAAAAAAACGTCGTATGTAGATGGGGTAGTAACTGGTTGAATGGATCACTCTATGGTTATAGGAAACAAGGACACAATGAAAAGATAACAGAAGTTATTTTTGACAAACATTTGTTTATTAAGGCCTTTGGTGTTGTTTGTCACATCCTATTCACCGATGACGTCACTGGAAGGAACCGAAGTCAATATCGGGTGTGACCACCATTTGCATTCACAACTGCAGCACACCTCCTGACCATAGAGTGCACGAGGCGATTCACATAGGCCATAGGAATCCGAGCCCACACCCTCAGGAACGCTCTGCGTAGTTGGTCCGCAGTTGTTGGCCTTGGTCTAATGTCATTGAGGCATCTTTGGATCTCATCCCACAAATGCTCTATTGGGTTGAGATCTGGGCTCAGGGCTGGCCAAGGCATGGTTTCCACATTATGCTGCTGCAGAGTCTGGAGGTATGTGCACGCGCATTGTCCTGCTGGAAAACATGATGCCGATGACGTGCAAAAAACGGCACAACATGGGGTCGTAGGACTTGGTCGATGTACCGTGCAGCTGTCACACCATTCCCTCTTCCTGGACCGAGATTCTGGAAGATAACCGGTCCGATTTTCTGGTTAAGTCCGATTCCACCCCAAACCATAATGCTCTGACCACCCCAAGCGTTTCTCTCCATCACACACTCATCATTGAAGCGTTATCCTCTGCGACGCCAGACCCTAGTCCTCCCATCAGCCACAGATACGCAATAGCGACTTTCATCGGAGAAGATAACAGTTCTCCACTGTCTCTGATGCCAGTGTTGTCGCTGTTTTGCCCAGTGTAGACGTTTGCGGCGGTGACGTTGCGTTAGCACTGGACCCAGGGCAGGACTTCTACAGCACAGGTTGCGGGGTTGAAGGAATCGCCGAACGGTGTGGTCACTGATTGCTCTTTGGTGGGTGCCAATGGTGTTTCGAGCTGTCTCTGTTGCCATGTTGAACCGGTCTTGCAAGTGGTGGACGGACGATCTGTCTGTCCTGGCGGACGGATGGTTACCAGGGTGCGACCACTACGTGGGCGGTCATCTGTGCTGTTGGTGGTGTTGAACCGTTGACGGAGGCGTTCAATTGTTCTTACAGAACAATTGAAGTCATTGGCGATGACAGTAGCACGTTGACCTGCGTGGAGACGTCCGATGGCCTGTTGTCGTTGATCCCTTGTTAACCTCGGCATAGCTGCTGTAGTCTGGAAACGACTAAAGGATCGGTAGTCAAGCTGGGAATTAATACCCTGTATGCGCACGAGATGCACGTGCAGTGTGCTTTCAATGTTGCGTTTGGTTGAGCTGTTCCTTGTCCAAAAACAGTGAAACTTTTTGAAATCATCCAAAAAGTTGGTGTGTTGTACAAACTTATCATCTAGTGTTCGAATCATGTTTTTTAAATGTTGTTTTCAGTCATCAAGTGACAACTAGTTAATCAAAATACATCATTGATACCAAATCCATAATCTGAAAAATACGACGTTTCTTTTGCCTTTCAGTATATATCTAAGGAAACATACAGCCAATTACAAGGAATACAGAAATGCACATTAAACTTGCTAATCACATGTATACTTCTACTTTAAGTGGAAAGCTACCCTGCCACCACCAGTCATTTGCCTTCAGTGAAAACCTACCCTTCTTCTGTCTGGGCACAACCTACCATATATGTGACTGGGGACAGCCTACCCTTCACCTGACTGGGGACAACCTACCCTTCACCTGACTGGGGACAGCCTACCCTTCACCTGACTGGGAACAACCTACCCTTCACCTGACTGGGGACAGCCTACCCTTCATCTGACAGCAGACAGCCTACCCTTCACCTGACTGGGGACAGCCTACCCTTCACCTGACTGGGGACAGCCTACCCTTCACCTGACTGGGGACAGCCTACATTCACCGGACTGGGGACAGCCTACCATTCACCGGACTGGGGACAGCCTACCCTTCACCTGACTGGGGACAGCCTACCCTTCACCTGACTGGGAACAACCTACCCTTCACCTGACTGGGGACAGCCTACCCTTCACCAGACAGAGGACAGCCTACCCTTCACCTGACTTGGGACAGCCTACCCTTCACCTGACTGGGGACAACCTACCCTTCACCTGACTGGGGACAGCCTACCCTTCACCTGACTGGGGACAGCCTACCCTTCACCTAACAGGGGACAACCTACCCTTCATCTGTCTGACAACCTACCCTTCATCTGACTGCTTTGTGGGAAGAAAAGACGGGCAATCTGTTGGTCCTGCTTGTGTGCTGAAAACCAGCAGTTGCAGTTGAAGTTGGTGGCTAGCTCCAGGACGGGTGTCTGGATGATGACATTCTTCACGAACCAGCTGTCCTCCTGCCTCACACCATCATGACCAAGTCTGGGGAGAGATAGGTGTGTCGCAATAGATGCATTTAGGTGAGGTGAAAAAAGGTTTAATGGCCCTTCATTCATATGGCCCTTTTATTGTACTAATATGGCCATATGCCAGCAGGTGTGTGGCTGCTTGTAACAGTGTGGTGCAATGCCACTGAGATACCATGATACAATTCAACTTTGATACACTGTACACTGACTCTGGATCAACATGTCCTTATTTTATACCCTGAATGCCAAACGCCAGCTAGGGTAACTACAAGTACCATTGTTTAACATTGTGACCCGGAATTGAACACCCTACCCTACCACTCACTGGGCAGAACCTATATCACTGTGATACTTTTTCCTGTAAAATGCAGTATGACTGCCTCTGTGGTCTGGTGGATATAGGTTCTGCCCAGAGAGTGGATAGCAACACCAGCTTAACCCACATGCTTCAACACAGGCATATTACATATTAGGAGTGAGTGAGCATGGTTTTACGCCGCTTTTAGCAATATTCCAGCAATATCACAGCGAGGGACACCAGAAATGGACTTCACACATTGTACCCATGTTTAAATATGCTTTGAACAGTTATTCTAGCACGACAATGTGTGATACTTGATTCTGATTGGCTGAGAGCTCATCAAAACCGTACTTAAATGACAGTTTAAGGACCGCTAATTAAAGTGACCGATTCACCGCGTATGAATACAACGAACTCGTTGACCCTATTGTTTGTAAACAAACATGTCGGACATCGGCAATTTCTATCTCGGCAGCATCTTTGGTGTTTTTAAAGTAAAAAAGCGAATTGTTTGAAGAAGAATTTCTTGACCCTAATCCCAGTGAAGAAACTACGAAGCTGGAAAATCCGTAAGCAGTGCAAAAGCGGCAGTATATTCAAAGCGGGTCCAGATCTACGTGTGTTGATGTCGACAACACACGTCGACCCACACGTCCTAACCTGACCGCTTCCGTCCCGGCCGTAATGCCCAGTCCTTCCACTTCCACTGTCCATGTATCCCACATAAAACGTGGCTAACGCGTTCAGTTTTTAAATTACATTTAGCGGTCTTAAATCAACGATAAAGGACCGCAAAATTGAAAACAGAGTAGCTTTATCTTCAAATTTAGTTGCCTTAAGGATGCAACTCTGTACAGCCAACTGCTATAGATGAGCTTCCTGTGTAACCTGCAGAGACCCACCTGATACTAGTAATGGTGCCAATGTCTGATGTTTGGAGTTTGAACTCATCCTTCGAGTTTCTCTGGAACAATGTGTCTGAGGCGTTCTTCAGGCGTATTTTTTCTGAAGTTGGAATCATTTACCATAGAAAAAGAATCTGTATGAACATGTCTTCTGTTGAGAACAAAATTCCTACTGGACTAGACTCAAGACACTGTTTTTTGACATTTCAGTAATCACAGGCTGCTTCCTGACTTGTAGTGACATACAGAAATAGCCTTCCTTTCATGTGTACCATGAAGTGTATACAAACGTAGCTGAGTGTGCCGTTTTACTCTCAGTGTGACCAACAAGAAGACTACAACACATCAATCTTCAAACATATTGAATATCACATTAATACAAAATATGGTGTCAAATATGATTCTTTCTCTGGACAGAATTTACTTACATAATAATAATAATAATAATAATAGTCCATTTATATGCGCATTTATCCATGCACATTGCATGCTCAAAGCGCTGACATATTACCCCTGGTCAACGAGTACAGAACACTCCATGTGGAGAATACAACCGGTCACCTGTCAGGCGCTCAAGGTTCAAATTCAGACTACCGGTACCATCGTATCATACCAGGTACCCAATTTTACTGCTGGGTGGACAGAGGCAATTTTGAACAAACTCACTTGCCTAAGGTGAGACCACATGCGTCACATGCGCTTCGTTGTGGGGCAGGACTGAAGTCCTAGAAACTTTCAGGAGTCAAGCTGCCAAACACGGTCACCCATCCGAGGACTGTCAATAGTTAAACTATGTCTGGTGTAGTTTAAATCAACATAAACCCATCACAAACCTGTCTCGGCCTTGTCCCCGAACAGCTGTATGAAGACATCGGCCGTTGTACCACAGTTGTCCTTGTCCCCAGTTTGGACTGTTACCAGGAAGCCTGTCACTGGCGTGTGTACTGACATACAGAAACAGTTTTACTGCCATCAGTACCATGGAGTGCACTCAAACAAGCTTTGCAATCTAAGTATGACCAACAAGAATACTACTGATCAATCTTCAAACATAAATACTACATTTCACCACAAGCAAGAAAATATTTAATTACCCACATGCTTTGCATTTACAATGATAATATTCTTTTCAATTTCCAAATCCCCAGGGATATATTGTGAGTGAGTGGTCTAGTTTTACACCACACTCAGCAATATTCCAGCTATATGGCGGCGGTTTGTTAATAATTGAGTCTGGACCAGACAATCCAGTGATCAACAGCATGAGCATCGATCTGCGTAATTGGGAACCGATGACATATGTCAACCAAGTCAGCGAGTGTGATCACCCGATCCCGTAAGTCGCCTCTTACGACAAGCATGGGTAACTGAAGACCAATATTCTAACCTAGACCTTCACAGGTCATATATTTTGAAGTATTATGTGCACATATATACATATATATATATATATATTGCATAGATAAATAAAAACAGAATGCCTTTTTCTCCAACATGTTTCGTTCTTTACTCTTCAGGGCAAGAACGAAACATGTTGGAGAAAAAGGCATTCTGTTTTATTTATCTATGCAATATTTATGACTGAACACCAGTACTACTTTGGACATTTTGTGCGTGTATATATATATATATATATATATATATATATATATACACTTATATAAATCTTATATTTAATTGGATTTAGGAGATAAACGTACTGTGTTTGGAAATTAGATGAATGTTAGACCGAATTGATAGTCTCTAAATTTTATTTGAAGCCGAACTCATTTCCAAACACAGTATGTTTATCTCCATTCTACCATAACCGATTTAACATCGAACTTCCTCGTCCTGCGGAAGACACTGCGTAATCCGGCATGGGATGAGAGGCGAATTGAACTCGTCTGATAAAGGAGTGGTAGGTTCCGTTCGTATTTTTTTTAACATTGCAACATAAAAAATATTCTGTCCAAGGAAAACAAACTACTCTTTATTCAATGCAATAATGTAACACCTAAGAGCTCGGTTTTTATAATCATAACTCCACAAGACCGAAACCAGCCTATTGTTTTGTGTGCCTTATTACTGTACCCCCCTGGCCACAGTATAATGGAATCGTCTGACCTACTTATTTTCTTGGAAGTAGACAGTTACGCAACAGTTTGAAATGGCGGACGAGCCAGTGTTTACATTTTGCGAAAGGTTGAAATTCGAAGTGACAGTGGAAAATACTTGACTGACTGTCGAACCTGAACCCTGCAGAATCGAAGAATACATCCTTTTCTGATCGACCTATAACCTGTAACTCATCAAAGACTGTTGATTTTTATGACCGGCGAGTGTCGATCATGATTTCACGTCGTGCCTCCACCCGGCATGCGAGGAAGAGTGACAGTGCAGCTTTGTGTACATGCGACTAACTTGGGATTCCTTGGAACATTGTTCTCATCATTTGGGACTGGATTGTGGCCTAGCTTTTCAAAATGTACGAACATAGCAGTGACAGCCTTCGGGGAAGGTGGCAGAGAACTGAATTCTCATGGTTCAGCTTTTGACATTTTGAACGATGCAACGGGACATGATTGAGTATGAGTGGCAAATTTTGTGTTTCGCCTGACTGTTATCTTGCGAATTTCCCATTCTAAAGCGGAAACAAATATACCATTTACCAGGTAGGTAAATGTTTACTAACGTTTGGCCGCACAAATAGGGATAGATAGGGATGTATTTTTACAAGGTTTTCTGATTTATATGTTATATATTGTTTGTTTATGTTTGGGGCTGTGTATTGTAATTGAGTTTGAATATTTTTATAATAGTAGGTAATAATTATGATAGTGAGGTCCCCTAATAATTGTGGAGGAGAAATCGTATAATTGTATTTTTCGAGTTTTAATAAATGTTTCATCAGCATTTCCATCACGTCTGTTGTGTTGATATTAATCATGTTGGTCGCCAAGCTGAAGTAGTGCGGCAGTGTTGTATACGTGCACAGTGAAGCGCCGTGAAATCAGACGCATTTTCAATCCAAATTGATACCGTCTGATTTTATGGCTTGACCAATCAAATTCGAGCATTTCACGTAGCCATGGTAGAATTACTTTTTAAATCCAATCGTGCCATGAAATCCTTTGTTCCTGCCAGTATTAATCTTTTAAATGATTCCTTGTGTTTGTCTTACCTTGTTAGCGTGTTATATGTGTGTTATTTATTGTATGAAAATAGTTTAATAGTTTTATCAATGTTTGAGCTTTGTACTTTACACAAGAATTCCCTCATGGGTAATAAAGTATTGTCATTGTCATTGTCATCATCTTACCTTTAACATAATTCTACAGACAATAAGTTGCTAATGGAAAATATCCAGGGCAATAACATAAATTTGTTTTGTGTGATCTGCCAATGATGGAAGTGGATGAATGGCAGACTGTGGTATTCTTATGGAGTTGGATGAAGTATGTATACAGAAGATCTACACTAAACTACAGCCCATACCAGATCTCATCAGTCATGTATATTTCAAATACTGCAGCAGAAACACAGGAGCAAACTTGGACATTATCAACAATGATAATAATTCACAGAGTACTACCTCCAAAACCTGATTGCCCTTTTCCTGAAATTAGTATCTGAATCATGAAGTAATTTATAAGGTATTCTGGGATTGATGGGGGACCTTCACCTGAAGTGATAGAGTAGAGAATTCTTATGATTGTTGATAAACATTCTCGCAAATTTATCCCTCTGACCTTGATTGCTGAATCTCACATATGGTTTGAAAGGACTACAGTATTCCCCTTCCAAAGCAATGAAGACAGTCGCAGTGACTAAATTTATTTGTTGCGACAACACTTGTGAACCCTTTTTGTTGATGAGGAGAATCCTTCTTGCTGCTGAAGAGAACCCTTCTTGCTGTTGAATTGATTAAGATGATGGACTTTGACGTCATTTCCAGTCAACGGTTCTTCTGATGACGTATATGTTGACGACCCTTCCGGTTTATATCATGTCCACTCAGTGGTGAACGAAGTTGTATCCCTAACTGGATATGACCTGCTTGTTATTTTAGCTGTAGTCTACGTTTTGACTACCTAACTACATCAAGAAATGTTTCCATCCAATGGATCCCATCAATCAACTTCACATAACACACCATCGCTTGTGATTGTTGTATTAACAGTTGTCTGATACAAGGAGGTCAATCTATAATCAATGTCAAATTCAGATTAAACATTTCTTCTTTGCCGGGCAACTGAACCAACTCCCCACCCAATTTTTCTCCCTTCAACCCCAAAATGAGGCTAGGCAGAAAGGACAGACTTCATGTAGTCCTTGTAGGTCATGGGAGACACTCCTTAGAATGATGCGAAGGTATAAGAACATACAAGTCGTACATACCCGCAGGCTGACATGAACTGTTCCAGCAAAAAGGTCTTCCAAGATACTAAGGATGAAGTAATGGCTCTCATTCTCTTATTTCTTGTGGACATGTTAGTGGCTGATCAGTTTACCGCTGTAACAGGCCAAACCTTCCCCGGGGAAACTTAAGCCTAGGCCAAACTTTCCGCCCTAGGCTTAATCTTCCCCACCCTTGAATCAACTTTAAAGGTTACTTGTTTCCCATCCTTGTTCTTATATCAACTTCTTATTGAAAACAGAACAAAATATCCTAGTTTAAACAGTGGGGAAAGTTTGGCCTATGGGGGTAAAAGTTTAGCCTAGCATAAACTTTCCCCGGGGTAAGAATATCCTAGGACAAAACCTCCCTGGGGAAAGTTTAGACCGGGGAAGAAATGGCCTGCTACACCGGTAATGTAATAGTTTTTGTGAACCAAGCCAAGACTGTCTTCTTGGTATGATAATGTCCTTATCTTATTCAGAAGCATCCATGATGAAAGGAATCTGTAAATACCATTTCAGTGCTCTTACTGTACATAGCACCCAGTCTGGTAGGACATGATCCTGTGTGGAGACACGAGCTGGGGTCATGATGGCTTGTTTTCCCAAGATCCCTATCAATGTCTTTTGATTCTTGGCAAGGAACTCTTTCAGTGCTCTAGTTACAACCCTAGATGGATTTTTAATTAATGCATCCAAAACATGCAGTTGTGAAATTGTTGAGGCTGAGCTAAAGCAGTTTTCCATGACAGGTTTGATAAAGATGCTTCCTCCATAGGTTCAAAATGAAGATGTAATAATCCTGATAAAAGAACAAAGCCTTCTGTAAGTATCAGGAAATCCCTGCTGATGCGAAGTGGCGCTGGATAGTTCAAATATGGGTAGGCAGAGCTGATCCAAATTGCGATGGAAACTGTCTGACTTCTGTTGTTTGAGAAGGGTTTTCCAATGAGGAAGAGGAAATGGTTGGTCTACATGTAGCAATAATGGATATGAGAACCATGATCTTGTCGCCCATGCTGTTGCAACGAGAGGCATCATCATGTGATGGTGCGAATCTGTTGATATAGGCAACAACAGTGGTGTTGTCAGTGGCAACTAGTAGGGAGAATTATTGCCCAGTGCTTGATGGCTAATAATACTGTTTTCATCTCCAGGATGTTGATGTGGACTGGTGAATTGAACTCCCAGAGACCTGAGAAGCTTGTCTATCACTGTCATAAAATCTCAGGGGTGATAGCAATGCTCTATTGTGAACATTATATCCCTCTTTGATGACCTTGAGGACTGGTCAGTCAATATGATCTTCCAATTCTCTATACAGGCTCACAAACAGTTGCCCACTGGAAGCTGTAAAACCTTCACCAGGAATGCTGGTTTCCGATAATCGTTGAGTAGACTCCTTGCCTCAGGTTTCTAAGAGATTTATAAAGTCAAGTGGTTAGATCCAAACTTGCCATCTTTTCTGCCTGGGAAACCTGTTCCCATCTCCTCTGGATGGAGTCTTGGGTTGTCTTGACAGATATCGACCCCCAGCCAGAACTTCTTTTGTGGGCCCATGTGGCCCATTTCTGGACGGTAGGGCTTGCCTGCTGGTGTCTTATGTGCTAGGACAAAACTGAGCTCAAAGCTCTGTGGAATTTCCTACCCTCTTCCGACTTTAAGACCTCCAGCACCTCTTCGCACTTGCCGCTGAATGGCTATGTTGTATCCCAAGCTCCAGTTAAACAGATGATGGGTTGTCTCCTGCATCTGCCTCAGTAGTAGAAGGGAGTATCTTTCGAACTTCTGGGATAAACCAGGCCCTGGAGGTAGTTGACCAACCGCACCAGTAACTGTAGACAGTAAGGTGCTCCAGAATCCTGGCCACAATTCCTTAAAAACGTATAACTATGGAAGGCGATTTTCACTGTTGTTTGATGTATAAGCATCTCTGCCCTGCAATGATGAGCACCCCAGACGATCCATAAACTTGAGAGTGGCTAGGCCTTCATTCAGATCCTTTGAATATATTCAGCAGCTAAAAAACTGAAACTGAATTTCATCCCAAAGATGTTCAATTGGGTTTAAATCAGGACTAAGGGCTGGCCACTGCGTAATGTTGACACCGTTCTGCTGTAGGAAGTCCCGTGTAGCTCTGGCAGTATGGGCCCGGGCATTATCATGCTGGAAAATGTTGGTGATGTGCGAAATGTGGTATGACATGGGGTCGGAGAGCTTGGTCAATGTAGCGCACCACTGTGATGCCACCTCCTCTCCCTGGGTCAAGGTTCTGGAACACCACAGGACCCACTCTCCGGTTCGGGCCTATTCCACCCCATACCATGATGCTTGCACCTCCCCCATGAGTGTCTTTCCATAACACAATGGTCTGAGTAACGCTGGCCATGTCGTCGCATATTCTTGTTCTGCCATCTGCAGTTGATACGCAGTTCCGACTCTCATCTGTGAACAGAACAGTTCTCCATTGCCTGTATCACTAGTTTTGGTGTTGTAGGGCAAACTGTAAATGTTCACGCCGATGACGAGGGGTGAGGATAGGTCCAGGGTCTATGGTCTGTTAAGACATCGGCGTACTGTATCAGTACTGATTGGTCTTCCATGTGTTCCCACTGTCTGGCGTGCTGTTTTGGATGCCTGCATGAAGGGATTTTGTACATGCTGTCGCACAACATGGCAGTCTTGTCGTCTTGTGGTCACCCTGGTCTGCCAGTACGGGGGCGATCATTTGTGGTGTTGGTGGCCCAGAAACATTGCTGCAGCCTGTAGATGGCACAAACGTTGACCTGGAAGTGATTGGCAATGGCTTGTGCAGTGTGGCCAGCTTCAAGTCTTCCTAGTGCCTTGTTCCTGCTGACGTTGTAATATGAATGTTTCAACCAGGTTTGGGGTTGCATTTTATACGGCTGGTCCTTGTGAACAGCACGTGCAGCATGAGTTGCATGAAAAAACATGGAGAACACCGTACCATCTCCGAGATCAGGTTGCGTTTTTGAGACCATTTCCTGGATTCCATTCTAAGTTTGGGAAGGAACGTTTTTGCTCAGGTAATATTGGAGATGTTGTCAAAATTATACAATCAAAACATTAAATGAGTTAAGTATCTGAAACTTAACGGTGCGTGCGGTCCATGCTACCCATGCTAGCATTCTGTTGTAGCTGTAATCATAAGCTGGCTGATCTCTGTGACAAGGTTAGTAGATCCTCTGTGGCCTTGTGGCCCCTGCAGCTTGTGTTGGCTGTGTGGTAACCATACTTACACCAGGGAGATAACTCCTACAGATAGTGCTCGGGAAAACCACTAGGAAGAAAGGCAAAGCAAGACCAATCTAAAAGATTTATTCAAGCTAAACCTGTGGATCAGAATCAAGACTCAGGCAATAAGGCAATCAAGTGTTGGAAGGATGTATTCATAAGAATTACAGGATTCATGGACAGTGATGAAATAGAGGAAGAAGTATGTCCTTTTGTAGAAATACAGCTTGATAACATTAAAATCATGCAGTGCCTTTGGTGAAGAGCTGAACAAACTACATAAAATACAAGAATACACTTGTGGTAAGCATGGGAAGACTTAAGGTGAGTTGACTCACCAGCAATAGGCATAGGAAGACCTAAGGTGTGTTCACTCACCAGCAATAGGCATGGGAAGACTTAAGGTGAGTTGACTCACCAGCAATAGGCATGGGAAGACCTAAGGTGTGTTCACTCACCAGCAATAGGCATGGAAAGACTTAAGGTGAGTTGACTCGCCAGCAATAAGCCCAAGAAGGCCAAAGGAGAGTTGACTCACCAGCAATAAGCCTGAGAAGACCTAAGGTGAGTTGACTCACCAGCAATAAGCCCGAGAAGGCCAAAGGAGAGTTGACTCACCAGCAATAAGCCCAAGAAGACCAAAAGGGAGTTGACTCACCAGCAATAAGCCTGAGAAGACCTAAGGTGAGTTGACTCACCAGCAGTAAGCCCAAGAAGACCTAAGGTGAGTTGACTCACCAGCAATAAGCCCGAGAAGGCCAAAGGAGAGTTGACTCACCAGCAATAAGCCCAAGAAGACCAAAAGAGAGTTGACTCACCAGCAATAAGCCTGAGAAGACCTAAGGTGAGTTGACTCACCAGCAGTAAGCCCAAGAAGACCTAAGGTGAGTTGACTCACCAGCAATAAGCCCGAGAAGACCAAAAGAGAGTTGACTCACCAGCAATAAGCCTGAGAAGACCAAAAGAGAGTTGACTCACCAGCAATAAGCCTGAGAAGACCTAAGGGGTATTGACTCACCAGCAATAAGACCGAGAAGACCCAAGGAAAGTTGAGTCACCAGCAATAGGCATTGGAAGACCAAAGAAGAGTTGAGTCACCAGCAATAAGACCGATAAGACCCAAGGAGAGTTGACTCACCAGCAATAGGCATGGGAAGACCAAAGGAAAGTTGAGTCACCAGCAATAAGCCCGAAAAGACCAAAGGAGAGTTGAGTCACCGGCAATAAGCCCGAGAAGACCTAAGGTGAGTTAACTCACCAGCAATAAGCATGGGAAGACCAAAGGAGAGTTGACTCACCAGCAATAAGCCCAAGAAGACCTTAAGAGAGTTGACTCACCAGCAATAAGTCCGAGAAGATCTTAAGAAAGTTGACTCACCAGGTGTCAGTCGGAGAAAACCAACAGACGAGTTTGCATCTGGAACTCCAACTTGAGCGACCCTGACCCCCTCAATCCCGTGTGTGTCCAGGGTTGTGATGGCGACCTGCATACCAGTCTCAAACCGAGGTCCTTGGCGCCACTGTCACCAGAAACACATGTTATTATCAGCTAGGATTGTACATATTAAACAGATCATAGCGTAAGTAGTAACAGTTAATAGGTACAAACCTTTATGATAGGTCCAAATAGGCAGTTACAAACCTTTATGCTAGGATCTATGAGCAGGTACAAACCTTTACATAAGGTCTATATATACAGATACAAACCTTTACATAAGGTCTATAAGATACAAACCTTTACATAAGGTCTATATATACAGGTACAAACCTTTATGCTAGGATCTATGAGCAAGTACAAACCTTTACATAAGGTCTATATATACAGGTACAAACCTTTACATAAGGTCTATATATACAGATACAAACCTTTACATAAGGTCTATATATACAGATACAAACCTTTATGTTAGGTGTATGCATGATGACACTTCCAGAGTCATTGGAACTCAGTATGATGAAGGCTTCTGAACATCTGTACCTTCTCCGCCAGATCTCTTGCCCGCACAAGCTGATGACAACATCTTCCATGCCTGCCTCCTATAACATCATACCATCAAGACAATCTGTTTCCACTTGAACCACAACATTTACACTGACTAAGAGTTTTTCCTTTACAGAAAATAAGAAAATGCAATCTGATCTTAATTTCTCATGTAATGAAGCCTTCTGAGGTGATTATCTGGTGAATACTCAGCAGGTGCTTGCTTCCATCCTCCACATCTAATCCTAATAATCTTAAACTCATTACTACTGCTGTAATGATAGAATTGTACAGCCCCATAGAATAGTTCTCACCTTGGAATCCATCATCTCCAGCTGTACCTGGTAGCCTCCTCTACACTTCCAGCTTTCGTCTTCTTCAAACTTCTTCTCACCTCTGTGAGTGATGGTGCCCAACGAACAGTTGTACACCACAGGATGATCATAGCCTTTCCTGGAGGAAACCACGTGCCATATTTCATTTATAACCTATATGGGGGTGGTCATAGCAACATCAAATTTATAGCCCAGCCTGGAGGTCACATGCACTATATGATTTAAAGCCCAGACTTGAGGAGGCCACATGCAATGTTTGATTTAAAGCCCAGTCTTGAGGAGGTCACATGCAATATTTCATTTAAAGCCCAGACTTGAGGAGGCCACATGCAATATTTGATTTAAAGCCCAGTCTTGAGGAGGCCACATGCAATGTTTGATTTAAAGCCCAGTCTTGAGGAAGCCACATGCAATATTTGATTTAAAGCCCAGACTTGAGGAGGCCACATGTAATATTTGATTTAAAGCCCAGTCTTGAGGTCACATGCAATATTTTATTTAATGTCCAGTCTTGAGGTCACATGCCATATTTGGTAAAAGCAGTACATGGATATAACCCTGACTAGAAGTGATGCACAATATAGCTTTAGATTATTAATAACTTTACATGCAATTTACATCACAGAAACCATCATCTTCCATGATCTATATAATGTTGAGGAGAATACATCTGTTCTAATCTGGGAACAAACAAGACAAAGGGATTCTTCTTCTCAACAGACTACTCACATAATCAGCTTCAGGCTCAGATCTTTTGCCATGACTGGCATAAATGTAAGTTTATTGAAGTATTGTGGCGTTAGGGGTTGAAGTATGTGATAATCAATCCCTTTGTTCGGCCACAGCATACATCCACTGATTCCTGTTTTCATGTGATTTTGAAAAATGAAGTGTCCATCTTTGCGGATTTTCTCCTCCTTCACTTGTGACAAATCTCGCATTACAATGTGGTGTGGTCCCAGGAAGCTTGGTTTGACAAAATTCTCAATTTCCTGCAATGAGAAAATAATTTACACCTGATATTTGGCTTGGCTTTTCTTTGGACAGAGTGTTAACTGGTTGGCTGTATCAGGTGCTGGTCCACCTTTGGAATGTGACATGACTTCATGGCAAATGAAGGGTTGCTGAACCTTGAATGCTATAATGTTGAAGGTTGCACCTTTCATAATATTTCTGTCAAGTTAGCAAAACTAAATGGTACACTGGAAACGGTGCTAGTTTGAAGAAGAAGAAGTTTTTCAAATTGGACAAACACAATAATGTATATTATATGCAAAGTTGAACAGCAGAAGTTTGAATACAGAAATGAAACATGGACTTTTCAAACTTGCTGAAGGCATTGAGTATTTTTGGTTTCGACCCCGTTCCATACATAGATAACATTCACATTGCTGAATATCAGTTTCATGACCTTATCTTTTATAGGATTCTGAAATTTACTTACTGCAAGATGTCCGATACAGGTGCGACAAATACCGCAGTGATGACACAGTAGCACCTGGCCGACATCACACATGCAGCACCTGGAGACAAACACACATCTACGTACAGGTGCTACAACATCTACTCCTCTAACACAGTAGCACCTGGCCGACATCACACATGCAGCACCTGGAGACAAAACACATCTACGTACAGGTGCTACAACATCTACTCTCTCTAACAGGTGCTGGTCGACACAACATCTACTCCTCTAACACAGTAGCACCTGGCCGACATCACTACCTCTAACACATGCAGCACCTGGAGACAAACACACATCTACGTACAGGTGCTACAACAGGTGCTACAACATCTAGCTCCTCATAACACAGTAGCACCTGGCCGACATCACACATGCAGCACCTGGAGACAAACACACATCCTACACATCTACTCCTCTAACACAGTAGCACCTGGCCAACATCACACAGGTGCTACAACATCTACGCACAGGTGCTACAACATCTACCCCTCTAACACAGTAGCACCTGGCCGACATCACACATGCAGCACCTGGAGACAAACACACATCTACATACAGGTGCTACAACATCTACTCCTCTAACACAGTAGCACCTGGCCGACATCACACATGCAGCACCTGGAGACAAACACACATCTACATACAGGTGCTACAACATCTACCCTCTAACACAGTAGCACCTGGCCGACATCACACATGCAGCACCTGGAGACAAACACATGTGGCACCTGGAGACAAACACACATCTACATACAGGTGCTACAACATCTACCCTCTAACACAGTAGCACCTGGCCGACATCACACAGGTGCTACAACATCTACATCTACTCCTCTAACACAGTAGCACCTGGCCGACATCACACATGCTGGAGCACCTGGAGACAAACACACATCTACATACAGGTGCTACAACATCTACTCCCTCTAACACAGTAGCACCTGGCCGACATCACACATGCAGCACCTGGAGACAAACACACATCTACATACAGGTGCTGCAACATCTACACCTCTAACACAGTAGCACCTGGCCGACATCACACGGCATGCAGCACCTGGAGACAAACACACATCTACGTACAGGTGCTACAACATCTACCCCTCTAACACAGTAGCACCTGGCCGACATCACACATGCAGCACCTGGAGACAAACACACATCTACATGCAGGTGCTACAACATCTACCTCTCTAACACAGTAGCACCTGGCATCACACATGTGGCACCTGTGGCACTCAAACACACATCACACATGCAGGTGGAGCTACAACAGGTGCTACAACATCTACCCTCTAACACAGTAGCACCTGGCCGACATCACACATGCAGCACCTGGAGACAAACACACATCTACATACAGGTGCTACAACATCTACTCCTCTAACACAGTAGCACCTGGCCGACATCACACATGTGGCACCTGGAGACATCTAACAGGTGCTACACATCTACATGCACATCACTTCTCTTGTGGCAGCACCTGGTGCTATCTACATACAGGTGCTACAACATCTACTCCTCTAACACTGGTAGCACCTGGCCTGGAGACAAACACATCACACATGCAGCACCTGGAGACAAACACACACATCTCTAACACAGTAGCACCTGGCCGACAGGTGCTACAACATCTACTACCTCTAACACAGTAGCACCTAACGACATCACACATGTGGCACACTGGAGACAAACACATCTATGTACAGGTGCTACAACATCTACTCCTCTAACACAGTAGCACCTGGTCGACATCACACATGTGGCACCTGGAGGTGCACACGTTACAGGTGCTACAACATCTACTCCTCTAACACAGTAGCACCTGGCCGACATCACACATGCAGCACCTGGAGACAAACACACATCTACATACAGGTGCTACAACATCTACAGTCCTCTAACACAGTAGCACCTGGCCGACATCACACATGTGGCACCTGGAGACAAACACACATCATCAGGTCTACAACATCTACCCCTCTAACACAGTAGCACCTGGCCGACTCACATGTGGCACACAAACACAGTAGCACAGGTGCTACAACATCACTCCTCTAACACAGTAGCACCTGGCCGACATCACACACACAAACACATCTACATACAGGTGTAGCACCTACAACATCACATGCAGCACCTGGAACAAACAGTAGCAGGTGCTACAACATCTACTCCTCTAACACAGTAGCATCACACACATGCAGCACCTGAGACAAACACACATCTACATACAGGTGCTACAACATCTACTCCTCTAACACAGTAGCACCTGGCCGACATCACACATGCGGCACCTGGAGACAAACACACATCTACATACAGGTGCTACAACATCTACTCCTCTAACACAGTAGCACCTGGCCGACATCACACATGTGGCACCTGGAGACAAACACACATCTATGTACAGGTGCTACAACATCTACCCCTCTAACACAGTAGCACCTGGCCGACATCACACATGCAGCACCTGGAGACAAACACACATCTACATACAGGTGCTACAACATCTACTCCTCTAACAACATCTACACATGCAGCACCTCTAACACAGTAGCACCTGGCCGACATCACACATGCAGCACCTGTAGACAAACACACATCTACATACAGGTGCTACAACATCTACTCCTCTAACACAGTAGCACCTGGCCGACATCACACATGTGGCACCTGGAGACAAACACACATCTACATACAGGTGCTACAACATCTACCCCTCTAACACAGTAGCACCTGGCCGACATCACACATGCAGCACCTGGAGACAAACACACATCTACATACAGGTGCTACAACATCTACTCCTCTAACACAGTAGCACCTGGCCGACATCACACATGTGGCACCTGGAGACAAACACACATCTACATACAGGTGCTACAACATCTACCCCTCTAACACAGTAGCACCTGACATCACACATGTGGCACCGACAGGTGCTCACCCACACAGTAGCACCTGGCCGACATCACACATGCAGCACCTGGAGACAACACACATCTACATACAGGTGCTACAACATCTACCCTCTAACACAGTAGCACCTGGCCTGAGACATCACACATGTGGCACCTGGAGACATCTACCCTCTAACAAACACACACCTGAGACAAACACACATCTACATACAGGTGCTACAACATCTACACCCTCTAACACAGTAGCACCTGGCCGACATCACACATGCAGCACCTGGAGACAAACACACATCTACATACAGGTGCTACAACATCTACTCTTGTAACACAGTAGCACCTGACCAACATCACACATGCAGCACCTGGAGACAAACACACATCTACATACAGGTGCTACAACATCTACCCCTCTAACACAGTAGCACCTGGCCGACATCACACATGTGGCACCTGGAGACAAACACACATCTACATACAGGTGCTACAACATCTACTCCTCTAACACAGTAGCACCTGGCCGACATCACACATGTGGCACCTGGAGACAAACACACATCTACATACAGGTGCTACAACATCTACCCCTCTTACACAGTAACACCTGGCCAACATCACACATGCAGCACCTGGAGACCACACATGCAGCACCTGGAGACAAACACACATCTACGTACAGGTGCTACAACATCTACCCCTTTAACACAGTAGCACCTGTCCGACATCACACATGCAGCACCTGCAGACAAAAACACATCTATGTACAGGTGCACAACATCTACTACAGGTGCTACAACATCTAACACAGTAGCAGCACGCATCCGACATCACACATGTGGCACCTGGAGACAAACACACATCTACGTACAGGTGCTACAACATCTACCCCTCTAACACAGTAGCACCTGGCCGACATCACACATGCAGCACCTGGAGACAAACACACATCTACGTACAGGTGCTACAACATCTACCCCTCTAACACAGTAGCACCTGGCCGACATCACACATGCAGCACCTGGAGACAAACACACATCTACGTACAGGTGCTACAACATCTACTCCTCTAACACAGTAGCACCTGGCCGACATCACACATGTGGCACCTGGAGACAAACACACATCTACGTACAGGTGCTACAACATCTACTCCTCTAACACAGTAGCACCTGGCCGACATCACACATGTGGCACCTGGAGACAAACAGATCCTTATGTACAGGTGCTACCCGTCTGACACAGGTTATTTTCTAATACCTGTGTTGGACTAATGATTACTGACACATCATGAAAAAGACATCTTGTCTTTAAAACAATATCAAAACTCTCATAATTCACAACTAACAATAATAAACGTCAAGATGAAACTTACAATGGTTAAAAATCCATGTCTCTACAAAACAATATGTTTCTACAAGTCTAAAAGGTCAAAAGGTGTAATAATTCCACAGTATTTTGCTGATTTGACTGATGTGAAACAGAAGACGAGAGGTACCTGTCTATCCGAGGACTGACGGTGACCCTCTTCCGGAGAGTGGAGCCCTCCTCCAGGAAATCCTCTCCTGGGTCCCCTGCTTCCACCACGGGGTTGCTGGCCGCTAGGTAGCTGTAGTTATGGTAGGGGACAATGCTGGGGATATCTGTCATGACACACAAGACACAGACACGCGTTGATCAGAGTTCACACCTGGGACTTCTTTTGGCAATTCTGGAGACTGTTTAGAACCATACCAACATAAAATATTATATCAAAACTTTAACAAACCTGTAGAGGTTATGAATTCTTTGAAGAAAGTCCTCCTTGGGGTACATATAAGCATTAAAATGTCCATTTTAAAATATCTACAACAGTTGTAACAATATTTCAATATAATATTTTACCAAACAAAAACTCGTTTTGTTTAGTGAGACCACCCCCCACAGGGCCCCTTACAGCCAAGAGCAGGTAATTCTGGCTGCTTATCTCGTACCTCACTTTTCATGATGAACGTATCAGACAGAATGAGGAGAGGTGGGCGGTCGTACCCCAAGGAGGACTTTCTTCAAAGAATTCATAACCTCTACAGGTTTGTAAAATTCTTTTTCAGAAGAAGTCCTCCTTGGGGTACATATAAGCATAAGACAGACTCCCAAAGGTGGCGAGTCAGGAGCGGTATTCTGTCTGGCTAACATACCCTCTAGTTCAATCGAAGGCACAGCCGAAGCCGAGAGAGAGAGAAAAAACACACTTACCGAGTCACCTGACCGCTGATGTCAATCAGGCGGGGGTGTGGCAAGGCGGGGTATAAGGAGCCTAGCTTATATGCTACTGGCAAAATTATAATGACGGACATAAGTCCCACCCCCCAACCATCAAAATGGGAAGGAATGTATGGTCAAGTCCTAAATATTTCACTCATAATCCCAAACCAGCAAAGCGCGGTGCAGGGGAAAAATACAGTGGATATTGCAGTACAATGCTAGAGCCAATAAAATCGGTAAAAAACACCACCAATATGATACCACCACCGATAAAAATTGTGGAATTTTTATAACCGACACCAGGAAGCAAAAAACAATCATGACTTCGAAAGCTCATTCGACCGGAGAGCCACAACACTGCCCACTGGTGAGAACTGTCTGAGCACGTTCCCGTGAGTGTTTGTCCAGCTGGTAATGGCGGATGAACGTACTCTGTCGGCTCCAAATAGCCGCTGAGCAGATCTCCTCAATGGGCAGTGCCGCGGCATATGCCTTTAATGTAGCCACTGCCCTAACCGAATGAGCCTTTAACCCATCAGGAATAGTTAACCCTTTGTGAGTGTAACTCATACAAATGGCAGAGACAAGCCACCTAGATATGGTCTGTTGTTCGCCGGAAGACCAGCCTTACCACCGCCATAACAGCAGAACAGCTGTTTATCTTTCCTGATAGCAGCCGTTCGTTTGATATAAGCCTTGAGAGTCTTACGGACATCTAAGACCTGAGCACTGTGAAGAGAGGTACCGGATGATGGAGGCTGAGTGAAAGCTGGCAGTTCAATAGGTGCCGTTATGTGAAAGGCGCCTGTGATCTTTGGACGGTAAGAGTCTGGCAACCGAATACTAACTCTGTCTTTATGAAAGACAGTCAGAGCAGGATCCGCTCACATCGCGTGGATATCGCCTACCCGCTGGCCAGACGTTACCGCCGCAAGAAAGGCAGCCTTCCAACTTAACAGCTGGAGTGAAAGAGAAGACAGATCGTAAAAGAGAGGACCGGACATCCAATCAAGAATGATTGACAAGTCCCACGGGGAATAAACTTCAGAATGCTGCCGCCAGATCCTCACTCTTGTTTTCCGCTGCAGACACGGCCTAGCTCCTCCATACCTCTCTGAGATGTCAACATATATGCCTGCCCATTCTCTCCGCTCCCAGAATCAAGATCTTCTCTCAGTTCCCCAAGTTCATCTCAAACACTTTGGCCATAGGTCATTCAGATTTGCAGCACCAACCCTGTGGAACAGTCTTCCTACTCCCATAAAAAATGCTTCATCCTTAGAAGTATTCAAATCGGGACTCAAAATCTTCCACTTAAAAAAATCCTACAACCTATAACTGCGAAATATTCTCATGGTCATCTTGACGAACTGTCATATCTTCCTCTTGAACTCCAGTGACTCTTTTTATATGTAGCACTTTGAGCATGCTCTGGATGGACTATGGCGCATAAGAAATATCCATGTATTATTATTATTATTATGGGACTAATCCACCGGACAGTTGTACGGATTCTGTCCACGCCAGCTAAAAAGCGCTGCACAAGAGGGTGCTGCCCCAAGAGAGCACCGTCGGCAGGTACATGGAAGGAAGAGATTGTCGTGGAGTAGCCCCGGATAGTAGACGCGGCTAAGCCGGCCTCTAACCGAGACTGTAAAAACTCCAGCACTTCAACTGCAGTTGAAGAAAAGGGATTGAGAATCTCTCTGCTGACACACCAGCGCGTATAACAGGCCCACCTATCCTCATATTGAACTTTGAAGGGTAATAGTACAGGAGGCTGAGCCAGAAACCTGAGTAGTACCGGAAACCAGCTGACCAAAGAGGTGCAAGGAGCACAAGCAGTCGAGCAGGTTGGGTGGCAAGCTGCGAAAGGACCTTGGGAATCAGGGGTAATGGCGGGAACGCCCACAGAACCCTGCCTGTCCAATTGAGCCGGAAATAGTCCGAGGCGATAGCTCTCGGATCCGGTATCCGGAATCTGGTTCGTCCCTCCAGAAGCAAACAGATCCACCTGGAACGACCCGAACAACTGGGAGATAATCCCGAATATCTCCCAACTGAGCATCCACTCGTGCGGGGCCAGGATAAAACGAGAGAACGCATTTGCTCGAATGTTGTCCACCCCGGGGAGATAAACAGGCATCTCAAGACGAACCACACGGCCTCAAACCCGCTCTCGAAGTCATTCGAACACTAACCTGACTGCTCTCAATTCTAGCACATTGATGTGCAGTTGTGCCTCGCTCTGTGACCACAGGCCTGACACTGACAGGTCGCCCAGCACGCCCCCCCCCACCCTGTGAGGGAGGCGTCCATCTGAATCGAGAGATCTGGCGAAGGGATGTCCGAAGGGATCCCCCTGGATAAATTCCCTGCCATTGTCCACCACCGCAAATGAGGAATTAACCACCCCGGAGTGTGGAGAATCAATTCATAGCTGGGAGTGAACCCACATTCAAGCCAAAGCTTGCTGAATGGGTCGCATCCTCAACCGCACTCGCCAAACAAAGTCCACCGTTGCTGCCATGTTGCCTAGCAACTGGAGCCAAGTCCGAGCTGAGGCCATGGGGGACTCGAGATATTGCAACACAACTCTCTGGACTTAGGTGACGCAGTCCGGAGATTACACCTCGCGCTGTCTCGAATCTCGCTTCCCAAGAAAACCAGATCCTGAGTGGGAACCAGTTCTGACTTCTTGAGATTGATAATCCAGCCCAACTTGGTGAGTATACTCATCACGGAAAGTGTAGCAACTCGACTCAAGTGAGCAGCAAGTGCACGAAGGAGCCAATCGTCTAGGTACGGGTGACGGCACCTGCCCTGTGACCTGGCTACCTGCGCTGGAATTAGCATGAGTTTGGTGAACACCCTTGGCACCGTGGAGATGCCGAAGGGGAGCACACGAAACTGATAGCACCTCCTGTCGAAGGAAAACCTTAAGTACTTCCTGAACTCGGGGTGCATTGGGACATGGAGGTACGCGTCCTTCAGGTCGATAGACGTGAGCCAATCTCCCTTCTCCACAGATGAGATCACTAAACACAGTGTCTCTATCTTGAAGGACGGTACCTGTATCATGTTGTTCAGACCTTTGAGATTTAAAATAGGTCCTTTTTGGTGACAAGGAAATAGGTCAAGTAATAACCCACCTCTTGATGTCCCACTGGAACCACCTCGATGGCTGCCTTGTCAAGGAATGACTGGACCTCGGCACGGAGCGCCTCGACCTTTTCCGGGGCAGGCGGCACTGGAGTGCAACCGATCCCGGAGAAGGGAGGTGGGTCTCACTTCCCTGTGGCATGTGGCCTTCCCTGAGTGTGGACAGGACCCAGGGATTGGAGGTGACCTTTTCCCATTCCGACAGGGAGAGAGAGAGTCGACCACCCACAGTGATATTTGGCATGAGGCAATGGATACCAGAAGTCGGCAGTACTCCGACTGCTTGATCTGGTACCGAGCGCCGGAGGAATTATTGCTGGGAAGCCGGGGCTGACTGGCAACGCCAGTAGTGCCTGTAGTGCCGGAGAGTACCACGCAACAGAGAGCCAAAGGCGACAGAGGCCCATAACCGCTGACATCATTTGGCAAGCCAACGACCTAATAGAGTCGCACGCCCTACATTTTAATGCTTATATTTACCCCAAGGGTACAGCAAAGCTGTAGAGGGCCCTGTGGGGGGCCATGTAGGGGTGGTCTCACTAAACAAAACGAGTTTTTGTTTGGTAAAATATTTTATTGAAATATTGTTACAACTGTTGTAGGTATTTTTGAAATGGACATTTTAATGCTTATATTTACCCCAAGGAGAACTTCTGAAAATGAATCTAATTATAATAATTATGATATTGGAGTTTTTTTGCAAAACATAACTACACACCTTTTCCAACACTTTTCATTCTATTCATCTTCCCTAACAGCATATCCCACCTTCTCCAAACACTGTATCCCACCTTCCCCCAACACCATATCCCTTCATATAAAAACCTCAAGTGATGTCACTCTGTTGTCTCGTTAGGTTCTCCTGTTACCGAGTAAACCTCTACAGGCAGTATCGCGGGCATTCTCCAAGAAATCCCAGAGATTTTCTACCAAATTGCCTGCATCCCAGGGATTTTCTGAGGAATAGCCCTTGACATAGACTTATTTTACTTGTTTTGAAGATTGACATAACTTTGTCTGGCTATTACTGAAGACCATCGTAAAGTATGACATTATTGAAAACTGCCAATATATTGTGCTGATGCCTGGCTTCGAACCTTCAACCCTTCACTTACTAGCTTGGCAATCTTATCCACTAGGCTATGAAGGATCGCTGTGAAGAAAGAGATTGTTTTTCAGTATGAACCATGTGTTCCTCACAAGATGGGTAGTGCGGGCAGCGCACTTGCATGACACGGGTAGCGCGTGCAGAGCATGTGCATTGAGTGTGCAAGGTAAGGTGTCATGTTGGCTGCCAGTTGCATCCCAGTTGATTTTAACAGTAAATACCAAATATTAAAATTATATCTAAAGTATATCTTAGGTCGGTTCATAAGTTGGATCCAAACCTCCTCCTCCGTTTTGTCAGCACTCCCCAATTTCCCTCTGCCTTTTAGTTTTTCAAACAAAACCTTGGAGTCGGTTTTGATCCTTAACTTATCAAACACCATATTCAACCTTTCTCGGCACTGCATCCCACCTTCTCCAAACACTGTATCCCACGTTCCCCCAACACCATATCCCTTCTCATCCAACACCATATCCGACCTCCTTCAATCACTGTATCCCACCTTCTCCAAAGACCAAATCCCTCCTTTCCCCAACACTATATACTACCTTCCTCCAACATCATATCCAACCTTTCCCGTCACTGTATCCCACCTTTCCCCAACACCATATCCAACCTTTCCCTTCACTGTATCCCACCTTCTCCAACACCATATCCAACCTTTCCCGTCACTGTATCCCACCTTCCCCCAACACCATATCCAACCTTTCCCGTCACTGTATCCCACCTTCCTCCAACACCATATCCAACCTTTCCCGTCACTGTATCCCACCTTCTCCAAACACTGTAGCCCACCTTCCCCCAACACCATATCCCTTCTTATCCAACACCATATCCCACCTTTCCTGTCACTGTATCCCGCCTTTCCCCACACTGTATCCCACCTTCCCCCAACGCCATATCCCAAATCCACAAACACTGTATCCCACCTTCCACTAACACAATATCCCACCTTCTCCAAGCAGCTGCAGTTTGTCAGCTCGTTTCTTGGCATTACTTTTCTCTCGCTCATATTTACAGTGGAGACCACGGTCATGCCCGGCCAGGACAACGGCAGCACTGAAATGGTACACGACCGTTCTCTGTAGCGCCATCTCATGACTCATCCCAGCAAAACAGCTCTGACATGGCGTCGTCACCTGGGAATGAATCAGAACTGTTTGTAGTGGAGTAAATGTTTCACCATGTAGAACTTTGTAACAATCCTCTGTTGAAAAGTAGATCCTGTTTATACATATCATCAGCCCATTACATTCTGGGTACATTGTATGTTATCACTACAGCATGAAGACTTACATAGGCATAGACGTTGAACTTTCTGATGAGATAATCCACACAGTGACAGACAATGTTGAGAGTTGCGAAGACACAAGATCTTGAGAACTCTGTACTCGTGTGGTCAGCTGTGGATAAGCATGGCAGACGGGCACTGACGGCTATCACGGGCGACCCTGGAGACATAAAGGATGATAAAGTGAGACAGTCTTTCTTTCGGATATCGTTCGGTTTAACACAAATACTCTTGTATACAAACAGTCTTTTTGTGAAAGATAACATGCATAATTTAATGAAAACGCCTCCAAAGTTTTTCGGCATTCACATTTGATGTTAGATTACAGGAATATTATTGTGACAGAAAATGAGATCAACACAAAGCATATCATCATTTTTAAACACTATTTCTGCCTTTGAAACATGATAATTATCTTTTTCAAGATACAACACTAATTTCTGGTGTGTGTGTTCTCTGATATTCCAGTAAAGGGGTTATTGGGTTGGATTGTTTTTCAAATATCAACTTGAACTCAAATATTGTCAATCTGATTTTGTGTCTGCTTTGCTGGTTTTAATAAAAATAGATTTAAACAGTTTATGGTGATTAACCAGGATGTTTCTGAAAGATTCTAATGAGTCCCTGAGAGAGCCTACCATCTAGATCAGTGCCGTCATTGGTCTGTAACTCCAGAAGCACCAACACTGGTCCTTGCTGGAAGAGGGCACCGGTCCTCCACAGCAGAGTCGGGGGAAACACCTTCATACATTGTCTGAAACATACCAGTCGACACAGTTTGTGTATACAACACGGATAAACACCACCAGGTGTCACTAGTATATATAGTTCTGGGTAAGACACCATCAGGTGTATCTAGTATATATAGTTCGGGGTAAGACACCACTAGGTGTCACTAGTATATATAGTTCTGGGTAAGACACCATAAGGTGTCACTAGCATATATAGTTCTGGGTAAGACACCACCAGGTGTATCTAGTACTGTAAACGTACTTATTTTCGCGTGGTGCAATTTTCGCGGAATTGACAGTTTAGACTACATTGCGCGGTCAATTATTCGCGCAATCAGTAATTGCCGGAACTGCCAGCTGTCTCTTTTGCCGCCACTAATAGCAGTGAAAACAAACAGAGTGGCTTAACCTGTCAGGCGGCGTTTATTGCTTACTCACAGGAAATCCCTATCTGTGCGATATACTAGTACACAGTAACCCGTTTACTCCCGGAAGAGATGAAAAACACATCAGTCTTATGTTCCGAATTCTGACGATCTGACGAATTAATTTATACTGTATATGAAGCTTTTTGTGATTTCAAACAAGCCGGGTTGTTGTGAATGAGATGATTGAGTGTTAGTGACTATTCGCTTCATGATGATACGTTTGTATCTAAATGAATAAATAAAATACTGCTGTATTATTTCTTTCCGAGTCGTTTCATGGTAATCTGTTTTGTATCAAACCATCTGTCATGTGACCAATTTCCATGGCGGCCACAACACACATTGCTGTTTTCACTAATTCAGTGATGGGATTTGGCTCATTATTTAATTATGTTTTGGGAAATCCATTACAGTGACAGTTAAGTATGATTGTTTATGCTACTATCAGTCGTCATTTTAAGATTCCCGTAGATTTCTGTCTTCAAACTTGATGTGTTATGGTTTATTCGCGGTGTATAAATTTTCGCGCTAAAATGTTTTGAGCGAAAATCGCGCAAAAATAAAACCTGCGCGAAATATACTACGTTTACAGTATATATAGTTCGGGGTAAGACACCACCAGGTGTATCCAGTATATATAGTTCTGGGTAAGACACCACTAGGTGTCACTAGCATATATAGTTCTTGGTAAGACACCATCAGGTGTATCTAGTATATATAGTTCTGGGTAAGACACCATCAGGTGTATCTAGTATATATAGTTCTGGGTAAGACACCACCAGGTGTATCTAGTATATATAGTTCGGGGTAAGACACCATCAGGTGTATCTAGTATATATAGTTCTGGGTAAGACACCACTAGGTGTCACTAGCATATATAGTTCTGGGTAAGACACCATCAGGTGTATCTAGTATACATAGTTCCGGGTAAGACACCATCAGGTGTATCTAGTATATATAGTTCTGGGTAAGACACCACTAGGTGTCACTAGTATATATAGTTCTGGGTAAGACACCACCAGGTGTATCTAGTATATATAGTTCGGGGTAAGACACCATCAGGTGTCACTAGCATATATAGTTCTGGGTAAGACACCACCAGGTGTATCTAGTATATATAGTTCGGGGTAAGACACCATCAGGTGTCACTAGTATATAAAGTGCTGGGTAAGACACCACTAGGTGTCACTAGTATATATAGTTCTGGGTAAGACACCATCAGGTGTCACTAGTATATATAGTTCTGGATAAAACACCATCAAGTGTCACTAGTATATATAGTTCTGGGTAAGACACCACTAGGTGTCACTAGTATATACATATGGTAAAACACCATCAGGTGTCACAAGTATATAGTTCATGGTAAGACACCACCTGGTGTCACTAGTATATACATATGGTAAAACACCATCAGGTGTCACAAGTATATAGTTAATGGTAAGACACCACCAGGTGTCACTAGTATATACATATGGTAAAACACCATCAGGTGTCACTAAAATATAGTTCCGGGTAAGACACCACCAGGTGTCACTTGTATATAGTTCAGGGCAAGACACCACCAGGTGTCACTAATATATAGTTCAGGGTAAGACACCACCAGGTGTCACTAGTATATACATATGGTAAAACACCATCAGGTGTCACTAAAATATAGTTCCGGGTAAGACACCACTGGGTGTCACTTGTATATAGTTCAGGGCAAGACACCACTGGGTGTCACTAATATATAGTTCAGGGTAAGACACCAACAGGTGTCACTCATATATAGTTCAGGGTAAAACACCACCAGGTGTCACTAGTATATAGTTCAGGATGAGACCACCAGGTGTCACTAGTATATAGTTCAGGATAAGACACCACCAGGTGTCACTAGTATATAGTTCAGGATGAGACCACCAGGTGTCACTAGTATATAGTTCTGGTAAAACACCACAGGTGTCACTAGTATAGTTCAGTGTAAGACACCACCAGGTGTCACTAGTATATAGTTTGGAGTAAGACATCACCAGGTGTCACTAGTATATAGTTCAGTGTAAGACAATACCAGGTGTCGCTAGTATATAGTTTGGAGTAAGACATCACCAGGTGTCACTAGTATATAGTTTAGGGTAAGACACCATCAGGTGTCAATAGCATATAGTTCATGGTAAGACACCACCAAGTGTCATATATAGTTCAAGATGATATAGTTCTCTATAGGTTTTCTAACGATATAAAATCCTTAAATGCAAATGGGATGACATCACTTGACATATTGCTTATTATTCACCTCATCAAGACTGGGAAGAAGGATTGCGGAATGCCAGGCAGGAATGTGTAGAACTTCTGGCCCTGAAGTGTACTGTACGGGCAGACGTCCTCCCAGAGGTGCGACTGTAATAACATCATGACAGCCAATCTCTTACAATCATTTGTGTAAGTGTTAGAAACCAATAAAAACCTTTGTCAGTCAATAGCGGAAGAAGACAATCACATGTAGTCCTGGCTGAAGAAATATCTTGCTTTCTGTCACATTTAGTAACTTCAATAATGCATGTTCAATATATACACATGAATAATGCATGGTCCCTGTTATAGACAAATATTCCCCAAATAGACATATGAATACTGCATCCACAATATATAACTGAGTATCTGCTCCAGTAGTGAAACTGTTCCTTTGTACTATATTTCTCTTCAGGATTTACTCTCATGGAACTCGACTTTGTCCATTATATATTTACACTGGCAATATTTGTTGTGAACAGACCTTCCATGGAGAACTGATAATTGTTGACAAATACATATGATGATCCTAAACAAAATGTGTCCACTCACCAGCTCCACAGCAGGGAGTGAGGGTAGATGAGCTGTCAGGACGTAGCACTGTGTAGAGTTGTCGGTGGTACGGAAAGGCAGCAGGAGGCCCAGCTCAATCAGGAGGTGATGCAAGCCTTCTGCCTGAACACAAACACTGGGTTCACACTGTCATAAAGTAATGTGGTCAGATTGAAAACTCCCAGTATCAGAGACTCACCTGACTTGGACTGACCAAGGACTTCAGGTATTGGAAACTCACCTTAGTAGGATGGACACAGGACTTCAGGTATCAGAGACTTACCTGAGTTGGATGGACAAAAGTCTCTTGGTATCAGAGACTTACCTTAGTAGGATGGACAAAAGACTTCAAGTATCAGAGACTCACCTTAGTAGGATGGACATAGGACTTCAGGTATCAGAGACTTACCTGAGTAGGATGGACATAGGACTTCAGGTATCAGAGACTCACCTTAGTAGGATGGACAAAAGACTTCAGGTATTGGAGACTTACCTGAGTAGGATGGACATAGGACTTCAGATATCAGAGACTTACCTGAGTTGGATGGACAAAAGTCTCTTGGTATCAGAGACTCACCTTAGTAGGATGGACAAAAGACTTCAAGTATCAGAGACTTACCTGAGTAGGATGGACATAGGACTTCAGATATCAGAGACTTACCTGAGTTGGATGGACAAAAGTCTCTTGGTATCAGAGACTCACCTTAGTAGGATGGACAAAAGACTTCAAGTATCAGAGACTTACCTGAGTAGGATGGACATAGGACTTCAGATATCAGAGACTTACCTGAGTTGGATGGACAAAAGTCTCTTGGTATCAGAGACTTACCTTAGTAGGATGGACAAAAGACTTCAAGTATCAGAGACTTACCTGAGTAGGATGGACATAGGACTTCAGGTATCAGAGACTTACCTGAGTAGGATGGACATAGGACTTCAGATATCAGAGACTTACCTGAGTTGGATGGACAAAAGTCTCTTGGTATCAGAGACTTACCTTAGTAGGATGGACAAAAGACTTCAAGTATCAGAGACTTACCTGAGTAGGATGGACATAGGACTTCAGGTATCAGAGACTTACCTGAGTTGGATGGACAAAAGTCTCTTGGTATCAGAGACTTACCTTAGTAGGATGGACAAAAGACTTCAAGTATCAGAGACTTACCTGAGTAGGATGGACATAGGACTTCAGGTATCAGAGACTCACCTGAGTAGCATGGACATAGGACTCCAGATATCAGAGACTCACCTGAATAGGATGGACAAAGGACTCCAGAAATGTATTGAGCTGACTCGGTCCCCAGGCTGGAATATCTGAACCCAAACATTTAATGCTGGTCTTCTGTGGTGGCTTGCTCATCAGGAACTTCTGCAGGATTTCCCCAAATTGAGGTAGGTCTGTAACACAGGGGCTGTCCTTCACATGGGGGAAGTACAGCGCAAATCCCTGCAGTATCCAAACACAAGTGTCAATGGCGTGGGTTTATGGTGTACTTGGTATTATTTTTATCAAAAGTCATTTAAGTTGGTCTACTTTATTATGTTATTTTTTGGACTGCTGGGTGAACAACAGGATATTTTGAGCAAAGTCACTTGCCTAAGGTGACACCACAGTATGGGGTAGGACTAATGCTGACATACTCCAGAGTCAAGCAACCAATATTTGTTAACTTCATCCTATGTGTGACCTGTAAACTGGACCACATGCCACCATGCCAGAAGGACTATCGGGCAGTTGTTTACTGTAATGTCTCACCATGGTATTCTGCAACTGCAACAGCTTCCCAATGTGCTGGAAACTGTTGCGAGGATTAAGTGATCGCTTTGTGTCTTCGGCAACATTGTAGAACACCTTCTCCAGATTCCAGTAGGTTCGAGGACGTATTTCCGTCAGCGCATCCAATGCTCCCTTTGAATATTTGTTGAAGATCCATGGAAATTGCACGATCATGGAGGTCACAGACTTGTAGAATGAGTCACTGATAGATGATGTATCTCGGGTGGTCTTACTCTGAAAGAAATGAGTGAGTATTTTCATTGCTAATGTTAGTATTATCATAGAGAGCAATATAAAGATTTATATCACAATTGTCATTACGGGTCTGAATAGTGTTTAGATGGTAGTCATTAATGTTTGTGTGAACAATGAGTTGTGAGGAAAGCAGCATTAATCCTGTTGTGTCATAGTTCGGCAGTGGTCAGTCCAAAGTGGTGATGCCAAAGACATCAACAGTACTCACCATGGACTGTTTCAGGGGATCAGTACTTATCATGGACAGTGTTGTCGGGCAGACAGTGTGGTCAGGTCAGCACTCACCACAGACAGTGTAGTCAGGTCAGCACTCACCACAGACAGTGTAGTCAGGTCAGCACTCACCACAGACAGTGTGGTCAGGTCAGACAGTGTGGTCAGGTCAGCACTCACCACAGACAGTGTGGTCAGGTCAATACTCACCACAGACAGTGTGGTCAGGTCAATACTCACCACAGACAGTGTGGTCAGGTCAATACTCACCACAGACAGTGTGGTCAGGTCAGCACTCACCACAGACAGTGTGGTCAGGTCAGACAGTGTGGTCAGGTCAATACTCACCACAGACAGTGTGGTCAGGTCAGACAGTGTGGTCAGGTCAATACTCACCACAGACAGTGTGGTCAGGTCAGACAGTGTGGTCAGGTCAATACTCACCACAGAGAGTGTGGTCAGGTCAATACTCACCACAGACAGTGTGGTCAGGTCAGACAGTGTGGTCAGGTCAATACTCACCACAGACAGTGTGGTCAGGTCAGACAGTGTGGTCAGGTCAATACTCACCACAGACAGTGTGGTCAGGTCAATACTCACCACAGACAGTGTGGTCAGGTCAGCACTCACCACAGACAGTGTGGTCAGGTCAATACTCACCACAGACAGTGTGGTCAGGTCAATACTCACCACAGACAGTGTGGTCAGGTCAGACAGTGTGGTCAGGTCAATACTCACCACAGACAGTGTGGTCAGGTCAGACAGTGTGGTCAGGTCAATACTCACCACAGAGAGTGTGGTCAGGTCAATACTCACCACAGACAGTGTGGTCAGGTCAGACAGTGTGGTCAGGTCAATACTCACCACAGACAGTGTGGTCAGGTCAGACAGTGTGGTCAGGTCAATACTCACCACAGACAGTGTGGTCAGGTCAATACTCACCACAGACAGTGTGGTCAGGTCAGCACTCACCACAGACAGTGTGGTCAGGTCAATACTCACCACATACAGTGTGGTCAGGTCAGCACTCACCACAGACAGTGTGGTCAGGTCAATACTCACCACAGACAGTGTGGTCAGGTCAGACAGTGTAGTCAGGTCAGCACTCACCACAGGCAGCATGGTCAGGTCAGCACTCACCACAGACAGTGTGGTCAGGTCAATACTCACCACAGACAGTGTAGTCAAGTCAGCACTCATCACAGACAGTGTGGTCAGGTCTGACAGTGTAGTCAGGTCAGCACTCACCACAGACAGTGTAGTCAGGTCAGCACTCACCACATACAGTGTGGTCAGGTCAGCACTCACCACAGACAGTGTGGTCAGGTCAATACTCACCACAGACAGTGTGGTCAGGTCAATACTCACCACAGACAGTGTGGTCAGGTCAGACAGGGTGGTCAGGTCAGCACTCACCACAGACAGTGTGGTCAGGTCAGCACTCACCACAGACAGTGTAGTCAGGTCAGCACTCACCACAGACAGTGTGGTCAGGTCAATACTCACCACAGACAGTGTGGTCAGGTCAGACAGTGTAGTCAGGTCAGCACTCACCACAGGCAGCATGGTCAGGTCAGCACTCACCACAGACAGTGTGGTCAGGTCAATACTCACCACAGAGAGTGTTGTCAGGAGGTCTTTCTCCAGCAGTTCCTTCAGAGCCTCCTTGTCTGCCTGTCCAGCTGCCATGGCGATCTGTCCCACGAAGTCTGTGCACTCCAGACGCCAAGCACGCCTGTAAATTCATGATCATCATGTAACTAACTTCCACACCATCCACACATTAAATATATCTTAGAAAGTGTATCCTACTGATCAAAGCCTGTTTCTGTGAGAGTGTGACTGATGATAATAATCTATCCAATACAGTAAGGCCAACCAGTGTTATTCAACTTCCTATTTTACCATCTTAGTGTCCATCAAACTCATCTATTGTATACACTCACCTCTAATCACAACCAATCACTCTGTACATCAACCGATTCTGTACAAATCAGTAATAAGTAATCCAATGAACATCAACCTTGTCAATTGTATATCCCGTATATATATGCAGCTATGTATATATTCTCTTTGTTTCAACTCTTTGTATCACTTCCTTGATATCGGTGTTATCACCGAAACGTCTCACTCATTGCAATAAAGAAATTGACTTCCATAGAACTTTTCCTTCATCTTTACAACTTCTCAAATGCCTCTCAAACAAGGCAGTGTTATTTCCATTCTATTCATCACTATGTACTCCAGTACAACGTCCAGCACAGTTCACTGGGCTCTGTACTTGGAGCTCATGCTCCACCATCTCATCCAGTCTCTGACTCTTGGAGCCCCCGATCACTCCCAGACAGATACAACCTTCTTGATAGCATGGCTACCCAACATGGTGCTGCTTACACAGGAGAAAAGTGGGGCAAAGGGGCTTAATCGATAGCACTTCCACTAAATGGAAACTTTCTTGTGCCTTTCCCTCTTCCAAAATTAGGGCAGTGAGGTAGCTCACTTGTGGTAGATGTGTTCATAGTGACACATCGCTGCTACCTTCCAATTCCTTACTCACTAACTCTACTCACTCTGTTAGAAAATCCAGCTGACTGTAGATCGCCCCCTTCCAGTTCTGTAGCCTCTCTTTCACATTATTCAAGATGTCTTCCGCTGACCCGACTGCCTCTCCAGACTGTACGGCCAACAATTTCACCACGACGTCACGACACTGGAGCCAAACAACATCACAATGTGAGTGAGTGAGTGAGTGAGTGAGTGAGTGAGTGAGTGAGTGAGTGAGTGAGTGAGTGAGTGAGTGAGTGAGTGAGTGAGTGAGTGAGTGAGTGAGGACTGGGGGTTCTCACCTTGGACAGTGCAGCTGCTACTCTGCGTGCTAGATGGAGGTGGAGGGCTGCAGGGTCGGCCTGTGTGGGTGTGTAGGCCACCACCATGATGCAGCCAGGACTGAGCAGTGAGTCCACCAGGGGCTGAAAAAGGGGCCACATCAAATATATCAGACATAGAGTCACAGTTCATATAACAAATGTTTTATCGAGTTTTCTTTCATGGTGTACGGATGTTGTTGGGAAAATACTAGTCAGTAACTGGGGGAGTTGTAACCTTCTATGTTGTAGTATATCCTGTTGCAACCTACAGTCTTGTAGTTTATCCTGTTGTTATCTACTGTCTTGTACTTCAACCTATTGTTATCTACTGTCTTGTACTTCAACCTGTTGTTATCTACTGTCTTGTACTTCAACCTATTGTTATCTACTGTCTTGTACTTCAACCTATTGTTATCTACTGTCTTGTACTTCAACCTATTGATATCTACTGTCTTGTACTTCAACCTATTGTTATCTACTGTCTTGTACTTCAACCTATTGTTATCTACTGTCTTGTACTTCAACCTATTGTTATCTACTGTCTTGTACTTCAACCTATTGTTATCTACTGTCTTGTACTTCAACCTATTGTTATCTACTGTCTTGTACTTCAACCTATTGTGATCTACTGTCTTGTACTTCAACCTGTTGTTATCTACTGTCTTGTACTTCAACCTATTGTTATCTACTGTTTTGTACTTCAACCTATTGTGATCTACTGTCTTGTACTTCAACCTATTGTTATCTACTGTCTTGTACTTCAACCTATTGTTATCTACTGTCTTGTACTTCAACCTATTGTGATCTACTGTCTTGTACTTCAACCTATTGTTATCTACTGTCTTGTACTTCAACCTATTGTTATCTACTTTCTTGTACTATAACCTGTTGAACATACTTAAACTGTTTTAAACCTTAAACTTAGACTATGTACAATAGTTCGTGTGGCGAAATACCATGTTAGCATTTGGCAGTTAAAAGGATGAGCATGTTTGAGGTATAGAAAACCCACAGATGTAACTCAGCTTGTGGTGCTGGTGCTGTGCATATATTCAGGGTACCCATAAAGTAGTGCCATAAAGCTTGAACCTGAATATGACCCAACAATATTTTGCAACAGCATCTACAATAACCATTTGCCATTTATGATCCGTGAGAAACTGAAGCTACTGATGTTAAGATCCACTGCAATTGACCTAACCTGGGTATGCTGTCAACAGTTTAAATTATCAACATAAGATGGCCACTTTACTTAAGTTATATAGAAAGTTTGGTGAAGATATTTATATTGTGATGGTGTAACCTTCTCTGACATGAGCATCTTTTTCCAATGACCTTGAGCTCTAACATTGACTATCAGGTAAGATGCAAATGATGAAACACTCACACTATCTGCTGGAACCTCCAGGATGTTGAATTTGCCTTTAAGTTTCCTCCTGGGGTCAGGCAACCAATCCTTCATGTACATTAGCCCAGGGGAAGGCTTCTGATTTGCTGAGCCAGTCAACAGCGATGTCACACTGACATCTATGTCCACATCACGTTGTACCACAATCTTGTAGTTTGGGAGTTTCACATATTCTTCAGAGTCGCTTTCATCTATTCAGTATGGACAAGATTAGTCAAAATCATAACATCAACATTTCAGCTGTATTCAAGTCCTTGTAAACATTCAAAGCTAAAATAATACTACCCAAAAAGGTAACTGCACTTCATGTAAAGTAGTGTTGGGAATTGGTTACAATCTCATAATTGATGATTGCTTTATTACAACCGATCAATCATCGAAAAAAAATTGGTTAGCGTCATTAATGAAATTTGTTAATGCACATAAAAATAAGGAAAAAAACATGTAGTTCTTTTGGGGTTTTTTGGCAAAATTTCACATCTTTAAAGGATGACTAGTATGTCAGGAACATAAATTTCTTGGAGTCTTTAAGATAAATTCAATCATGACTTGAAACGAACTTGTAGTGCTTATGAAATGTAACAGACAAAACCAACCTTGAGAAAAATATTGTTTATGAAAACAAGTGTTCCAGAATTGTTTGTGTTCAATTATGAGAAAACATGATCGATTGCTTGATCGTTTAGTCACTGTGACCAATCTTCGATTATTTCAATTAATCGAACCACCACTAATGTAAAGTGGTGTAAATCTTTGTCCACAATACAACCAAATACTTGGTTACTTGTCTCATCACCTACTCCCACATCTGGTTATAGAGGGCATCACATTCCCCAAAAGAGGGATTGCATAACAACTCATTTAGCCACATAATGTAATTTTCTGATTAAAATTGATATTTTATACTTATCCTGACTCATGCTACTTGCTTGTCTTCTTCTTCTTGCGAACACAGTGGAACACTTGTATCTCCCAATTGAAGTTCCCTTCAATGTAAAATCACTAATTAGTACTCACGCGTTATCTGTCCCCTCAAAAGCGTGGGAACGAGGGCGCCACCTCCTGCCATGTGCCTCACTCTCTCCTCATATAGTGAGCCCAACACTTGAATTTACAGGGAAATCCAAAGTGTTATGTGGGGAGGACGGGAGAGCTTACCTCATGAGTCAGGATAAGTATAAAATATCAATTTTATTCAGAAAATTACATATTTTTCCTTATCCTGACTCATGCTACTTGCTTGTAGAATCCTACGGATATGGAGGTGGGAATACAGAATACTTTGGATTTAGATCATTAGTGATTTGTACTGTAATGACTGTAATAACCCTTATGGGAACTTCATAAAGGCACTGAATTGATGAATTCCTGCTGCTAACTTATCAGCTGCCATATATGGGTTATTACAATATAAATATTATGATAAAAGTATATACAACATGAATACTATGCTTAAGACTAAATAGACTTAAGCTTGACAATATGATAGCATAAACTTCATAGAGTTTGTTAGATAATATACTTTAATGATATAACTATAGAACTGAGTTTAAGATATGATTAAACTTAAGCTAAATATATAATAGCAAAGACTCCGTAGAGTTTGTTAGCTAATATACTTTATGATATAACCATAATACTGAGCTTAAGATATGATTAAACTTAAGCTAAATATATAATAGCAAAGACTCCGTAGAGTTTGTTAGCTAATATACTTTATAATATAACCATAATACTGAGCTTAAGATATGATTAAACTTAAGCTAAATATATAATAGCAAAGACTCCGTAGAGTTTGTTAGCTAATATACTTTATAATATAACCATAATACTGAGCTTAAGATATGATTAAACTTAAGCTATATATATAATAGCAAAAACTCCGTAGAGTTTGTTAGCTAATATATTGTTATGATATAACAACCTTAGTACTGAGCTTAAGATAATAAATGAACTTAAGCAAAATATATATAGCATATAGCTATTTAGTACTGTTATAAGATAAGTAGTAAATCTGTAAGATTGACTTATCTTCTCCGAGGAACTGTCAACTGTTGTGCGAGGACCATGGGACCGAAATGGTGGATACCCGAGACGTCCTTGGTGATATCTCTCAGATAATGGTTGGCAAACACCATATCGGATCTCCAGAAACAACCCTCCATTATGGTATTCAAAGAGCAGTTGCCGTGTAGAGCAAGTGTAGATGCTAGCGTTCTAATTTCATGAGGATTAGATGCTCTTGGAGGGTCGAGTCCTGCAGCCTTGTAGGCACGTAGTATGACAGTTCTCATCCAAATGGAGATAGTAGTACGTGAGACTTCAGTCTGCGTAGCTGTTGATAGAGGAATAAATAATCTCTTGAATTTTTTTCCTCCTCTGTTTGGATCGGTGGAGATATATTTTCAGTGCTCTTACTGGACATAGTGATAGATCCATCGTATCATGAGGTCCAAGTATAGATGAGAGAGCTGGGACGGGAATAACCTGTCTGGTTGACCTGGTAATTGGTTCTTGGCAATAAAATCCCAACATAGTCCCAAATGCACCATGTTATGAATATCATCAAAGCGTGTTCTCTCGTAATCCAATGCGTGAATCTCTGACATCCTGGCAGCCGTAGCTAGAGATAACAGGAACAAAGTTTTCTGAGTCAGAAATTCAAATGATGTAGATTCTAACGGTTCATATGCCTCACTTGTGAGGTGTTGGAGCACTATATTTAGATCCCAAGCTGGAGCGTGAAATCTTCGTTTCTGATCCTCCAATCGGAATGCTCGTAGCAAGGCGAGTAACTCTGGGGTCTTGGTTAGCTTGACACCCGTTCTCATAGTTATAACAGAGCTTAATTCTGCAAGATAAGTGGATAAGGTTGAGCCTTTTAGATTTTTAGTCTGATGTAGATAACCTAAGTAGTCAGCCACTTGAGGATGAGTAGCATATCTAGCTGTAAATGCTTTCTTTGCAGCATAATTGACAAAACTGTGCCATTTGTCATCGTATAAGTTGCGAATGGAGTTACGCAAGGCAAGCGTGACTGCTTTGCCGCTCTGGCTGAATAACCTCTCTTATTTAGACACGCCTTGATACAGTCCATACGTGAAGTTGGAATGTTTCTGGCTTTCCGTGTGTTTGTTTGGTGTGCGGATGTATTAACAGATTTGGGCACTTTGGAAGTTGTAGTATTGGTTGTCCGATTTCTTGTATAAGAGTAGGAACCACGTTCTCACTGGCCAGTAGGGTGCTACCAAAAGAGTTGGAGGCTTTGAGTTAGCTTGATTTGAGTAACACTTGTGGGATTAACGCTGGCGGCGGGAACGCGTACGCATTGAGTCCTTCCCATGATATGCTTAGTGCGTCAGTTGCCCATGCTAGTGGGTCTGGAACTGGCGATACGAATGTTGTCAGTTGATTGTTGAATAGAGTGGCAAATAGGTCTATTAGTGGAGCTCCTATTTCCTTGATAATTTGTGCGAATATCTCTGTATGGAGCATCCATTCTGTAGGCGATGGTAGGTGTGGCCGAGAGAGACCGTCTGCTATCACATTCTTTGCTCCTGGAATGTGACATGCTCTGACATGTATGTTGAGATTGTTGATTAAATCGAACAATTGAAAACAGAGTCAATAGGTTCGGGGACCTGGTTGAGCCTTGTTTGTTCACATAAACGCCACTGTTGAATTGTCTGTGTGAATCATCAACTGAGCATTCTGTAGTAAGTTGCTCCAGTGCATTATGGCGTTTATCACTGCTTGCATCTCTAGCAGATATATGTGTAATTTGCTCTCTTGATTGCTCCATAGCCCTGATGCCGTCCTGTTGGCAAGATGAGCTCCCCAACCTTGTAGTGACACGTCTACGTAGAGATGTGTTTCCGATTCCGGCTCTATTACGGAGACGCCTATGCAAACATTCGATCTCTTGGTCCACCATAGTAGGTGAGGTTTGACGTGATTCGGTAGACTGAACGGTAGAGAGTCCTCGAGATGCGAATTAATGAGGACTTGCAACGGACGTAATTGTAGTCTGCCTCTGACTGTCATGTCTTGAGCTGACGTGAGTAACCCCAACAGGCTCTGCCACTGTCGTAGTGGTAGCGGAGAGAGTAAGGTTTGTGGGATTGATTGTTGGATCTTGATCCATCGGTCCTCCGGTACAAATATACGATTCTGCGCCGTTACAATTCAAATACCTAGAAATTGCAGATCTTACTAGGTTCTAGGTCCGACTTAAGTAGATTTACTAACCATCCTAGTTGATGAAGTTCAACTGTAGTCTGAGACGCTGTGGATCTGGATCCACTTGTATCCCGACGTCGAGGTAAAACGCGCTGCGAAGTCCTTGACGATGTAGGTGAGCAACCAGGGGTGACTGCCATCGTTGAACTTTATGTAAAAAATCGCCTGACTGCCGTGCCCTCGTCCTTACTTGACAGGGGGAGGTCTCTAATCTCATGAAGGCAGCCCAATCATGAAGGTTCAGTTTAACTGGACTGTAATGGAGGCTTTGCTCGTTCACTGATATATTGTTGTCACTTGCAACCTATGTCTTGAACTGTGAACTATGATCGACCTCTGTGTAGGGCGTTGTCCCTCGTGGTCCAATCAGAACAAGGCATTTTGATTCTGTAGTGTACCCGCGCTGTGATGTCACCGGTGTAGCAGGAAAAGGAACCTTGTATAATTTAGTGCCGTCGTTGATATTAGATCAATCGTCGGTCTTGTCCGTAACTTCCCGAAGTTACACGAGTGACCACGTGTTACGAGGGTTAAAGGTAAACGCGCGAATCTTCCGGCGCGAATTACCTCGCCCTGTAATATTAATGCTGGGTAGGTTATTTTCCTGGCTGCTGTGAATGTAACTTCAGTCTTGAAGATAATGCCGTCGTCCTTATATATAGGCTCAATAAAACTTGCAAGTTGTCAGCTTGTAGACTGCATACATCAATGCAGCGTCAAATTTGTAGAATTAATGCTGAACTTGTTGTACATATTTCTTCTCAGGAAATCGTTGACGATTATGTGTTTTACTAGCTGTAACAAGGCTGCTGCTCAATTTCGTTATTGAATTGTCTGCAGAACTGCGTAGTGGTCAACTTGGTGTGACTGTATGGCGCCTTGCATGTAAATAATCGTATCGTAGTCCGGGATTGCATACCTAGCAATATATACGGAAATGGTGATTCCTGTGATGATCTGCGAAACGTCGTTGATGCCCTTGATGTAGGTAGTCGGCCTGAAGATCCTTAATAGGCTCTTCATCTGTAAATAGTACTTCGCGTACCTATATAACGTTCAAGTTAAAAAGTTAAGTACTGCGACATCTCCGTCTTGTGGAAGTCTGTGCGAATACCTACGCCGAGGCTCCGTAATGACATATAGCGCTCTGTTGATAAATAATTACAGCCGACGTTCTCATGCGTTGTAAATAGCCTGTGCGAGTGCCTTCGCGTAGGCTTGTAGACGGCATGTGGCATACAGTTGATAGACAAGTACTGCGATGTCTCTGCTTCGCTGGATTCCATCCAGTATCTAATTTCTGCATCCGAGAATACAAACCCTCTTCTTCTTCTGACGTCTGATCACAGATAATAGAGTGAGGTGGAGTCCTAGATCTATATGAGGATCGACGAGAAGAATGTGGTGAACGGACTGACGAGAGGCTTGTATAGGGAGACCTAGGTGGAGACTTCCTTGGCGAACGCTGGTGGCTTCGTGAAGCTCTCGATGAATCCCTTAAAGATCTTCTGGATGAAGATGACTTGGAGCCACTTAACCTTCGTGGAGTCCTTCGTGAAGGTATCGAGTCAGAGTCCGAATCATTAGATAGGAGCTTGCTTCGCGAACGACCTCTGTGTTCTTCAGGGTCTGAGCTCGGTGAAGCACTCCTCCTCCGTGAAGCCTTTCGCGAATGATGAGGATGTGGGTCCTTCGTGGAGGCGGCCTGGGAGGTCCTTTGCGAAGGCTTGGATACGGGTACGGTTGCCCTTTGAGGAGGCGCGTCTGTGGGCTCTAGGGCCCTACGCGAAGTCATAGCGGGCTCTGGGGCCCTACATGACTGTGAGTGGGGTGGGCTCTGGGGCCCGCGGCTCTGAGGCCTCTGTAAACCGTATCGGTCTTCCATCAGCATCATAATCTAGTTGACCAGGTCGTCTGGGACGGTCTGCGCTGATGTAGACGCTGCCCTCTGTATGGTAGCGACGGGACCCTCAGGTAGAATCTCTGGCGTCAGCGTAGGCATCTCTAGCTGTGTGTTGATCTGCGCTGAGGTGACGGTAGCCGATACTGGTCGCTTCTTATGCCGTACATCTGGAATGATTATCGGTAGATCGTCATCATATAAGGTCAATTCTGAAACAGGAAGAATGTCAGATGAAAAAAATTTTTTTAGTAGTCTTCGTAGGTTTCACTTTTGACGAAGCTGTAGCCCTGGGGGTGCGGAGCGTACGTTGTGACGACGTAGAAGCTCTCCTGGTCTTAGACTGGGACGACGGGATGTCCTGGGATGCAGGTCGCTTCTTGGATATAGCGGACTGCGTCCCACGCTTCTCCCCCGAGGGTAACTCAAGCGGAACACCAGACGGTAGAGGGTCGTCCGCCAACAGTTGACAGGGTATATCTGACTCTGATCTATCAGCCATGACTGAAGTCTGTTTCCGTGATCTATCTGCTGTGTGTCTCAAGACGCAAAATAAATATTTATCAAAATTAGATAATTTTATACAATAATTGCAACGTGAAACAGTAGAGCATGGCGTAGTACAACTAGAGCATATTAAAAGCGGATCAGCAGCAGAGAAACGTCATTTACAAACAGTGCAGATTTTTATTAACGCAATCTACAGAGCAAGCACGGCAAAACCGTGAATAAAACTGTAGAAACACGAATAAATATCAATGCATCATGTATAAGGATACTAGTTACACCTCTATAGAAGATTATAAGAGGTAAACAACTAAATATAAATAAAGGATATAATGTGTAGGGAGACACAGGCGCTCTCACGTCCAGCTCACTGGGCGAAGAAGGAGAGAGTGAGGCACATGGCAGGAGGTGGCGCCCTCGTTCCCGCGCTTTTGAGGGGACAGATAACTCGTGGTGAGTACTAATTAGTGATTTTACATTGAAGGGAACTTCAATTGGGAGATACAAGTGTTCCACTGTGTTCGCAAGAAGAAGAAGACAAGCAAGTAGCATGAGTCAGGATAAGGAAAAATATAATGGGTGTGACAACCATTTACAGACACTAGATGATTGAAAACAGACCCTGGAGGTTGTTGCCAAACTTTCACTGAATTGAACTATTATTATTGACTGGTTTTGGTCCTGTTGGGTGTGTTCCATCAATACGATCTACCCAGAAGAGGTCTGGAGAAAAAGTAGGCATGGCATGTACTTCATACCAACATACTGATGAAACACATGGTTCAAGTTCCACACATTTAGAACATTAATCATGTGACTTTTAAGCATAATTTCCCTTTCTAATGTTTTAAGAACAGTTCACTTGCAGAAATTCTGCTCATAACCTTTGTGTAAAAGAAAATCATGAAACACAGTTTTGGATTAGTAATAAAAACAATGCAAGATGTCTTTATTTTTTCTCATCCTGACTGAAATGTAGTGGTAACTGTGTTCTTCTAAATTAGCATTAGTATATCCACAATGTATTTTTCTTATTGGGCATTTAATAAGCGATACTTTGGCTTAATTATTCAACCTCATTGCAGACAACTGAGGAAAATAAACGAGATTGGAGACAAGGGTTGGTATCACAGTCTTCCAGAAGAAGAGAGTTAGTTGAAACATCTTTCTTCTCAGCCTGTTCCAGTTTCTCCTTCACAGGGTTCATCTCTGGGTAGTAGAAGTATTGACACAGTGATAAAGAAGACTACAAATTATCAAAGGAGATCACCTACAATCTCATCAGATCATGGTAAAACTCTTCAGAGATTGGCCAAGATGAAGAATATCTCCTCACTAGCTTCTCACATCTTCACAAAGTCACCAGCCGGGAAGGATGAGATCTGGGCCCAATAGTTACCAACCACACTATCTCAGACATCTGTTAACCCTTCTACACTTCTGCTTGCAGAGGGAGGGAGCCAATGACCTGTAACAGCGGCAGTGTTGGGTCATAAGGGTAAATGCACGTGCAGTTCATGATAGTTACCTGTGCACTGCACAGTGATAGACCGTTTGGATCATTCACATTGACTACTTCTAGCTGTCATCATGAAAGCTTATTCAGATGATGCTAAACGTTTAATTAGAAATGTGTTGAATTTTTTTTAAAAAGAGAGCAAACGTAGCAAACCGATTTATCAGGTGTCGGATTACATGAAACGTACATAGCTGACCTACATTGATGAACGATGACCTTTATGACCCAACACAGCCGCTGTTACAGGTCACTGGCTCCCTTCCTCTGCAAGCAGTCTGCGGTCTGCTGTTTATTTTGTTGACAGTTAGATAGACAGATTCTTTAATACAAATGCATAAAATCGGTGATTTACAATGTGATTAGGTTGTCTGACAAAACATCCACTTGCACAATTTGAGATCGATTAGGGTCATTGGATGAAGAGATATTTACAAAAAAATGGGTCCACATATATTTCATGCCAAACTATAGTGAATGAACATATTCTCTAGCGGAAACTGATCTTGGAGACACCTACCTTTACTTGCAACACTTTGGTTGACAGAAAACTTGGGGCAGCCAGAGATGATAGCACAGCCATCTATCATCACCTGAGACACCTTTGTTTCACCTGTTGTAGAAGAGAATTGTGACAGCTTGCCCACAGGGCTATCAACATATTTAGGCAGCACACCTTATAAATCTGGCAAATGAACACATTTGGGATTTGTTTTCTCTTGAATTTTCTATTTCATTTGTGCTGGTAATCCTAAAGTGTATGCTTATAATACCCTATATCAACCATCATCATGCATGAAATTTTTAACAAAATGAGATAACAGGAAGTTTGATTCTCCCGGCAAGTATTTTATGCCACTGAATATGGAAGCATTTAGCACTACTACAACTACAACATAGTGTAAGCTTTTAGGAAACATTCGTTTATCCCTCTGTGTTATTGGGAGGCTGGTTTCCTACCTCACCACACAACACTAGGGCAGACAGTACATGGACTCCCTGGATAGCTTCATGCACTGATGGACCCGTGAAGGTCTGGGTTAGAATATTGGTCTTCAGTAACCCGTGCTTGTCGAAAGAGGCGACTGACGGTATTGGGTAGTCAGGCTCGCTGACTTGGTTAACAAGTCATCGGTTCCCAATTGCGCAGATCGATGCTCATGCTGTTGATTACTGGATTGTCTGGTTCAGACTCGATATTTACAGACCGCTGCCATATAGCTAGAAAGTTGCTGAGTGCAGTGTAAAACTCAACCCACTCACTCACTCACTCATGCACTGATGGACATACAGTCACCCATTAGGAAACATGACCTACCACAAACAGTCTGACAAATGCATCTGTACAAGGACAACACTGCCAGATAGCCATGAAGGTAACAGGCTTTGCGTTTATCTTAGAATATTGTGAAGTGACAGTAATGTTCTCACATAGTTTTGATGGCAGCTTGGAAACTCCAGTACCAACTATTCCCAGGTTGAGTAGCTTGCGACACGTCTTGGCTAACATATGGATCCCTTTCTCTGTTATTTTAGGACATCCGTGAAGCTCTGCCTAAAACATACATATCTCAATCTTTGCCTGCTCATGTCTATGCCTACAAACATATAGATCCCTTTCACTGTTATTTTAGGACATCCGTGAAGCTCTGCCTAAAAACATACATATCTCAATCTTTGCCTGCTCATGTCTTTGCCTACAAACATATAGATCCCTTTCTCTGTTATTTTAGAACATCTGTGAAGCTCTGCCTAAAATCATACACATCTCAATCTCCAAACATATAGAGCACTTTCTCCATTATGTAAGGGCATCCGTGAAGCTATTTCTATCAACATAGAGATTTGTTTCTCTGTTGGATGTGAATAAATACAATACAGAACTGATTTTGCAAGTTGCAATTTATAGACTATGAATAATTTGGATTACATAGAGCCATGAAGGAACCAGTCCACTCATGGTGGAATCTACTACAGGATCTGAATGTAGAGAAGGCAGAGAGACGATCACCGATGGTTGGGAAACATGAACAACAGGAACATACAATAAATGGAATACAACCGTAAGCATGCTAGCATTGTACAAGACTGAACATAATTCTTTTGAATAACAAAAACATTTTGCCTCAGGGGTGGAAATAACCCATTGCCCGACGCCCGAGACCAGTGTTTTTTTCTGTCGGGCAAGCAAATTTGTATATCACACTGTACCCGTGTCCAGTTGATATTCCAATGTTAATTATATTGTTTATTTAAAAAATCAACAAGAAAATGGCCAGTATAGTGGAAAAATTATCAGGGCAAGTGATTTTACATGTGCCAGCAATTTTAAAGTTATTTCCACCCCTGTACCTGTTAGTGAACAAGTTATTCAGAGTCTGAGATTTGTTGTAAATCAAAATCAATGCTGTATCCAGGAACATCATACATATATCACGCTTAGATGCATGTGTGTTTTTTTATGAGGCCAATCGTAGCCAAGGTGTTATCTGGATCCTGAACAGTAAAACAAGACATTTACATTTACAGAGAATATAGTTTCTGTCTGTACCATGATAACAATAGACACAAGTTTCAGAAAAAATGTCAATGCAATCCCGGATGGGACTCAACCCAACAAAAGTACTAGAATCTGTACTTTACTAAGAAAGTGTAATCCCAAATATAACATATGTTACATTTGACCACTTTCTAAATGGCATTGTGTATTTCAATGGAATCCTGATTTACAATTTTTTTAGTAATATTACCATATCATATCCTGCAAGTGACATACATCTACCTCACTCAAAGTCTGCACTTACCCCTAATAATTTTGGAAAGAGCCCTGCTGCCCATGTCAACCCCTGGTCAGTGAGATGAACACACCCTACAAGAAAAGGCATGCTCTCATAGTTAGCAGAGGCATTGTTCATTCAGAGGGAGGACATGAGTTATATCACTGTGTCAGGTTCATATAGGAGGGAAGTCTCTAGGTGAATGAGTCCTTGATGTTTCCAACTTCAGAAAACTCATGAGCACAGGAATGGTGCTGACAAACAGTCCTTGTGACATTATTTCACATCATATTTCATATGATATTAGTTATTGTCACACCAGTTATTAAACACACATAACATGAAAACATATAATAACACATAACTAAATAATTTGGGCTATAATCCCAACACAAATATAAATTACTTGCCAATATGTGTTTAACTTCCAAATACAATTGATCCTGAATCTCATTAAAATGAGATGTTTTACCCTGACACTGTTCCTTCCTGCTTGAACGTGAGAGGATACCTGAGAAGTTTATATACTAAGAAGCCAAATGATGTCATGGCCTGTAGACTCTCAGTACGAATGAGGTGTGAGTGAGATGTGTATATCTAATTTCTCTATACATGAAATGAGCTGAAACAAAGAGAATGGAGAGTACTGGAGAGTACTGGAGACTGTTCATATCCTGTATCACCATGGCGTCTTCACCTAACAGGAAGTGCTATGACAAAAATATCTGTGTTTCATTTGGTTTTCTTTTCTACAAGTGAACATGTCTGACCCTGGGTGGAAATGATGACTTTGTTTATTCTACAAACTAATTTAGGTTTTGGTCACCTCTCCAATAAAGATTGGTCGGCTCCCTGGCTTGGTTGACACATGTCATCGTATCCAAATTGTGCAAGTTGATGTTCAAGATGTTAATCACTGGATTGTCTGTTCCAAACTCGATTATTTACAGACCGTCGTCATATAGCTGGAATAATGCTGAGAGCGGCGTTTAACAATAATCAATCAAACAAAGAGAACGATAAAGTGTTCATAGACTCACCATTTGCAATGAACTTCTGCATGGAAGGGAAAGTGGATCTTGTAGATTTGAACAAGAGGAAAAGACTGTCTGTTAGTTGTTCTATGCCAGTGAAGTCAAGGGATACCAGGTCCGACGTCACTGCTTCGTTGCGTATCGAGTCCTACACAAACATATATTTGGGACTAGATGGACCACAAGTTCCAAAGGAGGTCACCAGTACACTGAGGAAGGTTTTTGTAAATGAGATAAACAGATGAAGAACCTCATAACTAATTTATTAATGTATTGTAATCAGGAGGGAGGAACTAGAGTCACCGACACGGCAGGCAGAGGGAGGAACTAGACTTACCAACACAGCAGACAGAGGGAGGAACTAGACTCACCGACACAGCAGGCAGAGGGAGGAACTAGACTCACCGACACAGCAGGCAGAGGGAGGAACTAGAGTCACCCACACAGCAGGCAGAGGGAGGAACTAGACTTACCGACACAGCAGGCAGAGTGAGGAACTAGAGTCACTGACACAGCAGGCAGAGGGAGTAACTAGACTTACCAACACAGCAGGCAGAGGGAGGAACTCGACTCACCGACACAGCAGGCAGAGGGAGGAACTAGACTTACCGACACAGCAGGCAGAGGGAGGAACTAGACTCACCGACACAGCAGGCAGAGTGAGGAACTAGACTCACTGACACAGCAGGCAGAGTGAGGAACTAGACTCACCGACACAACAGGCAGAGGGAGGAACTAGAGTCACCGACACAGCAGGCAGAGGGAGGAACTAGACTCACCAACACAGCAGGCAGAGGGAGGAACTAGACTCACCGACACAGCAGGCAGAGGGAGGAACTAGAGTCACTGACACAACAGGCAGAGGGAGGAACTAGACTCACTGACACAGCAGGCAGAGGGAGGAACTAGACTTACCGACACAGCAGGCAGAGGGAGGAACTAGACTCACCGACACAGCAGGCAGAGGGAGGAACTAGAGTCACTGACACAACAGGCAGAAGGAGGAACTATACTCACCAACACAGCAGGCAGAGGGAGGGACTCACCAACACAGCAGGCAGAGGGAGGAACTAGACTTACCGACACAGCAGGCAGAGGGAGGAACTAGACTCACCAACACAGCAGGCAGAGGGAGGAACTAGACTCACCGACACAGCAGGCAGAGGGAGGAACTAGACTCACCGACACAGCAGGCAGAGGGAGGAACTAGACTCACCGACACAGCAGGCAGAGGGAGGAACTAGACTCACCAACACAGCAGGCAGAGGGAGGAACTAGACTCACCAACACAGCAGGCAGAGGGAGGAACTAGACTCACCAACACAGCAGGCAGAGGGAGGAACTAGACTCACCAACACAGCAGGCAGAGGGAGGAACTAGACTCACCGACACAGCAGGCAGAGGGAGGAACTAGACTCACCGACACAGCAGGCAGAGGGAGGAACTAGACTCACCAACACAGCAGGCAGAGGGAGGAACTAGACTTACCGACACAGCAGGCAGAGGGAGAAACTAGACTCACCAAAACAGCAGGCAGAGGGAGGAACTAGACTCACCGACACAGCAGGCAGAGGGAGGAACTAGACTCACCGACACAGCAGGCAGAGGGAGGAACTAGAGTCACCAACACAGCAGGCAGAGGGAGGAACTAGACTCACCAACACAGCAGGCAGAGGGAGGAACTAGACTCACCAACACAGCAGGCAGAGGGAGGAACTAGACTTACCAACACAGCAGGCAGAGGGAGGAACTAGACTCACCAACACAGCAGGCAGAGGGAGGAACTAGACTTACCAACACAGCAGGCAGAGTGAGGAACTAGAGTCACTGACACAACAGGCAGAGGGAGGAACTAGACTCACCGACACAGCAGGCAGAGTGAGGAACTAGAGTCACTGACACAGCAGGCAGAGTGAGGAACTAGAGTCACTGACACAGCAGGCAGAGGGAGGAACTAGACTCACCGACACAGCAGGCAGAGGGAGGAACTAGAGTCACCAACACAGCAGGCAGAGGGAGGAACTAGACTCACCAACACAGCAGGCAGAGGGAGGAACTAGAGTCACCGACACAGCAGGCAGAGGGAGGAACTAGACTCACCAACACAGCAAGCAGAGGGAGGAACTAGACTTACCGACACAGCAGGCAGAGTGAGGAACTAGACTCACCAACACAGCAGGCAGAGGGAGGAACTAGACTCACCAACACAGCAGGCAGAGTGAGGAACTAAACTCACCGACACAGCAGGCAGAGGGAGGAACTAGAGTCACTGACACAGCAGGCAGAGGGAGGAACTAGAGTCACCGACACAGCAGGCAGAGGGAGGAACTAGACTCACCAACACAGCAGGCAGAGGGAGGAACTAGACTCACCAACACAGCAGGCAGAGGGAGGAACTAGACTCACCGACACAGCAGGCAGAGTGAGGAACTAGACTTACCAACACAGCAGGCAGAGGGAGGAACTAGAGTCACCGACACAGCAGGCAGAGGGAGGAACTAGACTCACCGACACAGCAGGCAGAGGGAGGAACTAGACTCACTGACACAGCAGGCAGAGGGAGGAACTAGACTCACTGACACAGCAGGCAGAGGGAGGAACTAGACTTACCAACACAGCAGGCAGAGGGAGGAACTAGAGTCACCGACACAGCAGGCAGAGGGAGGAACTAGACTCACCGACACAGCAGGCAGAGGGAGGAACTAGACTCACTGACACAGCAGGCAGAGGGAGGAACTAGACTTACCGACACAGCAGGCAGAGGGAGGAACTAGACTCACCAACACAGCAGGCAGAGGGAGGAACTAGACTCACTGACACAGCAGGCAGAGGGAGGAACTAGACTCACCGACACAGCAGGCAGAGTGAGGAACTAGACTTACCAACACAGCAGGCAGAGGGAGGAACTAGAGTCACCGACACAGCAGGCAGAGGGAGGAACTAGACTCACCGACACAGCAGGCAGAGGGAGGAACTAGACTCACTGACACAGCAGGCAGAGGGAGGAACTAGACTCACCGACACAGCAGGCAGAGGGAGGAACTAGACTCACCGACACAGCAGGCAGAGGGAGGAACTAGACTCACCGACACACAGCAGGCAGAGGGAGGAACTAGACTCACCGACACAGCAGGCAGAGGGAGGAACTAGACTCACCCCACACAGCAGGCAGAGGGAGGAACTAGACTTACCGACACAGCAGGCAGAGTGAGGAACTAGACTTACCGACACAGCAGGCAGAGTGAGGAACTAGACTCACCGACACAGCAGGCAGAGGGAGGAACTAGACTTACCGACACAGCAGGCAGAGGGAGGAACTAGACTCACCGACACAGCAGGCAGAGTGAGGAACTAGACTTACCGACACAGCAGGCAGAGTGAGGAACTAGACTCACCGACACAGCAGGCAGAGGGAGGAACTAGACTTACCGACACAGCAGGCAGAGTGAGGAACTAGACTTACCGACACAGCAGGCAGAGGGAGGAACTAGAGTCACCGACACAGCAGGCAGAGGGAGGAACTCGACTCACCAACACAGCAGACAGAGGGAGGAACTCGACTCAACGACACAGCAGACAGAGGGATTATCTAGACTCACCGACACAGCAGGCAGGGGGAGGAAGTCCATGTTCCAATCATAGTCACGCAGGATGTCTCGCCGTCCCAGTTTAACTACATCAGTGAGCAGATACATGTATGAAACACTCCTTGTGTGTTTATTGTTAATTCATTCCTTGCTTCAGTATTCAAGCATTATTACAGTTGTCTGAAAAGATTACAGTTAGTTTTATGCATTTGTACTTGCAGTCATTGATACATGCATGTATTTAGGTGTTGGTGACAAAAATAGAACTTGCCAAGATAATGTTTTCATCTTTGCCAAGTAGAGGAAAGAGCCCAACTGGAGTATTTCCTGTAGCATAACATTTCCTTATTCTCACCTGGATTGAACTGGGCCTTCCTGTTGACACTCTTGAGGCGCCTCTTCTGTGCCAAAAGTTGATCAGATGTGAACAGCTGAGGCTGAACATCAGACTTGGTTACTCCTAGTTCCTTCTTCTTGTCCAGGGCTATCAATAGGTTGCTACTCTCATCCAAAAACTTACTCTTGTCCACAGCTTCAGTATATATGCTCTCATCCATATTGTTAAGGTTTTTGCCTAAAGACATAGCCTCTGTCTCTTCTTGCAAACGCATTTTCGCTGTTGATTTAGAGATTGCTTTCCTCTTTTGAAATCCACCCTTTCCCATCTTTGACTTAGATGCCTGTGTGTCTACAGGTGCTGCCACTGTAGATTCATCAGAACCAAATTTAAATGCTGATTCAGTTTGAGGACCTTCTTGGGTGGCTGTTTTAGTCCTGGAGCCTGGCACTAATTCCGGTTGACTGCTGAATGAAAACAGTCCTGTTTCTGAAGAACTGTCTGGCAGCATGGGTGGAGGTGCTACAGGTGGGGGAAGGGGGCCTGAGGACTGTGCAGGTGGGGGTGGATTTGAACTTTGACCTGGGGAGAAGGTGGTCTTGGTGGGGGTGGGGTGGGGTGGGGTGGTGGTTTGGTGGATGAAGACTGCCTTGCAGGGACAGAAGGTTTGGCTTCTGGAGGCTGACTTTCAGGGGCAAGGGAGGTATTCTGCTTGGCTGATAATGGACGTGATGACTTGGAACCAGAAGGAGCACTAGTCATTGTTCCAGAACCTGGGCGTGACCGTGATCCAGATGAAGGTCTTGAAGGAGATTTTGGATCCATGATCACAAATACGTTCTCTCTTCAGTTTCAGACTTCGTGAATATATCTTCTGTGCTGGAATTCATTCATTTCTCACAATTCTAAATAAGAAAAGAAAACTAAATTAGTGAAGTAGTTAATTCTATACACTAAACAAAAGTACTTGGTTTCTGGTTCAATGGCAGGTACAATCAAACTGTTGATGAAAGTTACATGCACCAAGTGAGGAGAGTTTATCTGGTACAGGCTTTGCATTATCTTTTTCTGTTAATGGCACACTTAACAATATTCGAGTTATATGAAGGCTCACTGTAAATAAACAATTTTTATCATTTTTCTTTAGATTCTGGCATGAACATGACACATATATCTGTATCAGATTGCTAAAAGTCATATCACTGTTTTTGATTCGCAGACCTTGAAGAACTGGCCCTAATTATAAGCATGAATGGATGTTGCTGAAGTACATTGAGTCAACACAATGGATATTTTCTTCTATTTTCAGTTAAGTGTTTGCCGTGTCAACATTTAAATTGTGGTCTGAAAACAGGTGAGGCTGGAAATAGTTCTATTGGTGATGTTTTAATAGTATGATGGCTGGGGATGGGGTTCACAGGAAGACAACCTGGTGCAGTGGATTCCATGATTTCTGAAATATATGTTTAATCTATTGGCATCTGGTCTTTTTGAATGTCAGTTAAAAGTGATATACATAAGGAGACAGTTTTATGGATGTCAGCTTCTTTGTTATAAGGAACACAACATTCACCTGATGAAGGAGTAAGTATATAATCCGAAATGCTGTGTTCCTCATAATAACCTGAAGTTGTTGAAATATCAAACTTTCTCCTGGGTTTATAGTGTGGAGCTGGCAAGTATATTTGCACCTTTAGAATACAGCACCACAATTTCTCGTTAGGACGATCTCTGCCGTAGGTCACGTGTCATTAAGACAAGCAACCAGTTTGTGAGAACCCGTCGGACGCGAACCCGCGACCTTCGGATTGTTAGCTCGACAGCTAACCGACTGAGCTACGTCCACACTGTTGCACAATGTGCAAATTTATCGACTCATTCCTGTGACATCATGGAAATGAACGGAAAGAGTCGAATAGGTCACGGACAATTACGAAGGTTACGGGTAGACTTGGTGTCTCATGATTTAATCTACTGACAATTGCTGAATGGATCCGATGCCATTTGGGCACACTCATCCCATTACGTAATCTGCAAGATAACGTGTGGTGTGGAATGAGCCAATATGCCTCAAACTGAAAAGGGTTGTTGACGTCAGGCGTCAGACGTAGATTTCACGGTGCATGCATGAATGATGCGCTTTTATATAAATCGGTGATTTTGTGACAGAAAAGTGATGTAGGGAACACTGTAAGGATAATGTGGATCGCACTAAGGAACGAGGGAGACATGAGCATGTGTAGTGACGGGTGAGTTAGCCTTCGAATCATTACTGAACCAAATTTATGTTACGTGTGAAAGAGGCTTGAGTGTAAATTCCAGGCCAATTTCCATTAGCCCAAAATTTCTACATTAAACCATATCATAGCGTACTTTTGACGTTTTTGGTTTCCTGTTTTTGTGTGAAAAAAAAAGTATTACAATGCAAAAAGGAAAAACAACAAATGGTACTCACACTGGACATGTACCTACTATATTGGATTAGGTCCCTAGCCCTAACCCCTAACCCTAAACCCTTGAAATAATCCTAATAAATAGAATGCATTGACCGAACCGGCAGTATTAAAATGCAAAAGGAAAAACAACAAATGGTACTCACGTATTACATCGGACATGTACCTACTATATTAGATTAGGTCCCTAACCCTAACCCTAAACCCTCAGCCTAACCCTAACGTACCTGACCGAACAGGCACAAACATGACTGACGTGTCCAGTGTAATGCATTATTACCGCTTCGAAAAATAAAATACTAATATAAAACTTTTCTACGTAATGGTGCAAATTACTGAATGAAAAATATATATATGTTTGTCAGTTTGCATTGGTAAATAATTTAGACTTAATAGTTACTTAGAAACCAAAATATAAAATATATTTACATAATTTAAATAATTACATTGACCAAAATTGCGAATAATCGAATATATATAATGTAAATAAATCTAAAAAAAAAACAAAATACAATAATACACAAAGCATATAACACCTCAGCACCCCATAATACAAATAAATATGAGTGTATTAGTGAAAAAAGAAAAATATTTCAAACTGGTGCTTGCAAAAAATTGCGCATCCGCCGGTATACAACTACTGGAAACTCTAAAACATCGTTGGGCTTATGCAGTGACATAGCTAGTAGAGATGAAACACCAGTGAGCGGAGCTTATACGCATTCGTTGAGCTAAACCACCGTGTTGCCATGCAGGTGTCATAGGGCATTGTTTCGAGAGCATGCTTTCGAACAAAATCACATTACATTACGCAAAATGGTATTATGACGTATTTTTAAAGTTTGTGATGCTTTATTCTAAAGGTAGGCCTATATTTGCCATATTGCTTGTTTCTTTAACCAATCCTTAGCAACATCTTCATGTATCTTAGCCGCTGCAGCGTTTTTGTATTGCTCCTTTCCCTTTCAAATACCACTGTGGGTTGTAGTAAATTTTATCCATAATTTATTAATAATGATATTTTCCTTTAATACACCATCGTTGTTTAACGAGGACAAACGTAGCGGGACATCATTTGGGACAAATTGACTGCCAATTAAGTCATCTCAGGTACTGGCTCTAAGTCCAGTTTATGCAGTCACTCAGCTCTAAATCCAGTCATAACGTCTCGTTTGTCATGATAAAACAGATTCAGTACTTCACTAATATAATTTATACACAGGTTTCAACAACTTATTTATAAAGAGCTTTTTCATTTCGATCTGTATTTTTGTTTCAGACGCATTAACATGCGGATGAAAACATGCTGCCGTTCCTGAAAATAGTTTCCGATATATGAATAGGTCTATGCATTTAACAATGGGTCATTGTCGCTTTAACCCGGAAAACCTTTGACAGGATCATCCAGTGACAGCAATGCTAAACATGAGCCTTGATCTGTATTTAGATCTATCGCGAGGTGCCATCGCGAGATCGGATGTCGTACACAGTTACTGTGAGTGAAATTGTCATTGTGATGTTTGGATAGCGTCAAGTAATCGTGATATATACTGACTTGTACACTGACATCGGTTGACAGTCTTTTCGGGTATGCCGACATATTAATACAATCGCTGTCGCCATGCACTTGTTTATAGTTTGCCGAAAACCGGTCGTTAACAGGTGCGCGTTGTTGGTATGTCGTAAAATGGAAATTGCCTCAAAACAAATATCTGGGACAAATCTGTCCAAAAAATGTTCCTCTAACGTTCATTAATGAAAATTATGGTAAATGTATTCTATTTATTAGGTTATTTCGAGGGGGTAGGGTTTAGGGTTAGGGTTAGTGTTAGATTTTGGGTTTAGGGTTAGGGTTAGGTTTAGGCTTTTTATAAAAAACATAGGCATAGAATGATTAAAACAATACGTGGGTTACGGGAGGAAATCTTTCCAAAATTATAATATATTTCCTCTGTGGTTTTTGCAGCTTAAAGTTAAAAAAGGTTTACGAACAATTCCAGTCGTCAATACTTGACACACAGAAACAACGAACCAAGCTAATTCGTATTACATGTGCAAGTACTGAAGATCAACACTTATTCCGCACAATGACTTCTAAAAAGAGGAGATTAAAAAAGCATTTGACCAGTGTTAACAGTACACCCTACACACACACGTGTACACGCACACGCACGCACACACACACACTTGAAACAGATGCTCTCTCTCTCTCTCTCTCTCTCTCTCTCTCTCTCTGTGATATCAAGCAGAAAATAATAAGAATGTACATGATCACTTTTAACATTGTCTATGGCGTCTATTAACGAATGCACGAAAGTATTTGTCAGTACCGGATTCCAACGTTTTCGAGTAATCACTGTATTTTCCAGTTAAGACGTTTAATTTACCTTTACAGTTGCCAGTGATATTGCCTGGCAAAAGAAATAGTGAGTGAGTTAAGTTTTACGCCGCACTCAGCAATATTCCGGCAATATGGCTGTGCAATTGGGAACCGCTGACACGTGTCAACCAAGTCAGCGAGCCTGACCACCCGATCCCGTTAGTCGCCTCTTATTACGACAAGCATGGCTTACTGAAGATCAATATTCTAACCCGCACCTTCACGGGTAGGCTAAAGAAAGACCACGCCAATATTTGATGGCGGGTAAAACTGAAACAAACAAGAAATTTAATGTTGTTTTTAAATGTGATGTATTTGAAATTGATGTACATGTTTGGAACCATAAGTTTACAGTGTTTCTGTGACCATTTACATGCTAGTTGTAATGTTTTCGTCAAATATGACGTCATTTTTTTAAATAACATATTGTCGAGTTTAATACTTTCACATATCTACACATTTTCACTAAATATGACGCATTAAGAACAAATTCACAGATTTTAGTGTTCTCCAACAGCATGAACTGGAAGAAAAAAGGAACCTGTGCAACAGAACAATATATTGCCCCTATTATTGGTCAGCATGAAACACGGATTCACCATGACAGGGTCAACCCTATGCTTGAAAACGGTACATAAATATCTTTAAACCACTAAGGAAAGTTATATCCATTGTTCTTGGAAGTGTTTTATTAGCCTAACTGAATAACTTCCCTAGGGCAATTATTTCTATTTAAAAACAGTAAAATTGTACTCCTTTTGATAATCTTCATCATGCCTTATACATTACACGCGTATTAAATAAGTATGCCCTCGTGGTGTAAGCCGTTTAATCACCCTCACTACGGTAGTTTTTTAAATAAACTCTGCTCGGGCTAATGGGTGATTAACCTATACCTATCGTAACATCGCTATTGCACAATAAAGAAGTTGATCATCCATTAACGCTTGTCATTCCTATTACTTACAACTTCTAGTATGAGGGTAATGCTATTTTTGAGGGCATTATCATTTGCAGAAGCCCAAGGTCTTCTATTAACTGCATGATAATTCCATGTATTTTAGCTATAAAACAGTTTAACCCATGGACATCATCTTAGTCTGAATATGGCGTGGAGTCTGTTGTCACTTCACAAGTATCAGTTCAGACCACCGTTGCAGATAGCAGCTTGACAACGGCGCTTTGTAGACGACACAGGGTGGATGAAGACTTCGAAGGTTTGAGCTGAAGCAATACGAGCGTATACATGCGTGCGTGATTGCGAGAATTTGTTCCTGAAGTAGAAATGTTTCTTTCAGCTATTTTCTCTTCAGGAAATATTCCCATAGAACACTTTATACTTAGAAACGTTTTGCACGATCGCGCTTGCTTGCGTGAATCGTTATTTGAGGGCTCAGGAATCACTGAACTCTCTTCTATGTTACTGTAATGAGCAAGGCCAAGGCTACAGGGGAATATTGCAACACAAGAAATATATAGTTTTGGTAATCGTTGTAGGGTAAAGGGAGAAGAAAATTGGTCTTCTGATGATAACGATGATGATCATGAACGTATGGTTGTCGATAATTTAAGTTGAATCATTTAGCAAATGTAATTACCCTTGCTATATAATTGTGGACATGCCCAACTGACTTCGAAAGCTGTGACTGTTCCACTGCATAATATTGAAAATGATATTTTTCTGCAAAAGCAAAATGCCGAATAAAATAGTTAAGTATTCTTTAGTGTACATGTCCGCCTCCGTGGTGTAGTGGTTAGAGCGTCCGCCCGGAGAGCGGAAGGTCGCGGGTTCGATCCCCGACCGCGTCATACCAAAAGACGTTAAAATATGGTACTTGTTGGTCGCTGCCTGGCGCTCGGCATTAATGGGTACAACAAGGACTGGTCGGCTCGGAGTCAGTATAATGTGTCTGCTTCACTGCCGCATGGTATCTCAGTGTGCTAGCACTATAAAACCAGCTTCAGTCTGGGCTAGTACAAGCAGCCGCACATACACATACACACGCATGGGGAAATTTCATGTGTTCCATTAAAAATCACATCAAAATGGGATTGTGTGGTGTTATCCAAACCATTAATGATATTCACGTTTAGTCATGATTAACTTAACAAGCCTACAGTTCCACGAGTGAGAAATTCGCCACACATTCGCAGTAGACGTTGGCGTCAGTTCAAACAGTAAGATGTTGAAGTGGTTTAACTGTGCAAGGCCACTTTGCCAAACCTTGCGAACATTATATGCCATATCTATCTGATACTGAGCGGTCAAAAGCAGTAGGAATGCTTGAAACCGCAATCACCCAAAACCTTGTTGCTAGGCTTTTTCTGTGTTCATCGTAGCACCATACTCATCACTATGGGTTTGGTGCCAGTTTACTGACAACGCCATGGCATGACACTGTTCTGGTTGTCCACGACTCGCATCAGGTCTGGCATTGTGTATACATAACGTCACCTGCTGATCGGTTTCACACAGCCACTTTGACAGCTGGCAGCATCCATGGCTTACGTCGGATGAGTTAAAGACATTGAGCACGACGTGCATAACATCCGACCACGATGTCCTGCTGTTCGTCTTCGGACTCCATGCCCGGTATGGCCAAGACATCCGAAGTTCAGGTGACAGGCATGGAGGCACGCACGCATGCACACATACAGACTTTGACTTCACCTGTACGCGTGCAATTCAATCACCAGTGAGATCAATGTTTTACAATTTTCTGTATTTGATAAAAAAACGTTAAAGTTATCATAATCTCCACCAGAGGTTGCCTGACCATGGTTATAACAGTAAAGCTTTCAAAATGTTTTATTGGAGATCTGTGAAAGACATTTCCAAATTGGAGGCATCAGTGACAAAATGTCCCACGCAATTCCCCAGTTTCACAAGTAACACATGTTTCTGTCTTTCTTTTGGGTAAACAATTGACTATCCTTTGTTTATGATGGGTTAAGCAGGGTATGCTCATCTTTACTGGAACACTTCATGGTACCATTATTTTGAAAGTGATGCATATACACATAGGAAATGGGCAAAGGCAGATATTTCTTATGTCATGGATGTAGTAAGTGTTTTGTGACTTTAGTTGTATTGATAGTGTCTTAACGTTTTTAGCCATCCTCTTATAATTTTTAAATTGAATTTCTTCGGTCCAAGACATAAAAGATGAAAGATCGTTTGATGAATGGGTTTATCATATGTGTGTAATCTGATTGTGATTTGTTTAAATACTCCACTTAACATATTCTGGACCAGTGAAATCCCGGGTTAGAATTGATCTTCAGTAACCCTTGCTTGTCATAAGAGGCGACTAAGGTGCTCTGGTGGTCAGACTCGCTGACTTGGTTGACACATGTCATCATATCCCAGTGGTGTAGATCAATGCACATGCTGTTGTTCACTGGATTGTCTGGTCCAGACTTGATTATTTACAGACCGCCGCCATATAGCTGGAATATTGCTGAGTGCAGCATAAAACAAAACTCACTCACTCACTTACATATTCTGGCTGAAAGAGGTCAGTCTGTAAACCCTTATTCTGGACCAGACAAACCAGTGATCTATGTGGCCAATGTTTCAGCCATGTCTTTGACCACCAGTACATCTTCTTGCCTCACACCCCACCTTGCTGGATGAAGTTGGATTCAACCTGTGATTGTAGCATGAGATAAGGAAGACAGAATTCTCCAGCACAGGTTTAGTTTTTATTTTGTGTAAAAATTTGAAGAAATATACAAAACATATAAAGAAATGGTTATTCAAACATTCCACCAAGCACATAAATTAGCTGCATATGAACTGTTCAGTGTCTGTACAATATTCTTCCTTGAAACAAGGGCAACAACCAGGGTCTACCAGTTAAACTGTCAAGCTAGTTCCTCCACAACAGTTGTGAGCTTATTGCTGTTTGGAACAGCACTTCACATCCCGTTCACAACCACCCATATACACGTCTGTATATTTTGTTTTGTTAAGGTTAATGCCAAAGTCAGAGGATGATATAATTGCTATATCTGTTGATTTGCATACACTTCAGTTAATTCGCACTCAGAGGCCATTCACATACACACACATGTAGCTACACATGAGCAAACTTACTTAGGTGAATGGTTGTATTGCTACCATTGGGAAGTAAAACCCTCTCCCCCTTTGATGAAACACACCACAGTCCTACAGTCACCATGATGATACCTTATTATGAAGCAAATGTCGATCTTGTTCGACTAATTTGATTTGACTATGCATAGACTCGTTAGTCCAGCCAAAATATAACTCCATATTGCCAGCCTAGTTTGGCAAGGGTGGAAACTAGACTTATATCGTCAGGTATCTCCCTTGACTCAGGAAGATTTCCTGCACAAATAAGAATGTCATATGAGTGAAAAAGAACTAAAATTGGGTGGGTCTAAACACAGCACTACACTTAATGATTTTACAAACTCAAGCAATCATTGGGTTTGTGAAAGACATAATCATAACGAAAAATTTGATTTCCAAATGTAGGACAAAACCCCCAAGAACCTTGCATAAAATGGCTAGTATAGTGGGATCTACAAATCTAATCATTAACAGTAAGTCATATTTATGCTGCCTACAGCCACTGACTGATAGAGTGTAATATACACATCATGCAATTGCACTCCCACGAGTAAGATTAGCCAACTCATAAGCATAAGTTATACATATATTGGGAAAGATTTAGATACTAAAGAAACAAAGCGACATCAGGAGCATGCAAAGCTAAGAATAATTACATATCTATCTCGATGAAAAAATAAGCAATGGAAACAAAGTCGCGGTGGGCGAGCTGGCTAAGGCGCCAGGCTAGTGATCCAGCGAGCTTGAGGTGTCGGGATCGAGCCCACCTGTGACCGGGTGTAAAAACCTTGGAGTCAACTTTGTGTGCAGACTCTTTCAGTGTTGTCACAACCCCTAGTGTACAGTACACAACCCTGTGCAATTAAAAGAACCCACGAATCCGTTGGTATATGACCAGATGGTGGCCACATGAATACGTGCAAACACCAAGTTGCGGGTACAGGAACGTGCAGTGAACTTGGACAAAGTACTGTGACTATGTGTCCCAGTCCACCCAGCTGTGAATAGGTACTTCGTTAGGATGAGAAGGCCACAATAACTCGGTGCGCCTAGTGGCTGCAAGAGTTGTATTCTCCCCAGGGAGTTGAGATTGATAACACGATGTGCCGTTGAGACTGACATCCAATGATCGAGGGAAAAAAATACCAGTGCCTTGAGCAAGCACTAGTTGCCTGGATATGTGCGCTATATAAATATCATATAATAATTAAAAAAATGCTGGTGGAACCTAGCTAAGCAATACGACAACAAACACTTCCCACCTACACATTATGATAAACTGTAGGATGATACCGAAACAATAGCAAATACTTACTGGCTATTTTGTTATCAGCCAAAAGTGGAGTATGTTGACGAGCCAATTGCTAATATTTGTCAAATGTTTGAAAGTTACCTGAATAATATGATATTAATACCGCAAAGAAATAAAAGATGTGCTTCTGTCAGTTGAAGCAGGTAATGCCAGTGAGCCTGACAACTCGGTAACAGATTCAGCAGGTAATGCCAGTGAGCCTGACAACTCGGTAACAGATTTATCAGGTTAACTGCAACCAAAATGCCCTTGACTCTTGTAATTCTTTTTACATATGTCATTAGCTAAAAATAAATGTCCTAGTATCTGGACAAAAAAGCTTCAGTGATACTATACACAAAAATGGTTGTGTAAATGAATGTCAAAATTATAGACCACTAGCACTTACAGGTAGTCTGGCAAAAGTTTTTGAAAAATGTGTATTCAGACACCTACTTAGTTTCTTCAGAGATAACTTAAAATCTGGCTATATTCCTGGAGATTGAACTACTTACCAAATGACATATATGTTCAAGTTTATTTAAAATGTCTCAAATAATGGCAATGACGTCAGATCACTCTGTGACATCAGACAAAAAGGCATGGCACAATGGGATACTATTAACACTTTAAGTTTGCAGCATCCATTGAAGTCAACTTAACGGTTTCAAAGCTATCTAAAAAACTGGTTACAGAAAGTGGTAACTGGCTGTTACACATCTGGGGACCCGTGAAAATCCGGGCTAGAATTGATCTTCGGGTTAGAATTGATCTTCAGTAAGCCATGCTTATCGTAAGAGGCGACTAACAGGCTTGGGTGGTCAGGCTTGCTGACTTGGTTGACACACGCTATTATGTCCCAGTTCAGTGTGTAGATCTACGTTCATGCTGTTGATCACTGGACTGTATGGTCCAGGCTTGATTATTTACAGACCGCTGCCATATAGCTGGAATATTGCTGAGTGTGGTGTAAAACTAAACCCACACATCAGGGGCACCTGCCACATATTGATACAAGAGGAGACTAATTATGTCACAAGCTGAAAGAAGACACAATTTAATATAGCTGCTGTTCTTCAAAATGATTAATTTATCACATCTTATTCCAGAAAGAGTTTCAACATTAAGTACTTGTGCATTTAGAAACAGTGACAAGACATCCAGACACCTTCATATCACCATAAATCGTTCCTACTTGAGGCCAAGAGGAGAACTAGGGAATCAGAAACCTGATATTATAGTTAATGCTAGTTCCAAACACTTCCCAATAAAATATGTTTAAACTATTAGTTCTTTGGTAATTACAAACTTCAGTCATATGTTCTCTTGAAGTTAGAATACATAAATGCTGTCCTCTGTTTGTCCTTGCCTTATTAATGTCCCAAGTGAAGAAGCTCACCCTCATAACAATCATACCATTACACAGTTGAAGGTTACAATGTCACACGAGTTCTGGTGAACTTTTAAAATATAGATGGAATTCGTAATCATCCTTTTGATGTCACACAATGAATGGAGATCTTAATCATCTTTCCGATCACAATGTCACATGTTGAATGGAGATCGTTATCATCCTTCCATTAACAATGTCACACGTTGAATGGAGATCTTAATCAACCTTCCGATCACAATGTCACACAATGAATGAAGATCTTAATCATCTTTCTGATGACAATGTGTCACGTTGAATGGAGATCTTAATCAACCTTTCGATAACAATGTCACACAATAACGGAGATCTAAAGTTTATGAGAACTATGTAACATAATGTATGTTGTTCTGAACTTCATAATACTATCACACAGAACAATTGGAACTTTTATTTAACCTTGTGATAACAGTATCACACAATGCAGTTGGAGGTCTTCTCAACCTATTGATAACAATGTAACACAATGAACAGAAATCTCATTCATCTCTATGATAGCAACTCAACAATGTCACACAATGGAACTTCAGGTCCGGGTGTACAGGAGGTTACCAAATATCGGTATACATTGTCACAGGTGAGGTTATTTGAAATGCCTTATGATATTATGATGTATGTGTTCTGGATCATGTACTTTTGATACCTTTGATCATTTAGTAAAGCATCTTAGAAATTGTGGTGATCTACATAATCATGTCAATATCCGTCCAGTGGCTGGTCACTAGATTTGTCAGGTGGACTATATTTCTAAATATGCCGATATCACACTGAAAGCATACAGTTTATGGAGTTCACAACTCTTACTGCAGGAACAGTTTTGGAGAATTTGTTCAACCTGCATCGAACATGAATGTTGGAACTGGTGCAATGTGCAGTGTATAGTTCATGGAATTCAAGTATTTGCTCGTGCTCTAAGATACAACACTCTCTTAAATAATGAACTTTGTCTCTTGAGCATAAATTGGCCCCAATCACGCTCTTTGGGCATCGATTACTTCTTCATAAGGTTCGCTTTGTAAACATTTCAACTCCAATTTTATAGACTCTTTTTCAAAGTAGTCTTTAATGATATTCTCAATGTTGGTGGTGTGAAAGATTTAGCCATTTGTAATCATTTTCACAGTTGTATTGGGAAAGTAGCCTCAAGGACAGCAGTCATACCCCCAAGCAGTTTCAGTAGAGAAAAGAGTAATCCAAGGCCACATGTTATTCATTCAAACAGAACACAACAATATTGATAACAATATTGCACGGTATAGAATAAGCCTTTGGCACTCAAAGTATATCTACAACAACAACAACAATCTGAAGGATGCCATATATACACTGCTGGTCTGGTTGTTAGTACACATGATTGCATAGGTATGACCGCACCATCACAGTTCTACCTTATCCATACACACTAACTTCTGGTTTCATATAAACAACGTTCTAGCTTTGCCACTTAAATAAATTATGTAGTAGACTTAAGGAGCTAGATTTAACTTCTTTTATCATTAGCATACGATTAAACATTATTGGAGGTCTACAGACATCAAAATCCAATTTGATATTTTAGATGAAATATTTGATATTGTAATATACAAGTAATTATATTAAATATGAAACAAGGACAAAGAACGATCCAAACCTGATCGTCCTGCTTCAAAGATGAGTTCTTAGTACTTTAAGTTTTGATAATGGAATCAAATCAACATTTTTCTATATCACAATCTAGAAAACTTTAAGCATAAGAATTTGTGTTAATTTAATGTAACTACAAAGGCAAACAGGGTGGGCTGACATGATGGATAAGGTAAAGTATTTCCAAGAGAATCATCTAATAAATAAAACCCTTTAAATCTTTCACACACAAGTTATGATACAATGCCAAGTGAGGTATCATGAGTTCCTATGGTGAATAATCAATTTATTGCTCAGTGACCTCCAGCTGGATGTCGGTTCTTGTGACCCCGGACTCTGCAGTGCCAGGGACTTGTGGTTCCACCTCCTTCACAAGGACACTTCTTGTAGGCGTGACTGCAGCACCTTCTGTCTGCTCAAGTAACTGTGGCTGGAATCGTTCTAGCGTCCACTGCATGGACCAGATGCATAATGGCCGCATGTATCCGAGTGAACGATAGTGTTTGGAGGTCATATAGGCTTCAGGTGTTTGGAACTGCAGGCCGTACTGCTCCCAGCACACATGGTAGGCTCCCCATGCTGTCTGGAAGCCCTCCGATATCAAACCCTGTAAACACAACAAGTCCAACATTGGAAGGAATTGGGATAAGAGAAGAATTAAAACAAGACGACGACTGACTGCTAGCAGCTGATATCCATGATGATATGAGTCATGTATTTGGTGCTTCATATTTTCTTTCTCATGTCCCATTTACAGCTCAGTCCATCACTAGTGGGGTTAATTGAGTTTGGTTTAATGTCAAATGGACACTGTTACAGTTTATTACCTACAAGGGCAAAAATATCGGGGTTCATATTTTTCATATGACACCTAGGGCAAAATATCACTTTGCCATGGTTTACGTGACATCATGAATAATGCTAAGACGTCACGTTTCCTCTATGGCGTTGCGTTCTACTTGCGATGACGGTGGGTAGCCAGCCTATGTTTGAAAGTAGATTTGGGTAAATTTTCCTCAATTTGACGACTTCGGTAATAAATAGAATATCATATTCGTGCCCATATCATACTATGTTTATGTTTCGCTCTCGCTTGGGAAATACCAACATTTAGGCACTCGTGTCGTAATTGTAGAATGACACGGGCACTCATATAATATCCTCCATATATTATGGTGCATGGGTTGGATGTGGGAGAAGTCTAAAAAGATGCAGGTCACATTTATCTCCTTGGTGAAACCCACATTCGAGAGTATGGTGCTGACAAACTCATAACAATGTAAGATTCAGACTGATGATCACAGATACTTTGCTCGTACCACATACGGGTAGATAGAGGTTAGACCAAGAGGATCCAATGTTTCATCGTTAAAACAGTCAGTTAAACACTGAGGAGCTCAATTTCAAACAATAAAGAAGTTTCTTCACCCTCTTCACCACCAGAGAAACATTGCAGTGGTCATCAATGTTCATTACCAGCTGTGGATCATCTACTCACCTCCTGGATCATGCTGGCAGCCAGGCCGTATATCACTCCCACCCAGAATTCCTCAGCCTGGCAGCTACTGGTGTCTCGACTGCCATCGGGACGGGTCCCGTTGATGGCACCCATGTTACCGTTGCCATACTTCATGACATTGTTCTCGTAGATGGTCTTCAGGACACTCTGTACATGATCTGGGGGGAACACCTGAACAAGTGACAGAACAATACATAGTTTAGAACTACATACAGGAGAAAGAGAGACTATCTCCAGGAGATGAGAGTGAGACAGAGAGTTAGGCTTAACACCGCTTTGAACAAGTATATAGCATGGTGTCACCATGACACATAAGACTTCTTGTTTAACACACAAATTAGCGATATTTAAACTTCATGATGACGGTCTGGGAGTCACAAGATAATCCTGTTGTTGATATTGTGGACAATGATCCACAATGATCAAGGTTCAATGATCCTCAAGAACCAAATCACTCAGGTTGCCCTGTAAGTCATCTCTTACCAGTGGCCAGCAGATAAGTCAGGGGAATAAACAGAGGTACATTACTGATACAAAGGGACCTGCTCTCTACGAGGGCAAGATGAGTCTTGTTTTACCTCGTCATCCTGCAGCCCTGATGCCCGCAGGAACCACTGGCCTGCAAGTTGGTCGGCCATCAGGCTGTCATGGTGCCCACTTGTGCTGCTGTCATAGTTGTAGTACCGGCCTGAACACAAGTAGTTATAGAGTCAGTATGGTTTTACGCCTATTTTAGCAATATTCAATCAAAATCTGACAGGGGATTCCAAACCCGGGTATCCAGCGTAACGAGCAGACACTTCAACCATTAGGCTACCTCAGTCTATACCCTGCATATTCACTGACAAATGAGAGGTCTGTTGTGACTGTCATAATCTATAACCCACATATCAACTGACCAGTGAGAGGTCTGCTGTGACTGTCATAGTCTATATCCTACATATCAACTGACTAATGAGAGGTCTGCTGTGACTGTCATAGTCTATATCCCACATATCAACTGACTAATGAGAGGTCTGCTGTGACTGTCACAGTCTATATCCCACATATCAACTGACTAATGAGAGGTCTGCTGTGACTGTCATAGTCTATATCCTACATATCAACTGACCAGTGAGAGGTCCGCTGTGACTGTCATAGTCTATATCCTACATATCAACTGACCAGTGAGAGGTCTGCTGTGACTGTCATAGTCTATATCCTACATATCAACTGACCAGTGAGAAGTCTGCTGTGACTGTCATAGTCTATATCCTACATATCAACTGACTAATGAGAGGTCCGCTGTGATTGTCATAGTCTATATCCTACATATCAACTGACCAGTGAGAGGTCTGCTGTGACTGTCATAGTCTATATCCTATATATCAACTGACCAGTGAGAGGTCTGCTGTGACTGTCATAGTCTATATCCTACATATCAACTGACCAGTGAGAGGTCTGCTGTGACTGTCATAGTCTATATCCTACATATCAACTGACCAGTGAGAGGTCTGCTGTGACTGTCATAGTCTATATCCTATATATCAACTGACCAGTGAGAGGTCTGCTGTGACTGTCATAGTCTATATCCTACATATCAACTGACCAGTGAGAGGTCTGCTGTGACTGTCATAGTCTATATCCCACATATCAACTGACCAGTGAGAGGTCTGCTGTGACTGTCATAGTCTATATCCTACATATCAACTGACCAGTGAGAGGTCTGCTGTGACTGTCATAGTCTATATCCCACATATCAACTGACCAGTGAGAGGTCTGCTGTGACTGTTATAGTCTATATCCCACATATTCACTGACCAATGAGAGGTCTGCTGTGACTGTCATAATCTATATCCCACATATCAACTGACCAGTGAGAGGTCTGCTGTGACTGTCATAGTCTATATCCCACATATCAACTGACCAATGAGAGGTCTGCTGTGACTGTCATAATCTATATCCCACATATCAACTGACCAGTGAGAGGTCTGCTGTGACTGTCATAGTCTATATCCCACATATTCACTGACCAATGAGAGGTCTGCTGTGACTGTCATAGTCTATATCCCACATATCAACTGACCAGTGAGAGGTCTGCTGTGACTGTCATAGTCTATATCCCACATATCAACTGACCAGTGAGAGGTCTGCTGTGACTGTCATAGTCTATATCCTACATATCAACTGACCAGTGAGAAGTCTGCTGTGACTGTCATAGTCTATATCCTATATATCAACTGACCAGTGAGAGGTCTGCTGTGACTGTCATAGTCTATATCCTACATATCAACTGACCAGTGAGAGAGTCTGCTGTGACTGTCATAGTCCTATACATATCAACTGACCAGTGAGAGGTCTGCTGTGACTGTCATAGTCTATATCCTACATATCAACTGACCAGTGAGAGGTCTGCTGTGACTGTCATAGTCTATATCCCACATATCAACTGACCAATGAGAGGTCTGCTGTGATTGTCATAGTCATAGTCTATATCCTACATATCAACTGACCAGTGAGAGGTCTGCTGTGACTGTCATAGTCTATATCCTATATATCAACTGACCAGTGAGAGTCTGTCTGCTGTGACTGTCATAGTCTATATCCCACATATCAACTGACCAGTGAGAGGTCTGCTGTGACTGTCATAGTCTATATCCTACATATCAACTGACCAGTGAGAGGTCTGCTGTGACTGTCATAGTCTATATCCCACATATCAACTGACCAGTGAGAGGTCTGCTGTGACTGTTATAGTCTATATCCCACATATTCACTGACCAATGAGAGGTCTGCTGTGACTGTCATAATCTATATCCCACATACCAACTGACCAGTGAGAGGTCTGCTGTGACTGTCATAGTCTATATCCCACATATCAACTGACCAATGAGAGGTCTGCTGTGACTGTCATAATCTATATCCCACATATCAACTGACCAGTGAGAGGTCTGCTGTGACTGTCATAGTCTATATCCCACATATTCACTGACCAATGAGAGGTCTGCTGTGACTGTCATAGTCTATATCCCACATATCAACTGACCAGTGAGAGGTCTGCTGTGACTGTCATAATCTGTCATAATATCCCACATATCAACTGACCAGTGAGAGGTCTGCTGTGACTGTCATAGTCTATATCCTACATATCAACTGACCAGTGAGAAGTCTGCTGTGACTGTCATAGTCTATATCCTATATATCAACTGACCAGTGAGAGGTCTGCTGTGACTGTCATAGTCTATATCCTACATATCAACTGACCAGTGAGAGGTCGCTGTGACTGTCATAGTCTATATCCTACATATCAACTGACCAGTGAGAGGTCTGCTGTGACTGTCATAGTCTATATCCTACATATCAACTGACCAGTGAGAGGTCTGCTGTGACTGTCATAGTCTATATCCTACATATCAACTGACTAATGAGAGGTCTGCTGTGATTGTCATATTCTATATCCTACATATCAACTGACCAGTGAGAGGTCTGCTGTGACTGTCATAGTCTATATCCTATATATCAACTGACCAGTAAGAGGTCTGCTGTGACTGTCATAGTCTATATCCTACATATCAACTGACCAGTGAGAGGTCTGCTGTGACTGTCATAGTCTATATCCTACATATCAACTGACCAGTGAGAGGTCTGCTGTGACTGTTATAGTCTATATCCCACATATTCACTGACCAATGAGAGGTCTGCTGTGACTGTCATAGTCTATATCCCACATATCAACTGACCAGTGAGAGGTCTGCTGTGACTGTCATAGTCTATATCCTATATATCTCCTGACCAGTGAGAGGTCTGCTGTGACTGTCATAGTCTATATCCTATATATCAACTGACCAATGAGAGGTCTGCTGTGATTGTCATAGTCTATATCCCACATATTCACTGACCAATGAGACGTCTGCTGTGACTGTCATAGTCTATATCACACATATTCACTGACCATTCCAAAGTTTGGTTTCGTACGACTGCCGTCCCTTGTCCAGCACCAGCCGATACTTGTCCATGTCCTCCTTCAATCCCAACAGACTGGCCATCTCTATTGTCATTCGCAGTGAGGCTAGCCACATCCCACCACAGTAGGCGCTGCAATAGGGAAAAAATACACAGGATATACACACACATCCCAGACTGTCATCTACCACAGTAGGCGCTGCAACAGGGAAAACATACACAGAATATACACACACATCCAAAACTGTCATCTACCACAGTTGGGGCTGCAACAGGGAAAAAATACACAGGATATACACACACATCCCAGACTGTCATCTACCACAGTTGGCGCTGCAACAGGAAAACATGCACAGAATACACACACATCCCAGACTGTCATCCACCACAGTTGGGGGCTGCAACAGGGACATACCACAGTTGGGGCTGCAATAAACACACACACACATCCAAAACTGTCATCTACCACAGTTGGGGCTGCAACAGGGAAAACATACACAGGATATACACACACATCCAAAACTGTCATCTACCACAGTTGGGGCTGCAACAGGGAAAACATACACAGGATATACACACACACATCCCAGACTGTCATCTACCACAGTTGGGGCTGCAACAGGGAAAACATACACAGGATATACACACACATCCCAGACTGTCATCTACCACAGTTGGGGCTGCAACAGGGCAAACATACACAGGATATACACACACATCCCAGACTGTCATCCACCACAGTTGGGGCTGCAACAGGGAGATCATACACAGGATATACACACACATCCAAAACTGTCATCTACCACAGTTGGGGCTGCAACAGGGAGATCATACACAGTATATACGCACACATCCTAGACTGTCATCTACCACAGTTGGGGCTGCAACATTGACATCTATTACAGCAAGGACTGCAACATGGATAACAACATGCCCACATCACAACAACATGATCAACAGGGACATCACCCACCACAGACACAGTTTTTCCCACATAACCAGACAGTGACAGTCTGGTAACACACTGGTCAGGAATATTTGCCCTGTACTCCAGCAGTAGCTGGGAAGCTATGCCTGTTGTCTACATCTCAACCATTACCTTGCTCCACTCATGGTCCATGCATCAAAAGTCTGATCGGCAAAGCCACTGTTGTCAATGATACCGTCATCGTCGATGTCCCACTTGAGTGCTGTCTCGATCACTCCCTGAAAGTTATCAATAACAATATCCCCATTTACTTGTGGAACAACAATCAGTAATAGTCTAGCAATATGACCAGAATTTAAAGAATCATGTCTTGACTGGACAATCCAGCAATTAATATTGTGGCACAAGTATCCATGTCATCCTAGTACGATGACATGCAATAAATGAAATCACATAGTCTGACGTCCCGATCCATTTGGTGACCTCTTTAAAGTAAAGCTAAAAACTATAATGCAAGGTGAGAATCAGTACCACAGAACTTACAATATTCGAGTAAAGTCTATTCTAGGCTTCAGTTCCAACAGGGTTTACACTGTTGACCTTAAATTTGTAGCAACATGGAGTGAGGCTTACAATTACTTCAAACAAACACTGAATGCAAAACACCACGAAACACAGGGTGTCAGCACATCCTACTCCCTTGGTCCTCACCTTGACCTTTGGGTACATATTCTCCATGAACTCCTTGTCCTGAGTGACATGGAAGTCTCTATACACCTGCAGGACAAACTTGAGGTTCAGGTCCTTCCAGTTGGCTGTCTCATGGATCCGGTAGGCATTCACCCGCTTCCATGGCTCATCCTCTACATGAAGAAAACAGTTGACATGCTGCAATGTAATCACTAGGCAGACACAGAAGCTGAATGTCGTCACACTACCAGGTTCAATGACGCAAATACAGTACAAGCAGTACATCTCACTATTATAAGTGAGTGAGTGAGTTGGGTTTTACGCCACTTTTAGCAATATTCCAGCAATATCATGGCAGGGGACACCAGAAATGGGCTTCACACATTGTACCCATGTGGAGAATCAAACCTGGGTCTTCTGCGTGACGAGCGAACGCTTTAACCACTAGGCTACCCCGCCGCCCCTCTCACTATTACAACAATCAAGTCCTGAATGGTAATACACGTTGATGAATTCCTACTAACCTGGGTCCCCAACGTCATGGGGAACAGTGTGGAGAGTCTTGAGCTGTCCCTTATTACCAGACGTGTAGTATTTCACGCGTGTTCTGTCCTCACTCATCACAGACTGAGCTGAAAGGTACAATATATATATAGACGGCAATGAATATCAGTTCACATGACAGAATACATGATGTGTGATATGATTTACAACTTTCACATTCCAAATGATTCAGAAATGTATTGATGTTTTACAGCACACATCAACAGTAGCCAGTTGGGAAGAAAACACCATCCACATTACTAACACTGCACAGGGCCTGGTCAACGAGTACATAAATGTTGTTTATTCAAATTTCAGCTCAAAAAAACAAATCGAGACTTGGACAGACAAATTGGTGGTTGAAAGCAATGATTGGCATGACTGAAACTTGTAAATGATTGATTTCAGACCAAACCAGTGATTCACACATGAGCAAAATCAAATGTCATCAGGGTATGATGATACACAATCAGCATGGCCAACATGGCTTACCAAGTGAGTCAAATGATCGCCACTTAAGAGACGCATGGGTTGCAAGGGAACGATTCTGAACTGGAATCCCCACATGGAGCAATACATTACAAGAAACTCTGTACCGATGTCATATTGTAGAGAAAGCTGTATCTTGGGCCACAGCTGGATGAAGGCAAAAGAAGCGTAGTGATGCACGTCGTAGGTGTTGAACATCCGGTATTCATGACCTGGGAGACAGAGACAGCTTCATGAACTCACCATGATCAAAGTATGCAATCATAAACTCGCCATGATCAAAGTATGCAATCATAAACTCACCATGATCAAAGTATGTAATCATAAAGTCACCATGATCAAAGTATGCAATCATAAAGTCACCATGATCAAAGTATGCAATCATAAAGTCACCACGATCAAAGTATGTAATCATAAAGTCACCATGATCAAAGTATGCAATCATCAACTCGCCATGATCAAAGTATGCAATCATCAACTCACCATGATCAAAGTATGCAATCATCAACTCACCATGATCAAAGTATGCAATCATAAAGTCACCATGATCAAAGTATGCAATCATAAAGTCACCATGATCAAAGTATGTACTTATATAGTTGAACATATTTGGACATCGTCATGAAAACAGGGTTGACCATACCTAAAATGTGACAGGACAATGAGGTCAAATGAAAATGTGTCGGTTTGCTAATATCTGTAGTACAACAACACAGTAGGCTGGTTGATGCAGACATGGCATCATCACAACAAGAGTATATGTTGTTTAATGCCTCATATTGGTGACTAATGTTGTTTTATGCCTCATATTGGTGACTAAATGTTGTTTGTAGTCTCCCATGGTTTGAGTAAATGTTTCAGGCCTCATATCAGTGAGTGAATAATATGCAACAGTGAGCAATATCACAATGATAGGTAACAAGGACATATAATTAGCCCATTAACAATGGACTCACAGTGTTACATTCCTTTTACCCGAGATCTGTAGATCTAAGTTCCCTGGTAAGAAATAAAACAAATGAAAGAAGCTGTAGGGTGAAGTTTTCTGTCCCTCACATTACCATCTCATAGAGACTGGTCCTCATTCACTGCTGGGTGAAAGAGAAACTTTTCAACACTGTCACTTGCCTATGGAGACACCACATTAACACTTAGTGTGGGCAGGACTCAAGTCAAACTGTAAGGACTGACATTCTAGAACAAGATGTCCTGTCCACCTGTTCTCAGTGACCTACTTCACCTGAGTGAGTTGTGTGCAGTACAAACCACTGTGTATGGCCTGATGTAGGGTCTCTGTCTATCCTTCTAGGGCGATATCAAGTATGCTGTGTGCCATACAGACTCATGTTCTATCTTGCACATGTTGTATTTACCCATTACAGCATGACTGAGGCCTATCAGCTGTGTTCTTTGAGGGACTCGGGGCGGTGGGGTAGCCTAGTGGTTAAAAGCATTCGCTCGTCACGCCGAAGACCCGGGTTCGATTCCCCACATGGGTACAATGTGTGAAGCCCATTTCTGGTGTCCCCTGCCGTGGTATTGCTGGAATATTGCTAAAAGCGGCGTAAAACTAAAATCACTCCCTCACTTTGAGGGACTCACCTTCCAGATAGAGGAACTTGCTGTACTCCTTCACCAGGGCATGGTCCTTGTGGAAGAAACATGTGCTGCTGTCTCCATCAGCAGGATCCACCCACACCGTGCCTCCATCACTCACAAAGTACAGTTCATTAAACAATGCAGACTTGTACCATGCTGGCAGGTTCCTGGTAAAACATATGGGTTATAACCATTGTATATGTTTATAACCATTACATATATTTATAACCATTGCACATATTTATAACCATTGCATATATTTATAACCATTGCACATATTTATAACCATTGCACATATTTATAACCAAAAAAAGTCATCAAGCATGTCCAATGAACAGGATATTTGTATTGTTATATATGCAAAAACTGATTCAAATTTCTACTCTGGATGACTGGATAAAGACCATTTGGGTATCATATGGTTTGATTATTCTGAAAGATGTAGTTCCATTGTGTACCTAAATTGGAAAAACTCCAAATAGATGGAGGCACCTCCATGTAAGTAAACACATTCACACAGCATCCTGTCTATGTGTACAGGCATCTGTTGGAGAGTATAGCTCCTATCTGTACAGTCATCCATGTGCCTAGGTTACCTGTTGGAGAGAATTGGGTTTTGCCATTCTTCTATCTTGCTCTCCCAGTCCTTGTATCGGCCTATTGCATGACTGCTGAGCCGCCGGGCGCCAGTACCATCAGTCCCGAACCAGCGGGCGTAACGTCTGAAACAGGTGAATGCAGCATATCATATAGCATCAGTGAACTAGCACACAAAACATACCCAATTCATGTAGATTGCTGATATTCTAATTCCCGAATCAGGGGACACCATATATGAAACAATAGTTCTGGTAGTATTTTAAGAATACTACCTCATTTACATAATAAAACATTAATTCCTGTTTTGGCTGTCAATCACATAACATAGAGATTGTCCTCTTCCCTGCCAACAAGCTCTGCATGGAAGACATCCTTACTTTCAACCCATAACCATTACTACTAGATGCAGATATCTTGGCAAGGCAGAATGAACTCATTCCTTATTTAAAGCAGTTTTCTTAGATTCATACTCAATATTACAAAGTGTTAAACAAATCCCTTCGATAGCTCACTTATCTGTGCTTGTTTTCTCACCTTGAGCTGAAGTGTATACGGGCATGACCCACACCAGACTGAACTGTTTGAACCTGCTCACGTACCTGTGGTATTTCAGTCACCTTGAGCTGAAGTGTATGACGGGCATGTCCCACACCAGACTGAACCCTGTTTGAACCTGCTCACGTACCTGTGGTATTTCTGTCCCCTTGAGCTGAAGTGTATGACGGGCATGTCCCACACCAGACTGAACTCTGCCGTGGCCGACGTGTTGGCCCCCACATGACACTGCACACAGACAGCAGCAGCGATCTCCTTTCCCTTCAACGTCTTTTCACTACTTTCTGCAACAAAAAAACCCCCAACAAAAACACTTCATTGCACAGCTGTCATTAGTCAAACATTCAAATGTTCTGTATAACACAAAAAGACAAACAATGTCTAACACATCAAAATACATCAGTACCTGCTGAAGATGTAAGTTGTCCATCTTCCTTGAGGTCTGACCATACCTCGCTTCCTGTCCCCTGGGGGTCAAAGCTCACCAGATGACTCACGGACACGCCCTCCTGGCATCAATAAAACACATCACAAATATTAAAGCAGAGTCTGTATGACTTAAGCTATCATTGTACAACTATCATTGCTATAGAATATTTTCCTACATAGTTCAATTTGGGTAATTGAAATAGTATATGAGAGTCCTGTGTTCATTCTAGACTGTGCCATTGCACAATTCGTGCACTAACATTGTATATGTTGCAGTTTCACACTTTTGTTGTCACAGCAGACACACTGCTTGTCAAACGCCATTGTCAGTTTAAACTCCTTTTGTTATTCATTCAGTTTTCTTTCAAATTCATGTTGAATTGATGTTAAGTGTTTAATAAATGTGTTGAGCAGATCTTGATTTGGTTTCTCTTGTTCAAATTGTTGACCTAACCTGTATTGGAAGTTAAAAAAGATGTGAACACGTACTGGTAACTACTAAATACTGTATGGGTAAGAAGTCACAGCAATTGACATGACCCACAATATTTTCTACATGGCCCACTTTTAGACAGGGCTTAAATGAACATTGAGAGTCATGCTTCCCAATAACAGCAAGCTGTGAGGAAACAAACTGTCTTGGGTAAATTCCTAAGTGCTTATAAATGTTTTCTGCATTTTAAAATGTCAGTAAGCATCATGTTGATTTTTTTTCAGAAATGGAATACAACCTCGAAGAGTAAATTGTACCAGCTCACACCTGTTGGCTGCTGGAACATCATCATCATGTTCATAGAAAAGATCATTCCTCAAACTAGATCCACATGACTAATAACTGGCCTCATAAATTGCATTTCTTAATCTAGATTTTGAAGAGAATAAGTACTAGCTTCTGTTAGCAAGTCTCTCCTAGTCTCAGCAGTTACTGACCCTCTGTGCTGCAGACAGTGCGTATGTACAGGCCATATCTCTGAAGGTCTGATGTATGAGGACGCCGCTGACGTCGCCCCCCTCACTGTCACACTTGAAAGGCTCATTCCAGCAACCACCTGTCTTATCCTCCTTCACACCACGGCCATTTTTGAATGAGAACATGATGCTGATGTCAAGGTCGTCTGTGCTGTTGTTCTCGATGGTCCAGACAAACACGGCTGCAGGCAGTGAACTCTCCTGATCAGGAAGAGGAATGACTGCCATCAACTTTTCATTGCAGTTTAAAACATTAACAAAAGATCATTTACACATGATCTATTTTTCAGTTTACAAAAGTATATTCTTCATGAAGAGAGGAAAAGATAATTCTTGTAATGCATATACAAGACCAAAGAGTGAGTGACCGAGTGAGTTTAGTTTTACGCAGCACTCTGCAATATTCCAGCTATATGGCGGCGGTCTGTAAATAATCGAATCTGGACCAGACAATCCAGTGGTCAACACTATGAGCATCGATCTATGCAATTAGGATACGATGACATGTGTCAACCAAGTCAGCGAGCCTGACCACCCGATCCTCTTAGTCGGCTCTCATGGGTTACTGAAGATCGTTTCTAACCCAAAAAAGGCCAAAGAAATGCATACCACCTCCTGCATTTCAAAGTTAACATATTTCTGTTAAACCGACACTATGTCAAATAGTGATATTGCTGTGTGGACTTCAACTTTTATCATCAGATCACAACTGCACATCATAACATGTGCCGGCTTATTCATAATAATTTACTGTTGGACAGAGTAAAAATAATATTTCAAACTTATCATGAGTCATCATACTTATGTCAGTATGTTCAGTTTGAAGTGTCCTCCTCCACTTACCTTGTACTCGTGCGGATAGACGGGTGAGACCTGCCTGCATACCAACTTGACATTATACTCAGGAATGTTGTACACGGTCCATGCTCGGGGATATAGAGCATGGTAGGTGGCATTACCAGCTGGGAAAGTCCAGTTCCAGGCCTTGAGATGTTTCCCAGTCTTCTTATAAGATGAGAGCACCTGTTGGAGCACTGTCACTCCATTCTTGCGGATACACACTGTGAACTGTGGACATTCACAACTCATATTGAACAGGTGCTCCAATATCTGTGTCAATTTCTGTTACTGTTTCTACATGTTGTCATTGTCCAATTGTGTCACATTATCACTGTATAGAGATGACAAGACTTTATGAATGATCAACTTTTTTATTTTGACAATGGCGACGGTATAAGAATCTATACCGAAACATCACCATTGTCAAAATAAAGAAGTTGATCATTCATAAAGTCTTGTCATCTCTATACCACCAGCTTCTAGAATGCCACTAAAACAAATTATGACTGTATAGTTGGCAATTTGTGTCAAACATACATTATCAATGTCATTGGTAACTTGTGTCAAACATGCATTATCACTGTCATTGGCAACTTGTGTCAACATATACATTATCACTGTCATTGGCAACTTGTGTCAAACATACATTATCACTGTCATTGGCAACTTGCATCAAACATACATTATCACTGTCATTGGTAACTTGTGTCAAACATACATTATCACTGTCATTGGCAACTTGTGTCAAACATATATTATCACCGTCATTGGCAACTTGTGTCAAACATACATTATCACTGTCATTGGCAACTTGTGTCAAACAATGATCATGTTATGCTCCTACGTAACATGGCAACAAATATCATCACTGGCCACATGTATCAAGAAGACATTATCGCTGTGTGATTGGCAACTTGCATTTACTGACACATCAAGGCATAATAGGAGTGGAATAGGAAGAGGCAGTCACTGCTTAACTGTCAAACTGCAAAAATCTTTCCAGACATTAACCAAACACTAATTAATCCCCTTTACAACCAAACACTATTACCATTCAGGTTCCTGCACATACCTGATCTGCATCTACAACATTGTAGTCATAGAGACCAGGAACCATGTGGAAACGACAGAACTCCCCGCGGTATCCTCGACCAATGGAACCACCTCCCATCCCACCAATAGGACACCCTAGGAAAAAACGAGAAGAAATAAATCAATAATCATCGCAAACAGATTTAACTTCAACAATGTTCAAAGTTATCAAACTTTAGATTATTCAGTTCGTCTTAAACAGCACTTACAATGTCACTTTATGATAAAGATACAGAGATCTTTACCTTTGTGTTTCCGTACTGTAATTATCACATATTAGGAATACAAAGTATATCTTATGCTTGCCAAGGTATGAGAATACTTTTGATATAGAGGCACACTTGGCTAGTAATCTAATTAATGAACTTTTCAGCATGTCTGAGACCTGGACTTGTTAATGTTCACATACCGTATTTCCACTAATAAGCGCCGGATGTAAAGCAGCTCACTAACAATTATGGTAATTACACCCAGTAAGCACAAAAAAGCACTGGGCCTCTAATAAGCGCCAGGTCTGGAGGTTCGTTGAAAAAATAAGCAACCGGCGCTTATTAGAGGAAATATAGTAATTACCTACGAATTATCAGTAAATTCCATCAATAGGCTGACTGACTGACTGACTGAGTTTAGTTTTACGCCGCTTTTAGCAATATTCCAGCAATATCATGGCGAGGGACACCAGAAATGGGCTTAACACATTGTGCCCATGTGGGGAATCGAACCCGGGTCTTCGGCGTGATGAGCCAACGCTTTAACCACTAGGCTACCCCACCGCCCATCAATAGGCTGAAGATACATTAGTACAGGTATGTTTCTGTATCTAAAACAAAGTCAAACAAAGTCCACATTCCTCAACTGAAGCTGGTTCATGTTATCATGTTATAGTTCCTGTGCACCTCATTTCGAGTGATACTATTCAGTGCAAAAGAATGGTCACTGTCACTGATTTCTTACATAATGCAATAAATTGCAACACATGCAAAAACATGACAGTTCTGATTAAGAAAATGGTGCAATGAGGAATGGACACGTTCTACGGCATGTTTCTGTAGTGTGATTATGGCTAGGGTACATGAGGTATATATCTGTAGAATCTGTGCAGACAAGGATCACTAGGGAGAAAAAAAGACTAAAAATATACATTAATAACAGTCCTGGAGCAACTGATCGAATATTCAGTCAATTGATAGATCCTGCTTGCATCAGCGATTATTGATGGATTCGGGAGACTAATCGATATTCATAAAAATGAAACAGCAAATTAATTTTTAGAAAGTATGTTTCTTATTGTCATGTTTGTTACATCAAGACATAAACAACCGAAGTAGTTTCCTGCAATGTAAACAAGATACTTCTGTGTGTATCTCAACATGAAGTATCCTTGATCGTCTTGATCTTAGTATTGATGGGTGCCTGTTTCGTTTGCACAATGTTATGATTGTCTCCCTTTATTGCCTACATGAGTTTGCAATTAAAACAGATTATTGATCAATTACTGAGCTCAGTTTATTGATCTGCACATTGTGAGCCAGAACCAGCACTAATCTATAATAATTAACAGATAAAAATACCTAAAAATGTTAACTGCCATCAATAATTCAGCACTGACAAATCATCTGTATTGAAAACGGACATTCATTTATTACATACATTAAAAAACTACTGGAATAAAGTAACTGTGCATTATTTGATATCATGCCATTTTTTAATGCAAAAAAAACAATAACATGATTTGTGGTGTTTTCCTTAATCACTGTTTAACTGTTGTCATTGATAATATCTGTATGATTTGTCATTAGGCATCGTGACATGCCCTTGAAGAGATGTGGTGTCAAAAGTCAGTCCACAACTTCAATATCGGGTGTCCACCATTGGCGTTGATGCAGGCTTGACAACGACGACTCATAGATGACACTAGGTGATTGAAGAAAGATCCATATCTTCCCAAATGTGCCTGATATGGGACAGGTCGGGAGAAACAGCTGGTCAAGGGAGTACCGGAGTGCTCTGCTGTCTCAGGAAATCTGTCACAACACGAGCAACATGTGGAACTGGAAGGGCATTATCTTGCTGAAGCGTGAAGTTCTGTCCTTAAATGAACAGTTGCACATGAGGCCCAATGATATCTTCACTGTATCGCAGACCTGTCTGATTACCATTGACAATGACAAATTGTGTCCGACTATGAGATGAGATGTCAACCCATACCACAACGCTCCTGCCACCAAACTGTTGAACAATGCACATGTCAGCATACTGTTCACCTTGCCGTCTGTACACCCTTGCCCTGCCATCAGAGCTGTCCAGACAAAATTTCGACTCGTCAGTGAACAAAACACCATCCCAATCTGGTCTCCTGTACTGTTGATGCTGTCTGAACTGGGCAAGATGTGACTGTCATTTGAAGTAAAATTGGACGTATTGCATTGATTGGATGCAGGCCAGGAACGGTCTGTGCAGTCAAACTGGCAGCCAGGGAATCAATTCGTTAGATGTGTCAGTTGAATGTGGTTGTCTTGCTGATGTGATGTCACTCGTGTACAGGTGGTCCGACATGTTGTTGAAAATGTCTCCATAGAGAAGAAATCGGGTTTCGATGGACACCAAGATGTCTAGTCACTTCATTTTGGGACATTCCAGTCTCCAGCATACCCACGACGTCTAGACACTGATTTTCTGTAAGCCGTGGCATGACGATGTAAGCACAGTGTAGGTAGAAATAACTGGTAACATGTTTTCCACAACATTAAGAGGCTAGAGAATAATCAACCATTCTTCGATTTTCAATATCAGGTGTGTGAACTTCAGGTTTCAAAAAGTATGCAAAATGTCAACAAGCATTGTCACTAAGGTGACATAATCCCCTGCCGCAAATTATCAAATCAAACTTAAAAAGTAATGAAAGTTTAAGATGAAGTTAAATGTCAACAAAAACATGACCAGTCAACCTCTTTTGATATCTTGCTCTTTAGTTGTTCAAACACACAAATATTTTCAAGACTGACTTGGACCTTGATATGAATGTCATAGTGTATGGAATATGCAAAAGTGGTACTAAAGAAATTACTTATTGAAAAACATTCAAGGGAAGTCTTGAAAGTCCAGTGAATTCAGGTTAACATGCTGAAATCTTCAAAGTGTTGCAGTGACCTTGAAAATTATGTGAAGGTCACCAAAATTGACTGGGCCCTACCCCTTCATTAGATGAAGCTTGATGTCATATATGAAAAAAATCCAGAGAATGTTTTTTGCGATATCTTGCTAACTATGTTAACATGCAATTTAACATGCTGAAATCTTCAAAGTGTCTTTGTGACCTTGAAAATTATGTGAAGGTCACCAAATTTGACTGGGCCTTGCACTTTCCCTGGATGAAGCTTGGTGTCAAATATGAAGAAAATCCAGAGAATGGTTCTTGAGGTATCTCGCTGAGAAGCATAACATGCAGGTTAATATGCTGAAATCTTCAAAGTGTCACCATGACCTTGAAAATTAGTGAAGGTCACCAAAATCGACTGGGCCCTGTGCCTTCCATAGATAAAGCTTGATGTCAAATATGAAGAAAATCGAGTGAATGGTTCTTGAGGTATCTTGCTGACAAGCATAACATGCAGGTTAATATGCTGAAATCTTCAAAGTGTTGCCATGACCTTGAAAATTATTTGAAGGTCACCAAAATCGACTGAGCCCTGTGCCTTCCCTAGATAAAGATTGATGTCAAATATGAAGAAAATCGAGTGAATGGTTCTTGAGGTATCTCGCTGACAAGCATAACATGCAGGTTAATATGCTGAAATCTTCAAAGTGTTGCCATGACCTTGAAAATTATGTGAAGGTCACCAAAATCGACTGGGCCCTGCGCCTTCCCTAGATATCTCATTCGGAAAAGTGTAAATGTTATTTTGAAACACAAATTAATTTGTCACGCCCATATTTGTGCACCTGTTGTTAAGGCTGGTCTTTGTAGATATCAGTAAATGTTTTTGTGTTGGACATAGTGAAAACAAGTATCACCAATATACCTTACCCCATCCCTTTGTCATACCTGTGCTGGTTATTTCCAGTTACAAATAAAAACTCACCATAGATGGTCTTGTGACCGATGGGGTTGAGGTGATCAATGAATATCTTACGTCCCTGTCTCTTCTTGCTGATCCAGTATGTCATATACCTGGGGAAGGAAAAGAAAAAAACATAACATTTTCTGACTGAAGACAGGTGTGGTATCATCACAGAACATGAAAAACAATGCACTCGATAACTTCTCAATGGTTAAGGTACCACCATTTTACCTCAAGATAAAGCATGCTCATCTCAAAATGAGTATTTCTGTATATTATCTGTATATTATTCTTGTACACAACAAATACACGTCTCAGCTTGGTGGGTGGTATTCTATAACCATGATTATTGATAACCATAGTAACAAATAATTTGCTTATCTGAAATTTACCTGTACCAAAAATATAGCCTGGCAACTGTGATTTGATTTATTGTTTTGTTAAAAACCAGTTAGTTGCCGAGGCTGTAAGTGTAAGTGAGGTTTATGATTCCTCCTGACAAAGACTGGAAATGTATATGTCCATACTGTCTTGTGTACGTTGCAGACTTTGTACAGCAGTGTAGGAAGGGAATGCAATTGACTTGTGAGTTATATTTGACAAAAGTTGTACTCTGGTCTTTGAATGGCATTTGGAAGTGGTACACATAAGGAAGATAGTTTTATGGATGTCAACTTCTTTATTATGAAGAACATCACATTTTGGAGAATATCCTTGCTCCTTCATTCACCTCACTCCAATTTCACGAAACAAACTTAAGTCTGAGTTTTGACTTAAGTTAAGAGTTTTTACTCAAATTTGAGAAAACGCGGACCTTTACTGTTTAGTCTGTACATTCTTCCCATTGGTGACATTGTCCGAAAGCACTCACTGAAATTTCATCTTTATGCTGATGACAATCAGTTATATCTGTCAGCGGAGCCTAACCTTGCTCAAGGTTGTGCACTGATGATACAACAATGTATTGCTGAAATAAGAGACTGGATGACCTTGAACTTTCTGAAATTGAATGACACAAAGACTGAGTTCTTAACCATCGGATCCAGGCAGCAACTTTCCAAAGTGCCTGACAGTTTATCTCTTGAAATTGGACAAGATGTTATCACGCAGTCCGACTCTGCAAAAAAATCTTGGTGTCATCTTTCAATCAACAATGTCATTAGAAAGTCAAATCAAATCACTCAGCAAAGGATGTTTCTACCATATCTTCAATATTAGCAAGATCCGAACCCTCTTAGACTTCAACACCGCCCAGCTTCTAACGACCAGCCTTGTTCTCTCTAAACTTGATTACTGCAACTCCCTCTATTACAACATTCCTCAACAGCTCCTTTCACAACTCCAACGGATTCAGAATTCAGCCGCCCGTGTTGTTGCCCGTGCACCACGCTACCAAACTGTGACACCTATCCTCCAAACTCTTCACTGGCTTCCTGTATCAAGCAGAATTCAATACAAACTTCTTCTTCTTACACACAGCTGCATCCTATGAAAACATGTTTTCTCAATATCTTAAAAGCCTCATTCATCTCCATGTTCCAAGCCGATTGCTCCGCTCATCAAACTCCCTACTGCTTACACAGCCTCACGTCAAAACAGCCATGGGATCAAGAGCGTTCTCTGCTGCAGCCCCCCTATCTCTGGAACATTCTACCACTCACCCTAAAAGAAATAGAATCTGCTGATGCTTTCAAAACTGCCCTCAAAACTCATCTGTTCAAACTCTCTTTTCCATAGACATTGTCTACAATCTTTTCTCTTCATAGCGCCATTGAGCAATATCTTTTGGAAATAGGCGCTCTATAAATCAATTATTATTATTATTAAATGCATTTCCCAGAATGAACTGAAATCGATATCAAACCCAAACATAGTAGACAATTTGAGTTTGGTAGATAGATTACTTAAGTTGTTTGGGCTTTTTTATTTTAAAAATGCAGTTGAGTTAAATATTCAGCTGTTTAAAATTGTCAAGCTCAGTTTGAAATTTGAGTAAACACTTAAGTTTGTTTCGAGAGATCGGGGGCCTGAAGGAGTAAGGATATACTCTGCCGTATTGAAGATATGTCAGTGAGATCATAAATCTCGAACTATTAACAGTACCAGATGCTGACCAACATGTCTCAGCCGACCAAAGTGAAACGATAAACATGAAGAATGGAGAAATGTGACATCTATGTGTTTAAAGTTGTGGGAAAAGGTTGATACTTTAAGGCACATGTTGAAGGTGTGCGGTTATCCTGATACACCAGTATCTCAGGATTTGAAATACTATTGAATCAACCTAACGATTAACTTAGGAAATACAGATGTATCACATTTGGCAAAGCTTACATCAGTGATGAGTCGAAATGAAGTTATGAAACTCTGAAAGCAGTGAAGTCCAGTGAGTATAAAAGTGACACTATTCACTATAGTTCTATGTAGAATATGTCCATTATGCCTACACTGCAACCATAGCAACATCCAACACAATGTGTTAGGTACGTCCAGTGTATGGGTCTATTATTATGCAGCTGCAAAGCAACATACAGATGAAAGAACAATATACTGTAGAACATATCACAATACATAAATGTTGCCATACAAAGACAGGCCAATAGCTATCACCAGTGTCGAGTTTTGTACTGACAGATACATATTGCTAATTATTATATTGAATTTCACCAAATGGGGAGTCTGGAAAATTCTCTTTACCCACATCAATGCCATATTCTGACTGTCATCCGAACTGGAAGTACAATTGAAATACCATACATTGTATATTTCAATTTTTCAACATGATAAATGCGCAGTTAGATTTATTATAGCTCAGTCTTATGTATCATGAACAATGCTGAATAATGGTGGTCATGTGTACCTGGCTGTAGCCTGTATTAACAATGATTAACATTCAGGCTGTTAAATTAATTTTAGCATAAGGCATTGTAAACAATGTAGGTGATTTCAAACAACTGGTGTGTCATTAAATAAGGGACAACTGAAAATATATTTGGCACATTAATACTAGATAGAAATGAACATTATTATCCAAAAATATCCTGATAATTTTGGATAATAATGTTATGTTTCTGTAAATTGTAAATGAAGAAAATATTAGACTGAGTACCACTCGACGTGATCTGCCTGAGGTTAACAATGGCTGTTATATGTGACTATGTGCTGAGAAATTTGGTGAATTCATTCTTATTTGTGGGCTTGTAGTTTTAAGGTATATAAACTAATTAAAGATTACATATTTAGAAAGCTGAGAATGAATGCATTCCATACATAATTCAAATGACACGTAAATCCTACTTGGTAAATAATTACTGCAAGTTTTATTTGGGGATGTCATTTTGCTGCTCTCATCTCTAATGGGTTTGACAGTAGCATTGAGAAGATTAACAATTACAGCATAGCATAGTGACTCCTTTAAAAATCACAAGCCGTGGTGGTAGAGGACATGCCCAGTGACTACTACCGGTACATTTAACAACCACCACTTTATTTGAAACTGTGCTGTCCTCAGTTGCTGAGGGGAGGTGTGTTTGAGAAAATAATAAATACATGTTTGAAACAAGATATATTAGAGTTGTATTTCTGAGATTTCATCATTTCTTGTGTGGTGTATAGAGATACTGGTGGCATCATCAGTCCATATCTAATGTGTCTTGTTGCAGTGTACCAGGTGATACTCAGCCCTACCAGGTTCCCCTCAACCTGTAACTTTATACGTTCTATCGACAAAGGTCCCTCGACTTTCATGCCAGACTTCACACCCATTATACTGTTATCATGCTTTGTGTGCTTCAACAAGTTCAAGGTATCAAGGAATAAGTAAACTTTGCACCTCTTCACAAGTTACCTTGACCACCACAACAACTGTATCCTATGTAAAAGTCAAAATTTGCAAATACAAAGGGACACATGTGGTGTGAGGTGTTGTCTGATTCAAGAATTCATCTATTACCATTTTATTTAGTGAAACAATAACAAAATATCTTTGGTGACATAGTTTGATCACACTGACAATGTTAATTCTTAATATTCAGTTAATTGAACTCATGAAGGGGCACAGTTTGATTCACCAAATACACGAGTGAATTGTGTGAATCGATACAGCTCTCCTGACCACCAATTTGTGTGTCCAGTGACACCACATGTACTATACATGCTAGATATTTACCAAAAGCTGGAATTCACAAGTGGTGGAATAAAAAATGCATGTGTGTAAGAATTGTTTAACTATGTTGACTATGATTTGAGATACAGACATGAATTACAGTATTTATTATGATATTACTGGAATGTGAAGCACATTGCAAAATACTCTTAATGAATATGTCTACGGGTTATGACTATGTCAAATGTGTTGGCGTGTATATAGCTAAGTGGAAGGAGAGTACTGAAAGTTTCAAAGTTCTGCTCCAGAAAGGAGCACTATCATCAAATTCACTTGAAGTCAAAATTGTCGCCATGAAAACACAAAAAAAATTATTTGATTCAGAAATCCAAAACTACCACAAGGCACCAGTTCACCACCAGATCTATCTATGTGCCAAGTTTGGTGAAGAAACATTGAACGGTTTTAGAGTTCTGCTCCGGAAAAGAGTACTACCACCAATTTCAGTCTAAGTCAAACTTGTTGCCATGGAAACGAAAAAAATAATTTATTCAGAAATCCAAAACTACCAAAAGGCACCAGTTCACCACCAGATCTATCTATGTGCCAAGTTTGGTGAAGAAACATTGAACGGTTTTAGAGTTCTGCTCCGGAAAAGACGTGCACGGACGCACACACAGACAGAGTCCATTTTAATACCCCCCGCAAAACGCGTTGAGGGGGATAAATAGTGATAGTTATAACTTATATCATGAATTTCCCATGTATGAGGGGATATGTGTGAAGGAAGGTGTGCTATTAGATAGGCTTGAGGGGGGATTCTACTTTCATATTTCAATTTTGAAACCACCATACCTGAAAGTATCGAGTAATGTGAAAACCAAACATATGGAGAATTCTTATATTAAATAAGATCTGTCCTCAAAGATAATCATTAACTTATTGCTGCAATAATAAAGACCTGTTTGTTCATATGCCAGTATGCCAGTATGATTAGCATGCCAG